GTCTGCACGTCATGAAATACGGCGTCTATGAAATTAGTTAGTACTAGCCGTACCCGTCCGCTTCGCTGGGCATTTAAAATTAACATTATTATTTCTCACCCCCACAAAGATTCTCATCATTAACGCCCCCGCAACTGATGTAGTAGGGAGTCCAACACTCATATAAATATTAGCCTATCCATCAAGTACATTTGCTACATGGATATCAAGTTTCAAGTCAATCGGATGCAAGGTTCAGTAGTTATAACGGAACATCCTTAAAAACCACTGTAGATTTATATATTACTAGCTGACCCGGCAAACTTCGTAGTGCCTCAATCGATAAGTAAAAGACCTAAGCTTTTGTATAAAATAAACTTAAAACAAACAAAAGGAATCCGTCCAACGGGGGACACATCAAAGAAAAAACAAAATTGTTATTTTTATTTTTAATTCCGAGCATTTGCATATTTTTTAAACCTTTTAAGCCTTCTCTGGACTTTCACAAGTAATTCAAGACCAAAATTAGCCAAATCGGTCCAGCCGTTCCCGAGTTTTAGGGAGACTAATGAACAGCAATTCATTTTTATATATGTAGATTATAGATATATATTAAACGCACTCAGCTTTCTTTCTTCTTTTCCCTCCACTGCGTATAAACCGTTTTTTCTTTGATTTCTATTCATAACAGAGTTAAGGCACAAAATTAAATCGTTTTTCTTTTAAATAATTCTAATGATTACTTCTGTCTTAACACTACTACTTACGGAATTTTCGACTATCAATGTAAAAGCTATAAGGTCGAATGTTATTGGCAAGTCAAATTAATAGTTGTTGCAGGTTTTATCAAAGCAGGTTTTCGGTATTGATTTAATCCGCTATTTTATTTTTGTTGGCCTTGTTATCTATTGACCCAATTGTAAACCACAGCTTACTTTTTGGCGGGAACTCGAATAGTGAGGTAATCGCTTTTTTTGATTTTTTTATTTTTTTTATTTCCTTTGTAGGCAGACGAGCATACGGCCCACCTGATGGTGAGTGGTTACCGTCGCCCATGGACTTCAGCAATGCCAAGGGCAGAGCCAAGCCGCTGCCTACCGCAAGTACATTTAGTACTTCTTCGTGTAACATTGGTGGCTTTTTAATCATTCAAATAAAAGTGCACCAGTATAGGTTAATATAACAAAATCACCGGCATAACTTCTTGGGTTCTCCCAAAAGGTCTATTGAAATTGCTGTAAATTCCCATAATTTTACGGAGTGAAAATTTTTCATTTCACCTCACAAAACCATTTCATCGAACTTTGTCTTAAAATCACGATCATTCAAATCAAATAATAAAAAAAATAATGAAATTCGTTTTTTTACACTTCATTTCGTTACGTTCCGTTTCATGTTATCATAACCCAAATAAAAATTTGGCTAAAAGGTCAGAATCCAGACAGTTACATAAGTAAAATAAAAATAGACTTTTTTTATTTGGTTCTCTGTTGTTATGCAGTAAATAAAATACATAGATCACACGCAAGCGAAGGCCACTACCCACACGAAAGCAAACTCAATTGTATTGCATAACAGTCGCAGTGGAACGTCATTCCTCTCCGAGCAAAATCTGGAATAGCTAGCAGGGTACAACTCACGGAACACTAACACACACACACACATATATATCGAAGGAGACCTAACAAGACAAGAGCAACTGCTTGGCGATTGAATCTGTTTAATAGTCTAATTTATATCTGTATAGCGACCCGCCCTCGCTTCGCTTCGGAAACATTAAAACACACATGAAACAAACAAAAAAAAAATTTTTTTTAAAAGTAGCCTATGTTCATCAGGGACAATGTCGGCTTCTAATGGAAAAAGAATTTTTCAAATCGGTCCAGTAGTTTCGGAGCCTATTCGAAACAAACAAACAAACAAATCTTTCCTCTTTATAATATTAGTATAGAAGTATAGATATAGATTAAGTATTATAGAGATTTTCACATTAAATATTCATGAGCGACGACTTTCTCTTTCTGATGTCAATACACTTCAGTAACACGAGATGGACGGTTGTATGCAAGAGGTCTTTACGCGTCTAAATTAAAAATAAACGCATCTAGTTAATTGCCATAGTGTTTATCTGATTAACATTGTCCGTTTCAATATGAATGAAGAAACATACGAATCAGAGTTATAAAGTCCTTCAAACGCTATTAACAGACTGAGGCGTGTGATCGCTTAGGCATAATGAACATCCAATTCAATAATTGATGCCCACGTCTAAGAATTCGTTCGAAAAAGATTTCAGTTAATTTTGTTCGTTCCTTTATAGCGATTACAATGGTATTAGCTCACGTATTATAATAGATGTGTGCAACTATATATCGAATAAGATTTTTTTTATTATTATTGCTTAGATGGGTGGACGAACTCACAGCCCACCTAGTGTTAAGTGGTTACTGGGGCCCATAGGCATTCGCAACGTAAATGCGCCACCCATCTCGAGATATAAGTTCTAAGGTCTCAAGTATAGTTACAACGGCTGCCCCACCCTTCAAACCGAAACGCATTATTGCTTCACGGCAGAAATAGGCAGGGTGATGGTACCTACCCGCGCGGACTCACAAGAGGTCCTACCACCAGTAAATTATTATTTTGCATTATTTTCCAACATCAAGAGAAAAAAAATTATAATAAGACAGAGAAACTGTAATAAATAAAAGGATCTAACTCTAGAATTCTTGCTGATTATTGTATAATTTCGACCACTGGGCGAACACTAGGCTCTTGTTAACTAATTCGATAATATTAATCGCAATGAAACACGACTAGAAATAAAGTAATGCGCCTAGTCAATGACCTTGCGTGGCGCGGGGGGCTGCCAATTACATTCACGCGGCTGAGAGCCATGAATATGGAATCTAATAAAATGACAAATTCGTTTTTTTTTCTACTAAACAATATTAACATTTTAAAATAGATTGTTCAAAGGTGAGCTTCACAGTAAGCTCACTCGCTTTTGGTTAAGTATTTTGAAAAGTTATATAAAGTTAATTTTTTTTTATTGCCTTTATAGGCAGACGACCATACGGCCCACCTGATGGTGAGTGGTTAGCCTCGCCCATGGACTTCAGCAATGCCAGGGGCAGAGCCAAGCCGCTGCCTACCGCTGATTTTCATTTGAGTAACTTTTAGAATACAAACATTGGTTTTTCTTTATCGAGAGCGGTTCTCTTGTAATTTAAACGGAACCCAGAATTCATACTTACATTACAAATGCAGCGTTTTAAACATTCATGCAATAACAAACAGGTGAATGTGTCCTTCGACCCGTACCCACATCCGGCGCGGACGCATGCATTAATGCATTCCAATGTGGAGCGTTTATTAAAATACATGTTGATCTATATTCAGCGATTGCACTGACAACTTCGGCTCACTGAGTTTCTCGCCGGCTCTTCTCAGTGGGTTGCGATTCCGATTCGGCGGTAGATTCAGCGAAGCACTGCTCTTGCTAGGGCTGGTGTTAGCAAATTCCTTCAGGTTGAGCCCTTAGCTCACCTACGCGTCCGGGCGTAGGTGAGAACACTGATCCTAGCAAGAGCAGCGCTTCGCAGAATCTACCATCGGATTGAAATCGCGACTCACTGAGAAGACCCGGCGAGAAACTCAGTCGGCTGTGTCTATGAGTTAATTCGCTCGTCGAGCCCTTCGTCGCAAGCGACGGGCTCGGCAAGGACGGTGACCGGTGCTTGTGGTACCTAAAAGCACCGTTAAGGGATCGGGAGGATACGTAATTACGTGTTTTGGGCGACGTCGGCTGTTTACCATTCGGTCTACAGGATCAGGTATGAGGGACCGCCTAATCATGTCAGCCTTCGTTAGAAGTTAAGAATTTGTTTAAGATACCTATCTAATCGATGGTAGCCTAAGGGGCTATTCCGGTTACTCGCGGACCGGAAGGTGGAAGATGATAAGAAAAGTTAAATCATCATGGCCTAAAGGATAAGACGGCAGCTTGGTATCAAGCGATTTGATTATGCAAAATCTACCACCGGATCGGAAACGCGACCCATTGAGAAGATCCGGCGAGAAACTCCATGGGCTCGACGCTGGCTTTAACTATAACCCGGCATATAGCAGTCAGCCAGCGGCGACACCCTGGACGCGTCGTGATCCATCCGTATGTACCGCTCACTGTTCATGATGTCACCGCTCATGATGATGGATGCTACTAACTTTAACTTCTCTCATGATTGACTCCCTAGATTCTCCTACGCGTCCTGCTGAAACTATGAAGATTATCTTCGAACCGTCGGTCTATCAACCAAAGACACCTGCTCAATGAAAGATGTGGCCCTTTTAGATTTCCCCAAGCGACTTAATTAAAATAAAAACATATTACATAATATGTATCAACAAGATTTTCTTATTTTCCGAGAGCCCTATTCGTTTTTTAAATACTTTCACGCCGTCTCGGTCGTTCGCGTCCCTGACCATGAAATATGAAAAAATATTCGAACATCCATTTTCTCAAAATCAATATATCGCGGCACATTTTTCAAATTAACAGACCTCAAAATATAAATCCCACCACCTATCCCGGATGAGATTTAAGTCTTGTTTAATATAACACTGTTTTACCTTTTACTTTCAAGGGTTAAGGCTGTCCACTGACATTAAGCTCGCTTGACAATAATTATCAAGTTTTCTTTAGGAGACGCCGAACGGTGAAGTCATGATTTAAACATTAATATGTCGCCAAAACCCGTTTTATGTTCCAATTTCTCATAGGCTACACTTATAACATATTGTGTATTGTGTGATTTGAGTATTATCTTTTGGTGTTCAAATTCAAATAAAACTTGTTTATGAACTACCTTCATTAAACATAATGAATGATTTAAAAAAAAATCTATTACGCGTGCATACGGATCCTATAATTAATTTTACAAAAATAATAATTTTTTTTTTAGTCATAAAATCTTCAGAATTCGACAAATAAACGAACTATTTTTGAACAACAAACTCACCACGTATATCGAGTAATTGATACTATGATTCGAACAACCACACTGTCCACTACACAGTCCAAATACAACTGATAAGCATTCGAATTACGTAACGCAAGAATTGAAAAAAAAAAAAACAAAACGCACAGTCGATGTGGGTCTGTGCGTGCGCGTCGCGGAACGTATTTACGAACACTGACCGGTGTAGTGACGCGGCTGGACTCGGCTAAAGGCGGGAATGAAACTATTCCATAAATATTTGAATAATAAGTAACGTGACCATTGTTTTTTCGTGTCAAAGCGGGACGCCTACGGAATTTCGTATATAAATAAATATATAGGGTATGTCGGGGTAAGATGTAATATATAAGTGCAAAATAAAAAATAAGGTTTAAAAAATTACTTGAAATAATTTATTATTGTATTTTACTCTCACTGACATCTTAATCCTTACATCAACTTGACCTTAAAATAATATTTATAAATTACTATTATCAATATTATCGTCTATAATTATTAATAAAATATTTTGTATCTGATGCCTGATGAAGGTCTGATCTGATGTCTAACAAAAGACCGAAACGTTGCAAAAATAAAAATGTAATTTGTTATTATGATCCTATCTTGTCCACATTCCTGAGATACAAAATATTTAATTAATACATATTTATAAATAATCTCGCAACAAAAAACTACTTTTCTACAGCAAAATTAGAGTTACTTTAGTATGTATTTTGTAATATAATAAGGATTTGGGATAAGTAAGTATTCCGGAAGTTTCTAATAAACACATCTACAACAGATAATTAATGAAAGCGGGATATTTTTGTTCTCGTTGGGGACAGCGGGACGGACAGCCTGAGAGTGGGATAATCCCGCCCGAAGCGGGACGTATGGTCACGTTAGTAATAAGTCAAACCTCTTAGGTCGCAATGTTTTTTTTAGTCTAATTTTTTTTCTACATCTTATTCCTCTTTTAAATCTATCAAATGTTTAATCTATAAAATCTAAACTTAATTATTTTAATTTACTTAATATATATGTAATGGTATTTATAAATTATGTAGATTATTGTAAAATGTAACTTCGTCCAAAGACGCCAGTAACAGAGGCACGGGAAAATGCGTGATGATGCCTGATTAGTATGTATTTAATATAGGTACGCTACATAATAATAACCATGTATACATTATAATAACCATGTATAGTAATTATCACACTATGTGTACTCGCTGATCTACCCGGGTTGTTTTAATTTTTGCAGAGACTAAATAACACAGCGATAAAAATAAATAATGAAATTAACAGAGATTCTTTATTTTTGAGGTATGGCGCCGGCAAACGAATAGACAGATTTTTTTTTCCTTAGATGGGTGGACGAGCTCACAGCCCACCTGGTGTTAAGTGGTTACTGGAGCCCATAGACATCTACAACATTAATGCGCCACCCATTTTCAGATATAAGTTCTAAGGTCTCAGTATAGTTAGAACCTACCCGTGCGGGACTTACAAGAGGTCCTACCACCAGTAAGTTTTTTTTGTAGTTATAGAAACAGTAACCACGTGAGCTTGAATAAAAGCCTTATTTCAAAACCACAGACAAACACTTTCATTTTTATTTAAACAGATACGCATAGCTTATAAAATAAATGAATGAAACCTAGTAGTCATTTGTTAGTAGCTAATTTGTCAGTTTAGTTAAAATACGTCTTAGGATATATCAAATTATATACACCGGTTTGCCTAAAACCACTCGTTAGCCAACTATGTGTCTATGCCAGATTCCTTTCACAAAATGAAAAAAAAAACTGTAGAAAGGTTAAACGCAAATAAACGAGAAGCGAAAATGAACAAACAAAGAATGTCACCAGTATTATTTTTTATCTAAAAGTCGATTATTCAAACGTTAATTTCTGCTGGATAAGGCAGATGAAAACTGTATTGAAATTGTTCAGCGTGTAATTATGATTTAACGTTCAATTATCTAAACTGGCCATGAATTAACTGAAAAAAAAAAAAACGTGGACAATAATTAATTGATTTCTTGATTTCTCGTGACTAGCCGCTAGACTATAGCCCCGATTTTAAATATCTCAATGATATCTGACTCTTCGAAAAATTTGTGGTCCCGTAGTAGTCGAAATTTGACTATAATTAATTGAAATTATAAGTTTCAACATTATTATTGTCGTATTGTTATAGATTTCGCCAAGACTACACTATAGACAAATACTCGTAATATTAAAGATAAACAATACTAACCTATTCTCAATTTGACTACAGACTTTAAGCAATAACAAAAGTTTGACAATAAGCAAAGAGTGTGTGTGTGTCAAATACATGGTAGTGTGTGTAATGTTTTCTTTGTTGATTTAATGTATCTTTTATGCATTATTTAAAAAAAAATATTAGCATTGTGCACATCTTCTCTATATTCTCTATAAGTGTGGAAAATTTCATACTCCTCCGTCCGCGCAATTTTCGTAAAAAGGGATACACAGTTTTTGCTTCACGTATTAATATATAGATTCTTTTTTCAATTCTTTCTATTTTGTTATTTTCAAAATTGATGTTCGTATTTTGTCATAAATGGAATGTTTATATAAGGAAAAAGCTGAATAGATAGAAATATCAAATTAATTTAATCTATGATAAACTGACAATGAAATCTAAATGCGAGATTTTTTGGCGGGAATCCGATGAGTGAAGTTGTGTGATTTGTTTTATTTTGTCTATTTAGTGTTTCCTCAGGTTTAAATTTGTAATAACGGTGGTTTATTAACTGTTTAATATCTGTGTAAGTGCACAAATGTGGGAAAACGAAACAAAGCCGCTGGACGTCACTTCTCGGGATCCTCCAAAAAGTCCACTGAAAAAATCTCAGTAAATGACCACCATTTTACTGAGATTATATTTCATCTCATATCTCATTTCACTTAATTTCATCCCAGTTAATTAATATCTCAAATTAATCATCTTCATTTCATTTCACTCCAAATTATCATTTTCCATAAAATAAGAATATAAATTAAAATAAGACATGACCTAAAGGTCTTAGTTACCAGGTCTTAAAATCCCCTATAAAAATCTACATGCAGAGTAAGTACTTCACGGTGTAAATGATAAAAATATAAATAAGTGCTTGTCCTCACTGCATTTTATAATCTCTGTTCACCGATTTATCTAATTACAGTTCACATTTTTTCAACAGTCTAATGTTGTTCTTGCCGCGTGATTGACAGTGACGCGCGAGGACACTGAACTTCAGTTCAATATTGTCCAGGGATACTCGCAGCGAAACATAACAGAGCTTAATAAGTCAATGATAAGATAAGACGTACTTAAAAAGGTAGTATATAATTAGCCAATGTCATCACAAAACTTTTTTAAATTTTTTTTATTCGTTTCCACAAAGTTTCGTTTGACAGAGCGTAAATAGAATAGGTATTATGCAACTGGAGTATCAAACTGTTCCTTTTTTTCCCTACCTATGCTGATAGTCTTGAGAGGTTTTAACAGCGTTTCCCTAGCGTGTATGTGAGCTCTCGGGGCTCAAACCGGAGGTGTTGCTAACACTGGCCCTAGCAAGGGCAGTGTTTCGCAGAATCTACCACCGGATCGGAAACGCGATCAACTGAATCACAACTGAGAAGATCCGGCGAGAAACTCTACTACATTATTTTATTCTATCATCAATAGTTTAAGCAGGGCACGCGATGTAAAGCATATTTTAGGTAATTCTTTTACACCTTAAGTTACATTACTGGAGCTTTAGTAAGGATCCCAAATTTTTTTCAAAAAAGATTATTGTCGATGTCACTCGGGAGTAGTGTAGCTTCCAAACAGTGAAAGAATTTTTCAAATCGGTTCAGTAGTTTCGGAGCCTATTCAATACAAACAAACAAACAAATCTTTCCTCTTTATAATTATATATAATATAATGTATAATAATAATAATAATATTACGTATAGATTGCCTAAACGTAATTATTATTATTTTCCACAGGGAGAAAATCGCCGGATCCCCATTCGCGCAGCGGGTGGGGTATGTGGGAGTTGAACCTCACTAAAAACTCCTGCTGCTCACAACCGGCGAACTACCCCGGACCGGGCCGGAGCCCAGTCGGAGTTATTGAGACCGCGGGACAGGGTTTATGCAGAGCACATTACATCCATCCCGCCGACCCTCAGACGTCGGACCGGCGGCCGCCGGCGAAACGACCACCAGTTCCCACGGTCGACGGGCCGGGAGCTCACCTTGATGGCGCCACGCTGCACCTTCCCCCAGAGCGATCGGGGGAACGCTGTCTACCATCACCCGGCTTCCTATTACGGGCGTGGTGTAAATCGCCCCGCCCCACGGCTGGGTCCCTCCCCGCATAAAGCGGGTGGAGCCCAAAGCTCTTAGGGGGCCGGGTCACGGATGAGACCCCGGTCCCGACCCCTGCCCGGCGGCGGCGGATTTCTGCATAGCGAGGAGAACTTCGCCTCACCCGCCTTGCCGCCTCCGTCTGCGAGATGGTGCACTCGCAGAAGTCGAGCATAGCTTTCCAGGACTCGTCGCCGCCAAGCATCGACGCCACGACGCCAGGCAGCGACAAGTCTGGTCCTATCTTTGCGACCACGACACAGCGCTGCACCTCCCAAGTGGGGCAGACAGCGAGCGTATGCTCCGCCGTGTCCATGTCGTGTCCACAGTGGTGGCACCTCGTCGTCGCCTCAGCTCCTATCCGGTGCAAGGACTTCCCGAAGCATCCGTGCCCGGTCAGCACCTGCACCAGACGAAAGGTGAGGCGTTCTGCGCCACGATTCAGACAATCATCAAAGACCGGGTAAACCGCCTTGACAGTCCTTAACCCCACGTGGGGTTGGCCAACCGCCTCGACCACGATTCGACGTAATTAACCTTGCATCTAGTTCACAATATTGTGCAAGACAATAAATATTGCTTGATCTGAAGAGAAATTTGTGGGACTAACCGAAAAAATAAGAACGCTGAGCATCTCCAAGCGCTATTAACGCAAATAAAGAGTTAACTTACATATTAGAAAATTAAATTAAATAAAAATAAATAAAAACTGTTACTGCTGGTAGGACCTCTTGTGAGTCCGCACGGATAAGCACCCTGCCTATTTCTGCCGTTAAGCAGTAATGCGTTTCGTTTTGAAGGGTGGGGTAGCCGTTGTAGCTATACTGAGACCATAGAACTCATATCTCAAGATAGTAATCTCATAGATGTCTATGGGCTCCGATAACCACTCCTAATAATAGGTGGGCCGTGAACTCGTCCACACACCTAAGCAATAAAAAAAAAGAATGTAATTAAATTATTGCCTGAATCACATTAAAATTTTAACACTGCATCACAATCAAGACCTCCATTCTAAAGTGAAAGTCATTGTCGTTTATTCCAAATACCTTTGGCGCTTATGAAATTTAATTCGATAAAAAGTCCGTGCAACTCTCTGAGTTCCAATGAATGCTATAAGTGACGAAAGCGGGTAGTTTTCAAGTTATAAATTGATCGTTTTGTGTAAACAAATATGGCAACTAGTTTAGACGAATCAACCGCTACTCAATGCTGTATTCCGAGCACGTAAAAAGACGTAACGAAAAATACTACCAACACACGTTCAAAGTGCAATGTCCGGCTTGAATGCGATATCAATAAAAACATTGAATACGCTACCCGATATGATTAAATAGTGTTCCGGAAATACCCAACTAAACTAAACATAATTCTAAATATCGCATCTTTCAAACCGGAACCCAGATAAGATAAGTTGTTATGGGACAATCTGAGCCGCCATTGTTATGGCTTGTTAGCCGAAGTACGGACGTATACATTATTAAATTAACGAGCTACGATAAATACCCGATAAAACATTTGCAGCCTCAACATTTTCCCAGAAACACAACAACGTAAATCCCGTCACCCGCTTTGAGTGCCATTGTCTGTTTCGCGGTAAAAATAAATAGGGCGGTAGTTATAGCTATCGATACCGATTGAATCGTATCGATATTATTGCATTATTTTTTAAATAAACAGTAATATAATTGCGCCCGTATCGATAGTTACCTCCATTCTGCATTACTAATCACGTAAAATGTTCATTGTATTTTATGACTATTGTAATAATGGGCAAACTTTGTAACTATAGTTGTTCGTGTTTTAGAGATTTATTTCGATTCGAGATTGATTTTTTTAAGTATAAGCACGCAGCAGTTGATTTTTTTAAGTTTAAGTATAAGCGCATATAATATAGATAAAGCTTATTGAATGTTAAATTTCATTCATAGATTTGGTTAGGTTTTACCCAGCCATCAACACATCTTCTTTTATACAATAGTTTTGTTTCTTTCTATAAGGTTGCCGTCGCTTTACTGGTGGTAGGACCACTTGCGAGTCCGCACGGGTAGATACCACCGCCCTGCCTATTTCTGTCGTGAAGCAGTAATGCATTTCGGTCTGATGGGTAGGGTTGCCGTTGCAACTATACAGAGATCTTAGAACTTATATCCCAAGGTGGGTGGCGCATTTACGTTATAGATGTCTATAGGCTAGGTAGGCAGCGGCTTGGCTCTGCCCCTGGCATTGCTGAAGTCCATGGGCGACGGTAACCACTCACCATCAGGTGGGTATGCTCGTCTGCCTACAGAGGCAATAAAAATAAATAAATAAAAGGCTCCAGTAAACACTTAACACCAGGTGGGCTGTGAGCTCATCCATCTATCTAAACAATAAAAAAAATTGCTTTATTCCACAGTAGGTATAATATTTATGTTGAATGACTGGAAATAGTACAAAGCGAGTTCTTAAGCGTCTTTATACCGATGTCGTCTCTTCGACTTATCCTAACCGTCAACACTTATCGCTCTAACCGATCATAGGTCATAAAGTTAATGAAATAATCAGATTGAATACAGATATTTCTTTGACAAACTTTCATGAAATAATATAATCGTGCTATCGCGCATTCTAAGCCAGGTATGGGCAACCTTTGACGTGTTGAGGGCCAAACTTTAGCGTGCAAATACGTTCGCGACCGCATTTAAAAAGTACTTAGTGTATCTTAAAGTAGTGATAATATTTTTGCCACAGATATTAGACATGAAATAATACGACAATGGGATTATAGTACAATTTATTAAAATAACCAAATTAAATTTTAAAAAATATACATTATAATTTATTTTTATTTGATGTTTTCTTTCTGTATTAGAGCCGGCTGTATAAGTATAAGTCGGCTGGTACATTATAATTAAATCGTCAAATTTGCAATTGTTACAAACTACGAAAGTTAAATACACCGAAATCAATGAGACACTTGAGCTTGAATTCGGGACACTAATCCATCGATATTTGGATTAATTCCACTGATACAAAGACGTAAAGAATATTCCAAATTATCGTCAGTCAGTCTTGTACGATATGTTGATTTATTAACTTTCATCAATGAAAAGAACTGTTCACATTTATAAGTACTGCTAAACTCACAAATCAAACTTCTTGCGAACTTTCTAAGCTGCGGAAAATTGTTTTCTTCTAGGTATTTTTTGTAGAAATCGCACAACTCTACGTCGTCAAATTTGGATTTTAGGAGTGAGTTTTCTTGAATCTCGGTCAACTCCATTTGTAAGTGTATTGGAGCATTTTGTACATAACATTTTATAGGAGTAGCAAAAAAAACTGCAACAGTCTTCCGTGTTTTTGAAGTCGCTAAATCTGTTCGAAAATTGTTCCGACAGTAACTTGAATTCTTCAGCATATTGAGCATAAGCAATATTTTCATACGCAGAGAGCGTGTTGAAATGGTAACTGCTACCAGACAGCATGTGTGACTCCTACAAGCGCTTTCAAATGGCTATACAAATCTTTTACTAACTGTCCTTGTTTTTGAAGTTTCAAATTTAAATCATTCAAATAGCCTGTAAGATCGACCAGAAATGCTAAGCCACGTAACCATTTTAGGTCACTTAATTCAGATAGTGGTTTATCTTTTATTTTCATAAAGTCTGCCATCTCATTTCTAAGCTCGTAAAACCGTTTCAACATTTTTCTTTTGCTCAGCCATCTGACTTCACAATAATATGTTACGTCGTTTTATTCAGCTGATACTTAATCCAAAAACGCCTTGAACTGACGGTGGTTAAGCCCTCGGGATCGATTAAAGTTGATGATTTTTACTACCACATTCATTACTGGAGTCGAATGGACTTAGAACACAAGTTCTATTGGTGGATAATGCAATGAAGGACTATCAAATAACCTTTTTGCACATTTAATTCTGTTGCTTTTTCATTCAAAATTCCGATGAAACCTTTACGTAAGTCAACTCTGTGCACCATCAGTGCATACTCCTGGTATGTCGAAATAAGCGCCACGCGGTTTTTTTTTTTTATTGCTTAGATGGGTGGACGAGCTCACAGCCCACCTGATGTTAAGCGGTTACTGGAGCCCATAGACATCTACTATGTAAATGCGCCACCCACCTTGAGATATAAGTTCTAAGGTCTCAGTATAGTTACAACGGCTACCCCACCCTTCAAACCGAAACGCATTACGGCTTCATAGCAGAAATAGGCGGCGTGGTGGTACCTACCCGTGCGGACTCACAAGTGGTCCTACCATCAGTGATTATGCAAATTATAATTTTGCGGGTTTGATTTTTATTACACGATGTTTTTCCTTCACCGTGGAAGTCAATCGTGAACATTTTATCCCTCCACACCATAAGATCCACATCTCCCTAGGTGCATCCCAACACTTGACTAACATGTCCTTTTCTGTAAGGCGCGCCAATTCGTAGGGTACAAATTGGCTTTTGTCCGCAGTGTCCCCAAACTCACAGTTACACTCACAACCTTCAGTTCTCCGGCCAATGCTGGAGAGTTGTAGAAATTGTCCGTCCATATTGTGTGCTCTCTAAACTGAAGACCATATAAAAGTTTGCGCACGAGAGCTAGTCTTGTCCCAGAAATTGGATCATCTTTCTTGAAGGTGCCGAGGTGTCATAGCCTGCATGTAATTCAAGCCACCACAAATAGCCAGTCAATATAACCAGCCACACTTCATATGTTTTTATCCCAACTGTCGCTGCCTTGTTACGGACGAACTGGTATATCAAGTCAGCCTTTCACATGGTCAAACTCTCATCAATAGCCACATTTTGAGATAAATTATATAATTCTGAATTTTTGATTAAGGTGGTTAATGCCAGATCTCAACAACAGTATTTCATTATGATAGGACTTTTTGGCGGGAACGTGAGGAGCGAAGTAGTGTGAACTGTTTTATTTGGTCTATTTAAAATGTCTTCAGGTTTAAAGGTGTATATAATAACGGTGGTTTATTAACTGCTTAGTATCTTTGAAAGTGCACAAATGTGGGAAAATGAAACAAAGCCGTTGAACGCAGCTTCTTGGGATCCTCCAATAAGTCCACTGAAAAAGTCTCAGTAAATAACCACCATTTTACTGACAATATATCTAATCCCATATAATTCCATCTCGTTTCATCTCATTTCATTTCATTTTATTTCACTTCATATTATCATTTTTCATATTTAAAATATAAAATATAGGCTGTATGGTATGATATTTTTGCCTTTTCAGTTAGAAAAGTAGAACTACCACTACTTCACTTTGACAGCTACGACATGTGGTCATTGTGGTCAATTTGTGTTTATTTATAAATAAAACCTATTGTAAATTAAGAATATGAAAGTTAATACGTAATTAAATCAACATGAATCCAAAAAAACTAGCCCAGAACCCATCATTGGCGTACACAAGCCACCCAGATTATAGAAAACCGCCAAAAATAGCAAATCCGGTAAATAACCTTTACACATCATTAGATTTTTTTTTGTAAGCCCATAGCAGCAATTTGAAAATCAACGAAGTAATCGCGATGGCGTGTCTTCGAGAAGTTTGTTATTAAAGATTTCAAACTTTTTGTACTAAGCCATAAATAATTAGTTTAATTCGTATACCAGTCGACTTAACCTAATAGGTGTATGGCTCTAATAAAGAATAAAAAAAATCGTATACTGATTCATCACACTACTTTATTTTTATTTCTAATTTCCTTTTGTAACTTGTTTCATTTGATGAATAATAAATCATACACTCGTTACAGTACCTTCAAAGTCTTGGAGCGCCTCACATAGATTCATTCAATTATATGCTGGACGATGGCTTGAAGTTTGCGATAGCTGATCTATTGCCATCCGAATTTGAGTTACCTAGTGGTGAAAAGGTCAAAGTGACAATCGATGAAGCAGCATTCGCTAAACCCAATGTTCCTATGGATACAGTAGGGGTTAAATCTCAGGTGGTCCTCCCAACAGAATGCCGGCAGAGAGCTGCTACATACAAGGGAGAGTTAAAGATCAGAGTCACTCTGTGCATTGACGGAAGGTCTGTCACCATTGAGAGGTCCTTAGGTTATTTACCCATTATGATTAAGGTGAGTTCATTATAGTAATTTTCCTTTGAAATTCATTTTAAATAATTTTGCTTTAAATGTGTAATTTTAGCTATCATTGTACCAACACATTGAGGGGTATAATGAAAAATAGTTTAGATTATTGAATATCTGTGTATTTGAGGATGTAATTTCAATTGAATAAAAACTTTTTACTTCATGGTAATTAATGGTATTATAATACTAGTGAAAAAAGTATGTCACCTGTAAACTCATGTTAATGTATATAGAATGCAAATAAATTCGACACTGTTACCTTTAAAGTTTAATTCTGTTATACTAACAAAGTAGTTTTACAATTCTGGTCATCAAATAATAAAGTTTTAGGAGGAAGGTTCGACTGACACTTGAGCATACAAAGATATTCTAATAATCACTAAATGATATGTTAGCAGTTCATCGCCTAAAGTACTTTTAGAGCAATTTATATGTTAATCATTCACAGCCTGGGATCCTGATACTATGATTTCTATGAAATTATTATTTGAAAAGTTGAAATAAGGAAAACAAACCCTATAATTTAAACATTAAGAATCTTTATATTTGTTAATAGTGTAATACAGAGGACAGTTTGGTGGAGTGATAATGAAACTATTATGCACAGGTTTAAAAAAAAAAAATATCAAATTAGGCAGAAAACTTTTGTTATTCTAACTTTATTTTTTATTACCCTTGTAACAGAGGAGCTTATGGTCACCTGAAAGTGGGGTGTAGTTCTGAATATTGTTTAAAAGTAATGCTTTATTATTTGTAGTCTAAAATGTGTCATTTGGCTGATTTATCACCTGAAGAACTGATTGAGAAAAATGAACATGCTGATGAATGGGGTGGATATTTTGTAATAAAGGTTTGTAACTACCGTCATTTCAAAGAAACTATATTTTCAGTAAAATTATTGCACAAAATGTTAATAATTAATTATGTGTTAGTGATTCTGAAAAGAATCAGCGCAGGACCGATCGTTGTTGCGAGGCTTAGAGGAGGCCTATGTCCAACAGTGGATGTCTGTGGGCTGATAGAAGACGAAAAAGAAGATTCTGGAAACCCACTGTATGAATAGACTTCCCCCAATGCAGTCACAACCACTGTAATGAGTGTCTGACTGAGGAGAAGCTATTGATTAACATGCAGCTTTTGCTGAAATAATAATTCTTCATCTCAAAGCTCACAGTTCATGATAATATTCAGTAGTCATTAGAGAAGATTGTTACTGCCATAGATAATACACATAAATTAGTTATAGATAAGCAACTCAAGCACTCAACAAAAATGTTTATGGGCATCAGCCACTAGATGGCTTCGCTTCGATTAGTTTCTCGTTGCTCCTGTAGATTAGATTATATTGAGTAGATTGATAAAATTTATTCAATTTGTTTATAACAAATAAAGACTTGTATGATTTTTTATTTTTTATTTTCTGTGTTTCGTTATACAATAATTAAATGCCATATCTTTAAAAACATATAAGTTTAGGGTCATCCGCTACAAGATGTCGATAGAATCAAATAATTAAAAAAAAATTGTCTTAAAGTATCGCAGTTTCAGGACCCTACAGCTACTGTAAGTCTTAATAAAATTTCAGTAATAGTCTGAAAGCCTTTCAAATGGCAACAGATGACTATCTCACAAAAAATATATAGTTTATAATGAATACTTGTTTATAATTAATACTAGGGCCATGAGCGTCTAGCCCGTATGTTGTTGGTTACACGAAGGAACTACCCTGTGGCCATCAAGCGGTCAGGATGGAAGATGCGAGGAAATCTCTTCTCAGACTATGGAGTATTAGTACGTTGCGTCACCTCCGATCAGACCAGCACGGTGAGTTGAATAAACAAGTAAATGAATAGTCCAAGACACATTGCTTACATTACTCGCTTGTAATAAAGAAGGAAATAGTTGTACCTATTCCAACATCAAACTCCAGCAAGTGACCCCACTTCTTACCTACTAGAACATCAGTCTAAGGATCTTCTTACATACACAGAGGGCTACTTGAAACACGATAGGTATAACTAGTGGAATAAAAAGTACCTTTTTTTTCCTACCTAAGCTGATAGCCTTGAGAGGCTAATTCAGCGTAACCTTAACTAGTAGGTGAGCTCACGGGACTCAAACCTGACGACGTTGCTAACACGAACCCTAGCAAGAGCCGTGCTTCGCAGAATCTACCACCTAATCGGAAAAGCGACCCACTGAGAAGATCCGGCAAGAAAATCAGTTGACTGTGTCTGAGGGTTAATTTACTCGTCGAGCCCTTCGTCGCAAGCGACGGGTTCGACGAGAACGATGACCGGTGCTTGAGATACCTAAAAGCACCGTTAGTGGATCGGGAGGATCCGAAATGACGTGAAAAAGTACCTTGAACTTATCCTAGTAGGTGCTATTTTACAATAACAAACTTGTGTTCTACCAAACTAACTTTCTTCTACAGAACAATGTTCTACATTTCCTAACGAATGGCACGTGCAAGCTGATGTTCTCGTACCGAAAGATGATGTACTACGCTCCCCTACTCCTCATAATGAAGTGCCTGGTCCCGTGGCCGGATCACTACATATACACACTGCTGCTGCAGCATAATAAGAATGATTTGTACTACGTCAAGTAAGTCAAGCTTGGTTCCTCGTTGGATTGAAATTGCATCAGATCTTCAATTTTTTTTTATTGCTTAGGTGAGTGGACGAGCTCACAGCCCATCCGGTGTTAAGTGGTTACTGGAGCCCATAGACATCTACAACGTAAATGCGCCACCTACCTTGAGATATAAGTTCTAAGGTCTCAGGTATAGTTACAACGGCTGCTGGCTGCCCCACCCTTCAAACCGAAACGCATTACTGCTTATAGGCAGGGCGGTGGTACCCACCCGCGCAGACTCCCAAGAGGTCCCACCACCAGTAATACTGTTTCAGTTGCATCCAGAATATGCTCCGAGAGCTCCACGAGGAAGGTCTGCACACATCCGAAGAGTGTCGCCTGTACTTAGGCAAGATGTTCCGCTCCAAGCTGTACGAGCTGCCGCCCTGGGCTACCGAGATGGAGGCGGCCCAGTTCCTCCTGGACCGATGCGTTATGATCCACCTAAAGAACAACACGGACAAGTTCCACGCTTTAGTCTTCATGGTCCAGAAGCTCTACGATCTAGTTCAGAATAAGTGTAAGGTGAGGGTCTGCGGACAACACAGCCATGCGCGCTGCCACTCTCAGTGACGTGGATGAGTAATGCGCGCGATACTGACTACTTTTGAGAAGTCTTTAAGTCGTCGTGGCCTAAAGGATAAGACGTTCGGTGCATTCGTGTGTTGCGATGCACCGGTGTTCGAATCCCGCAGGCGGGTACCAATTTTTCTAATGAAATACGTACTCAATAAATGTTCACGATTGACTTCCACGGTGAAGGAATAACATCGTGTAATAAAAATCAAACCCACAAAATTATAATTTGCGTAATAACTGGTGGTAGGACCTTTTGTGAATTCGCACGGGTAGGTACCACCACCCTGCCTATTTCTGTCGTGAAGCAGTAATGCGTTTCGGTTTGAAGGGCGGGGCAGCCGTTGTAACTATACTTGAGACTTTAGAACTGATATCTCAAGGTGGTTGGCGCGTTTACGTTGTAGATGTATATGGGCTCCAGTAACCACTTAACACCAGGTGGGCTGTGAGCTCGTCCACCCTCCTAAGCAAAAAAAGGCTCTTGATGCCATTTCTGTATGACCTCTGTTTATGGACATTTAGATACGAACTTAAGCTTTTGAAAACAACTCCCCAGTTTAATAATTTCTACGTCAAATCAAACACAATTATCAAATCTTGGAAATTAGTAGCAATACTTATAATATATATCTATATGCATAAAAATGAATTGCTGTTCGTTAGTCTCACTAAAACTTGAGAACGGCTCGACTGATTTGGCTAATTTTGGTCTTGAATTGTTTGTGGAAGTCCAGAGAAGGTTTAAAAGGTAGATAAATATGAAAATGCTCGGAATTAAATAAAAATAACAATTTTGTTTTTCCTTTGATGTGTCCCCGTCGGACGCATTCCTTTTGTTTCCTTTAAGTTTATTTTATACAAAAGTTTAAGTCTTTTATTTATCGATTGAGGCACTACGAAGTCTACCAGGTCAGCTAGTTGCATGATAATTCTTGCTTCATCCAAACTCTAGCCGATGTAAGGTTTTCTCTATTTGTTTTTCTCAATAAAGTTGCAATTGTATTTAAGTACTAGCGACCCGCCCTCGCTTCGCTTCGGAAACATTAAATTTTATTATTGATAGCAGAGTCCCGCGATGTTACTCGCGGTTAATGTCGTACCACGGCTGAAGCCGCGGGGCGAAGCTAGTCTAAAAAAAGAAGCCCAAGTTACTCCTTATATCATCAGCTACCTATCAGTGAAAAGTCCCGTCCCAAACAGACAGACAGACAGACAAAAATTATAAAAAATGTTATTTTGGTGTATGTACCGTATATATATATATTCATATGCATGTAGTAAAAAGCGGTTATTTCAATATTACAAACAGACACTCCAATTTTATTTATATTTATAGATAGATAAACATGATATTTGCGTGGTTTCAGGTGGAAGGAGCGGATGCTGTAATGATGCAGGAGGTGATGGTGGGAGGCCACCTCTACCTGCAGGTGTTGAAGGAGAGACTTCAGAATATTCTCAATAACGTCAGGATACAGATCCTTAAACGCGCCAAGACAACACATCGACTGGTCATCGGTCATGTGAGTGAATTGTAATTATATACATCTATACTTCTATACTAATGTTACAATATAAAGAGGAACAATTATAAAGAAGAAAGATTTGTTTCTTTGTTTGTATTGAATAGGCTCTGAAACTAATGAACCGATTTAAAAAAAAAAACTTTTACTGTTGGAAAGCTACGGTATCCCCGGGTGACATAGGCTATATATATTATATTTTCAAAAAGATTAGTGGTCCTTACTGAAACTCCAATAATGTAACCCAATGTGTAAAAAAAATACCTAAAATTCTTTACATCGCGTACCCTACTTCCCAAGCGAAGCCGGGGCGGGCTGCTAGTGTTTCGTATTCCACAATCCATGTACATGATTAAAAGCAAAATAACTTTCTCGGATAGGACTATCTCATGGTACTTTCTCTCTTTACTGGTGGTAAGACGTCGTGTGAGTCCTTATAGGTAGGTACCACAACCCTGCTTATTTCTACCGTGAAGCAGTAATGCGTTTCCGTTGTACTGAGACCGTAGAACTCATATTTCAAGGTGGGTGGCGCATTTACGTTGTAGATGTCTATGGGCTCCGGTAACCACTTAACACCAGGTGTGCTGTAAGCTTGTCTACCCATACACGCAATCAAAATATCATGTCGCAAGGTCGTTCATCCACTCTTTTAACCATCTAGCATACAGGAAGACCGGTCAATTTATAAACAAACTAGCGGCCCGCTCCGGCTCCGCTTGGGTCTTTAACAAAAATTTCAACGATATTTGACGTTGTTTTATTTTTTTAAATAAAATAACACTTATTGCGGCATAACTATAATAGTTAGACATATGCTGTCGCGACACTTTTTGTAAATAGTAATGTGTTCTACAAAGTCGTAGTACATTATTTTATTCTATCATGAATAGTTTTCGCAGGACACGTGATATAAAGAATATTTTTGGTAATTTTTTTGTACACCTTGGGTTACATTATTGGAGTTTTAGTAACGATCCTTAATTTTTTTCAAAAAAGATTGTTCTATGTCAATCGGGATGCAGGTGGCAATGAACCGGTCGCACTGGAAATCTATTGGAGAGGCCTATGTTCAGCAGTGGACGGCGATAGGCTGAAATGATGATGATGATGATGAATCGGGAATAGTGTAGCTTCCAAACAGTGAAAGAATTTTTCAAATCGGTTCAGTAGTTTCGGAGCCTATTCAATACAAACAAACAAACAAATCTTTTCTCCTACTTACGCCGAAAGTTCGGTTTTCCTCCCGCTGTACAGGGAAGAAAGTGTAACTTTTCCTCCCTGGGTACAAGTGCGCATGCGCGTTAGTGACTACGTCTGTTCTCACGCTCCTAAAATTCTCCGCCATTGTTGTGCTCGGGTAATTTGCAATATTGTGATTAGTGTAAAAGTGAAATAAACAAAAGGCAATAATGTTTATTATATTAAGTATAGAAATATGGTTTCGTTGACAGAAAGAGCTTCAACAAATCCTCCGCGCTTGCGGGAGCCTAGAGCAGAAGATGGAGACCTTCTTGGCCACGGGGAATGCGCCCTCCAGCAACGTCAACCTCACGCAGTACAAGGGACTCACCATCGTGGCCGAGAACATCAACAGGATGCGATATATGTCGCATTTCAAGTTAATATTTATGTTTTTTATTGCCTTATTTAGAAGTCGTCGTGGCCTAAAGGATAAGACGTCCGGTGTATTTGTATAAGGTCGTATAATAAAAATCAAACTCGTAAAATTATAATTTGCGTAATTACTGTTGGTAGGAACTCTTGTGAGTCCACGCGGGTAGGTACCACCACCTTCCCTATTTCTGCCGTAAAGCAGTAATGCGTTTCGGTTTGAAGGGTGGGGCAGCCGTTGTAACTATATTTGAGACCTTAGAACTTATATCTCAAGGTGGGTGGCGCATTTACGTTGTGGATGTCTATGGGCTCCAGTAACCACTTAACACCAGGTGGGCTGGGAGCTCAGCCACCCATCTAGGCAATAAAAAAAAAGGATTACTGTTTGCTAATAATGACGTTGTGTGTTTAAGATCGATTCACCGCGGCTCGTTCTTCATGGAGATGCGCACGACGGAGGCCCGGCAGCTGCTGCCGGACGCGTGGGGCTTCGTGTGTCCCGTGCACACGCCCGACGGCGCGCCCTGCGGACTGCTCAACCACCTCACCATGTCCGCGCAGGTCTGTCGCCCCTCGCCCGCCGCCCCTCGCCCGCGCCCCTCGCCCGCGCCCCTCGCCCGCCGCCCCTCGCCCGCCGCCCCTCGCCCCGCTGGCTGGAGACAGCCCGAAGTACATCCATGTTATAGTTCGACACGCAATGGAAAATGCGCAGTTAACGCGTGAGGTCAATGCCCTCGTACGAGTCCCGAATGAAATGTCATCATCGTCATCATGGCTCCAAGCCGGTTTTGGCAACGGGGACCAAAATTTTCTGTCCAATAACTTAAAAGCTAATGTGCGCGCCTCTCATGCGCTCTAATATGGCTATGGTAGCTTATCTTGTTCTTAAACGTGCGCAAACACAAGCTACACGTAAGAACACCACCCACGAAGTTGTAAAAAATGGTGGAACGAAATGTACAGAGTGTGCTGAATGCTGTCACCTCTTAATCCAAGACAATAAACTAGATGGCGTTAGTGGTTTTATTTATCAAATATGTGGGTACAGCTTGGTATAAATCTAGATGTTTTACCTACCTATTAGGTACCGTCTCGAACGATTTTTTAATCATACCACTCGTGCACTTTAGTTGCCGACTGTACATAAACACGTCACAGATTATTGTTTTTTCGGCAATAAATTAAAAAGGCACATCTCTGTTTCAGATCACACAAATTCCCGATCAAAAATTAGTGGATAATCTTCCTTTAGTTTTACAAAACTGCGGTAAGTTTCAATTGATAGTTAAAACTCTCGTGGGTTTTTTTGTTTTTTCGAACACGAAATAATAAATTATACTAATTATTCAAGTAATGTTTAGTTTTTAAATGACTTAATATCGATTCGAACAAATCGATATTTTTTAACATGTCACATTTTAGATAACATCTTATACCTTTAAACGAGCAATTCTTGTTTATATAATGTATATTATAATATTCGATATTAGTATTCGAGTAAAAATTCAAATTGTTGTACGTGAGTACATAGGTAGACACAGAATTTAAATTTAAATCACCAATAATAACTACTTCCACCGGTGCAAGTTTACAAATAGCATTTTCGATGGTTTGTAACACACAACTCCATATTATTATAATTAGGTGGTATTATAAGTATACTACACAACAGAGAAACTTAATATTTTTATAATTTATTAATACAAATAAAACCTCCTGCGCAGCCGTGAGACGAGAGCTATCGAGAATGTTAAAAAACAAAATGTGTGCAATTCACACGTGGTAGAAGTGAAACCTTCCAAAATTAAAATACAATTCTCCTAAACGTCTTAAGTATATGTAAAATTTTGTCATTAGTAAATAATTGTAAGGTAGCGCCCTCTGTGAATTGATATTTTAATTTCACGTATAATCCTAAATTAAAATTCACTACAAGAGCTTTCATACACACGTTAGTATTAAAAAATCTCACAGATGGCGCTGTATTAAATAGTATGTATATTTCTGTCTCATTCTTTGCTGGCTTCATCTTACACTTTTTTGTATTTGTGTCTCTTACCTGTCGTTTTTTCCGTTGCATCCGGTTTGAAATCACAACGATTCTAAAGAAGTTTTCTTTTCAAAAATTCGTACTAAGCACAGTGATACCAAACAGGCATGGAGCCCATAAGCAGCGTGCTCTGCGACCGCGACACGTACAAGTACCCGGTGTTCGTGGACGGGCGGCTGGTGGGCTACATCGCGGAGAGCGGCGCCGAGAAGTCGGCCGCCTACCTCCGCACCCTCAAGATAAAGGGCGAAGAGGTTCCCATCACTACCGAGATTGTGGTCATCCCTAAAAAACAGGTGAGTGTTTATTATGTGACTTTTTGGCGGGAACGCGAGGAGTGAAGTTGTGTGATTTGTTTTATTTTGTCTATTTAGTGTTTCTTCAGGTTTAAACGTGTAATAACGGTGGTTTATTAACTGTTTAGTGTCTGTGAAAGTGCACAAATGTGGGAAAATCAAACACTGAACGTAACTTCTCGAGATCCTCCAAAAAGTTCACTGAAAAAGTCTCAGAAATAGGCACCTACCCGTGCGGACTCAAAGGAGGTCCCACCACCAGTAAACTTCTCTTCTTAACTCTGTTTTTTACTGCTTCGTGACTGACTGTCGCGCGGCAGGAAGTCATCCCCGGCGTTAACCAATCTAGAAACCTATATGCTGTTCACAGATCTGCGCCCAATACCCTGGTATATTCCTGATGACGACGGAGGCCCGCATGATGCGGCCGGTCATCAACCTGGCCACCTCGCAGTTAGAGCTGATCGGTACAATGGAGCAACTGTACCTGGATATCGCCATAACGCCGAACGAGGTTCACAAAGGTGGGTAGTTGGAAAACATTGGGCCGTGACCGCGGCTTTGACTTGTCTCAAAGTGGTTCACGTCATTCACGAAGCCGTCGGAGCCCCGTGGTTCGTCAGGAACGTCGATCTCCTTGACGACCTGGACTTAGAGTCCATCAATAAGTATCTACAGTCGGCATCGATGCGCCACTTCGACAAAGCGGCACGACCCAAGAACCCTCTCATCGTAGCCGCCGGTAACTACATTCCCGATCCTGCGGAAAGAATGGAAAGCAGTCGACATCGCCCCAAACACGTCATTTCGGATCCTCCCGATCCACTAACGGTGCTTCTAGGTACCTCAAGCATCGGTCATCGTTTTCAGACACAGCCCACTGAGTTTCTCGCCGGATCTTCTCAGTGGGTCGCGTTTCCGATCCGGTGGTAGATTCTGCGAAGCACGGCTCTTACTAGGGTTCGTGTTAGCAACGTCGTCAGGTTTGAGCCCCGTGAGCTCACCTACTAGTTAAGGTTACGCTGAAATAGCCTCTCAAGGCTCTCAGCTTAGGTAGGGAAAAACATACACGTTGAGTTTGTGTGTGTGTGTGTGTGTGTGTGTGTGTGTGTGTGTGTGTGTCCAGCGCTGGACCGTGTACTCTTTGCCTATCCAGTTTAATAAAAAGAGGTATCGTTGGGTCTCGGTAGGTCGAGTCCTGCGTAAGAGTTGGCACTGATCATTGGTTGACCTTCACGTTTCCAGGTCAGACGACGCACATGGAGCTCTCGCAGTCAGCGTTCCTGAGCAACTTGGCGCAGCTGGTGCCGATGCCGGACTGCAACCAGTCTCCAAGGTACGTATCAGCGTCACTGGGGTAGGCCACACTGGAACGAGAGCTCTTCCCTTTCCGCACCGATCCGTCGCCGTCGAGCCGGGGGCCGGAGGAGGGAATACGCCCGTACGTCCCGGCCCCTGTAGGTAGCAACTTCCCCCGGTGAAGGTCAAGAGGCGACCTGAGGAGGTGGAGGCCGCGCGGCGCGCTACCAGCACTCTAGCGCGCTGCCGTGGAGTAATAGAGCGACCGGTCGACGGTGTGTCGCGTCCTGACCCGGCAGGCTGGTTCTGGTCCAGCGGGGTATTCCGGGACACCAGCGGCACCGTCTGGGCGGCCTGACGGGCTGCCGTACCGAGACGGCCGACGTTTTAGGGTCTTCGATTCGCCTCGAAGGCTCCGTCCGCTGGGTGTCCTTGGGGTGAGCCGCGCTGTCTGGTGGCAGTGTTGACCGCGGTAACCCCCCTACCTCATCCGGGTTCTGACCTCGGAGGGGATCGGGCGTTTGGGCGAAAAGTGCAGGAGAGTCGTTTAGTGGGTAGGGCCCTAAAATTCCTTGTGCCCGCGGTCTGCTCTCAACACCTCGCAGATCGTCAAGCCCCACATACCTCGCGCGCCCCCTAGGTGCGGGGACCTCGTAGGAAGTTCGGCCCTCGGCCCAAAAAAAAACACTGGACACCAGTGGGTTCTAATGTTGTCGATATATATACGTGCCGCGTTCGCACAGGAACATGTACCAGTGCCAGATGGGCAAGCAGACGATGGGCACCCCGGTGCACACGTGGGGCGGCACCGGCCCCGGCAAGCTGTACCGGCTGCAGACTCCCGCCGCGCCGCTGTTCCGCCCCGCGCACCACGACCGCCTCGCCCTCGACGACTACCCCGCCGGGACCAACGCCATCGTCGCCGTCATATCCTACACGGTCAGTACCCCTAACCTGACCAAGAACCCTTCGCTAGGTGACACCCAGCCATGCGGACTTCCGATGTTGATATAGCAGTTAAAAAAAACGGTGCATGTGAATGAAGTGTAACTTCTTTTTGGATGTGTAGTATTATGGTTTTCGTCATTTTTCTTCATCAGATTCATTTTTTTAAATCAGATTGCTCTTGTGATAGAGAATGCTGTGTATAAGAGATGCGATAGATAGAAAAATAAATAAAATAAATAAATAAATACTTTTAAGTACTTAATTAAAACATTGGCCGCTTAATTAATTAAAAAAATTCGAGCTCACAGCCCACCTGGTGTTAAGTGGTTATTAGAGCTCATAGACATTTACAACATAAACGCGCCACCCACCTTGAGACATGAGTTCTAAGGTCTCAGTATAGTAACAACGGCTGTCCCGCCCTTCAAACCAAAACGCGTTACTGCTTCACGACAAAAATAGGCAGGGTGGTGGTACCTACCCGCGCGGACTCACAAGAGGCCCTCCCACCAGTAATTACGCAAATTATAATTTTTTTATTGCACGATGTTATTCCTTCACCGTGGAAGTCAATCGTGTACATTTGTTGAGTACGTATTTCATTAGAAAAATTGGTACCCGCCTACGGGATTCGAAAACCGGTGCATCGCTACATACGAATGCACTGGACGTCTTATCCTTTAGGCCACGACGACTTCACGTATTTAATTAAAGCTTACATAAATTACCTAGATTTTACAAACGGGGACAAAGATGATAGAATGCAGTGAATGCCAAGCGCGAGTCGCAATAAAATTATGCACAACTTAATACTGTGTTACCCCGCTCCGGCCGCCCCCAGGGCTACGACATGGAGGACGCCATGATCCTGAACAAGGCGTCGTACGAGCGCGGGCTGGCGGCCGGCTTCGTGTACAAGTCGGAGTTCGTGGAGCTCAGCCACCCCGCCTCGCACTTCGGGCGCGAGGGGGGCCGCGCCGACCCCCCCGGGCCCCTGGACGCGGACGGGCTGCCCGCCCCCGGGGCCCGCCTGCTGCCCGACGACCCCTTCTACAGGTCAGTCAGCGTGTACTTAGTGCGAGTTTCTTAACCTTCTCGATAGCGTAAAAGTTAGCTCATATTTGTATGGAATGGGATAGTTTGCCTGCGTTTGCCGCTAGCCACCAGCTGTTCCAACTGTATGTTAAAATGTTAAACTATGTTCCGGTCTGTCCTCAGTTATTACGACGGTGAGAAAAACAAATACGTGGTGGGGCGCTACCACGGGAAGGAGGAGGTGATCGTGGACAGCGTCCGGCTGTGCGGGGACTTCAGCGCCAAGCCGCTGGCCAAGGCCTGCATCACGCTCAGGATACAGGTCTCTATACAGGACTAGTACTCGCCAGATTATCGAAGTCCGTCGTGGCCTAAAGGATAAGACGTCCGGTGCATTCGTATGTATGATGTACCGGTGTTCGAATCCCGCAGGCGGGTACTAATTTTTCTAATGAAATACGTACTTAACAAATGTTCACGATTGACTTCCACGATGAAGAATTAACAAGGTGTAATAAAAATCAAAAGGGTGGGGCAGCCGTTGTAACTATACTTGAGACTTTAGATTTTATATCTCAAGGTGGATGGCGCATCTACGTTGTAGATGTCTATGGGCTCCGATAACCACTTAACATTAAGTGGGCCGTGAGCTCGTCTATCTAAGCAATAAAAAATACACTGAAATTTTCTATATTATCGGCTATTTCCTAGTTTATAAAATGGACCATATAAATACCTTTTACCGTTGTACATGTCAGTGTTGCCATACGTTAGCACCAGACGACCGCTCACACAGGGCGTTCTAAAGTGTTAATTATATATTCCCAGCGTAACCCAACGGTGGGCGACAAGTTCGCGTCGCGCGCCGGCCAGAAGGGCATCTGCTCGCAGAAGTGGCCGGCCGAGGACCTGCCCTTCACGGAGTCGGGGCTGGTCCCGGACATACTGTTCAACCCGCACGGCTTCCCCAGCCGGATGACCATCGCCATGATGATCGAGTGCATGGCAGGGAAGGCGGCCAGCCTGCACGGACACGTGAGGACGCACGCACTAACTTTAGTTTAACCTCTAACGCGGAATTTCAACAAATATGTACAGAGTAACAAGTTGTCTCGGCATTTATACATTACAATACCAGAAACGGTTACGGTAGGCAGTGGGTTGGTTCTGCTCCTGGCATTGCTGAAGTTCATGGGTGACGGTAACGACTCACCATCAGGCGGGTCGTATGCTCGACTGCCTACAAGGGCAATAAAGAAAACCAAATTAAATTGTACAATAAATATATTGGTGTGGTTCTCTAGTGAGAAATCTCACGACACGTATCAACAGTGACCGCTATTATTAATTACTGTTGAGATGGTTTGATTCGGTTTAGTGCGGCTAACATGGCGTCTAGATCACGATTATCAAAATGGATGAAGTAATGGCATCGTTATAAACCTTCGGACAACTGTTGAGATAGTGAGTGACCCTACTGCGCTCTACATGCACTGTGGCACATTCAATATGTATTCGAACAATTGTCGAGATAGTGACCCTACTGGACTCCAAATGCACTGTGGCACAGATTAACATTCAATATGTATTGGCGCAATGCGAGCTCGCTCTGTGGGGTCCGACAGCCACTAGAAGAAAAGTCCACTGAAAAGGTCTCTATATATGACCACCGTTTTACTGAGATTTTATTTCATCCCATATCATCTCATACTATCATTTTTAATATAAAAAAGTCTTCATTAAAATTAAAATATTAGACTTGACCTAAAAGTCTTAGTTACCAGGTCATGATACCGCTTAAAAAAAAAACTAGCATCACTGACGCGAGCGTCGGCCGGCAGGTGCACGACGCGACTCCCTTCCGCTTCAACGAGAAGGACACCGCCATCGACTACTTCGGGCGGCTGTTGGAAGCCGGCGGCTACAACTACTACGGCACCGAGCGCATGTACAGCGGCGTGGACGGCCGCGAGATGACCGCGGACATCTTCTTCGGCGTCATTCACTACCAGCGGCTCCGGCACATGGTCTCCGACAAGTGGCAGGTGGGATGCGGGAATCGAAGTCCTCGACTTTGGAAATTCATTTAAAAAAAAAACTTGGTGCACGTGTATGAAGTGAAACTTCTTTTGAAATGTGTAGTATTGTGGTTTTCTTCGTTTTTTATTCTGAAATCAGACCGTTCTTGTAATAGGGAATGCTGTGTACCTTGTTGGAAGTCGCGTTAGAAGTTTCACTTCAAAAAACTAAGAAAAATTAATTAATTGAAGCCGTATTTTGAGTCCCTTCTTTTACTTGGTGTGTGGTCGGTAGAGGCCCGAAACGTTCGACACGTTGGACTGACCAGATCCGCACTACCCTCGACATCACAGTTCCCGATGCTCTACACTCGGCGGTAGATAGAGGCAAATGGCGTGGAATGGTCCGCAATAAACTCTTCGATTCCGATCCGGTAGTAGATTCATTCGCGAAGCAGCTACTCTTGAGCTGTTAGGTCTCCTTCGGAGGCGCTCGGGTAGCTGTTAGCAAATCCCACCCCTCTTGGCTGAGCCTTTGCTCGCCCACCTGTCCTGGTGAAACTGGAAAGGCATCCGGGCAACCAGCAATCGTTCAATCAAAAAAAAAAAACTTGTTGCGAGGAGTCGGTCATGACCCTCAGTATTGAGGAAACCGAAGCAAGAAGAAGGTCAGAGACAAATCTCTATGGAGGGACCGTCTGGTGCCGTCGGGAACAACATCCCGGTCTGAAGGGTGGGGCGGCTGTTATACGGCGGTGTGTATGTGCAGGTCCGCACCACCGGGCCCGTGGACGCGCTGACCCGGCAGCCGGTGAAGGGGCGGCGGCGCGGGGGCGGCGTGCGGCTGGGGGAGATGGAGCGGGACGCGCTGGTGTCGCACGGCGCCGCCTTCCTGCTGCAGGACCGCCTGCTGCGCTGCTCCGACGAGACCGAGGTTAGTGCCGTACTGCTTGCTCTTCATATCGATACTTCACCGACCTAACTTTTTTAATTTAATCCTTAAAGAAATATTACTTTCTAAAACGATACCGTAGATTGTGGGAATTTTTTTTCCTACCTATGCTGATTTTTTTTTATTGCTTGGTTGTGTGAACGAGCTCACAGGCCACCTGGTGTTAAGTGGTTACCGGAGCCCATAGACATCTATAACATAAATGCGCCACCCACCTTGAGATATAAGTTCTAAGGTCTTAAGTATAATTACAACGGCCTGCCCCACCCTTCAAACCGAAACGCATTACTGCTTCACGGCAGAAATAAGCAGGGCGATGGTACCCATCCGCGCAGACTCACAAGAGGTCCTACCACCAGTAATTACGCAAATTATATTTTTTTGTGTGTAGCGTGTTTTAATCTCAGTATGAGATGTATTGATGTATTGAGTTGTGCTGTAATGCGACGTGTTAGCGTTAGTACTAAGCGTGTGTGTGTGTGCGGCGCCAGATGGCGGTGTGCACGTCGTGCGGCAGCGTGGCGGGCGCGCGGGGGGGCGGCGCGTGCGCGTGCGGGGGGCGGGCGGGCGCGGTGCGGGCGCCGCACGTCTACAAGCTGTTCGCGACGCAACTCGCGGCGTTGCACGTCAACTGCAGCCTCAAGTGCGTCGACAAAACTATACAACAATAAATCCCAAATTGTAATTAAATACATTGCCTGGTTTTATTTCAAACGAGCTTCTAATTCCCTAATATGCACTGATATTTCAGGGCAAAGAAAACATTTTAAAATAACATTTACAAAGAACATAAAGACTCTTTATTAAAGAGTTTTCTTCAAGTTCGCCAATACAGATTAACTAAAGAGATTTAAAAAGGGTAAGCAACAGAAATATAATCTATGTATCAAATGACATTTAAAGCAAACAGGGGACTTTTTGGCGGGAACGCGAGAAGTGAAGTTGTGTGATTTGTTTTATTTTGTCTATTTAGTGTTTCTTCGGGTTTAAATGTGTAATAATGGTGGTTTATTAACTGTTTAATATGTGTGAAAGTGCACAAATGTGGAAAAATGAACCAAGCCGCTGGACGTAACTTCTCGAGATCCTACAAAAAGTCCACTGAAAAAATCTTAGTAAATGACCTCCATTTTACTGAGTTTATATTTCATCCCATATCATTTCATTTAATTTCATCCCAGTTGATTAATGTCTCAAATTAATAATCTTCATTTCATTTCACTCCATAATATCATTTTTCATAAAATTAAGAATATAAATTAAAAGAAGACTTGACGTAAAGGTCTCAGTTACCAGGTCATAAAATCCCTTAAAAAAATAAAGGAAACAGTTTTATTAAAATAGATAAGTAAACAATATTAAATTTGTTTTTTTAAATGTACCATTCTGTTTTTAATAAAGTTTAATGGGTAGACAAGCTCACAAACTACAAGTCGAGGGAACTTATAGATGTTTGAAGTCAACTGTGTTATATACAGGGCTATGTTAAGAAAGTAATTATTGCTTGTATGCTTTCTGAGGGCTTCACTTGTGATATTTAGATCTTATTTAATTATAGATTTATTTTATCCCAATATATGGTCGCATCTCTAATACAGAAAAGTGCAGTACTAAATTGTTTAAAATTTATAATCTTTTTAAATAAAATAATGCAGAAAGTAGTGTTATTTCACGAATCTCTACTTCGGTTAAATTTTCTTTTTTTAATTGAATTCTTTGTACATAATAATATTGTATCTCGATACGAATTAGGTAATAATTATTTTTACTTTTTTTCGCATCACTCGATACTCGATTCTAATTCCACAAAACAAATGAGCATTGGCCAGATAGTATAATAATATGTAGATTTGTTAAAAAAAACATCGTTTGTATAGTACTAAGTATTTAATCTATTTTACGTTAAAAAATATGGTGGGTATTACGTTCTATCAAGTGAATAATCTATGGTTCTATCTTTCGTGTTGACATCATTCTTACTCTAAGTATGTTTTATACAGGCCAAGGTAATGCGCCTTAACAAATTGAATTCTTAAATTAATAGTGGAATTGACAGCTGCATCGGGCGACGCTTAGTATTTGATTAAAAGTAGGGTTAAAAGAAATAACTCCAAGATAGCAGTTTTGTTGGTCCATAAAACCGTCTGAAAAAATACTTTATTTTTAAAGGTACAATATCTTAACACCAATAGTAATTAAATTCTAGATTATTCGACTAATCTTCGTCCATGGCCACACTCTCGTCTAATTCGGACTTCTTCTTCTTCTTTTTCTTTTTCTTCTTGGCACTGGCCTCGGCGTCAACAGCCTTCTGAACTTCGTCCATAGCTTCCTTCATCACTTCAATATTCTTTTTGGGAATATCACCGGTCTCATAGAATTTCAGACGGTCTTCTACTTGCTGACGGAGTTTTTCACCAAATACAGCTGATTGCATTTCTGTAACATTTCAAGAGTTATTTTGAGTCTTTCCAAAATAAAATATATCATTCTTCTATGGATGGGAAAAAGGTCCCACAAGCTTTTGAGCTGTTACTATATCACATAAAAAAAATACAATTTTGTCTGAGAATTTAATAAAGAATACATATCGACGCTTGAAAGGCAAACGTGACTAAGCGACAATGCGTGAAATTTACAGTAGACAAATTTAAAGTTGAAATACCTGAAAAAAATTCTATTTTAACGAATCTAGCTGTAGGATTGAAATGATTTTAATAGAAATATATATTTTTTTTGCACACCGAATATGGTTATTGCCTATCGTTTATGTACAAAGCAGTTATTGTCGCTTAGTCGTTTGCCTTTCAAGTGTCGATATTGAAATATGTATAAACTTTTTTATCTCAAAGTACATATTTTAAAAATTTTACTTTTTTTATACAATTAAATAGGTAGTTTATGAAATATCAGTAAGGCAATGTAGCGAACATTTAAAAACCGACATAATTAATTACTTATGACAGTTACTGGATATAGCAATTAATATAGCACGACCCTTATTACCGCAAGTTATTTACAATACTGACGGTAGATCACAGTGTGCCTAGATATCTTTCAGATAAATTTGTTGCTTGTGAAGGCTTGGTGGTAAAGCTCAAGAAAAGCTGTTAATAGAAAAAAAAACGTAAAACAATATCGTTCATTGTTTAAACTATTATGACAATTAAGTTTTATAGTCAGAAAAATTTAATTACCAGAGAAACAATCGATCCTGGATGCAATTGAGCACTTATTTGCCAGATATCTGCTGATCCGACCTTTGTTCTTCAGTCCGGCACGTCCAATGAACGTGGAGTGGTATAGCAGACCATATTTTGGAGTATTCGAACGTGTCTTCAGAGCTCGGAAGAGAGCTTTTTCTGCACCTGCATTTTGTAATAATTTGTGTAGAGAATGGTTATCTTACAATAGGGGAAATACAACAAAAATGTAAATCATGTTGGAGATATTTTCAATATTTGATATTTTATACTTATTTATTCTTAGTAATGGTTATTAGAGAAATTGTATTTATTATAATTACTAGCGACCCGCCCTCGCTTCGCTTCGGAAACTGTAATTTATTATTGATTTCTCCACTATTTAATGGATGTTATGATACATATAAACCTTCCTCTTCAATCACTCTATCTATTAAAAAAAAACCGCATCAAAATCCGTTGCGTAGTTTTAAAGATTTAAGCATACATAGGGATATAGGGACAGACTTTGTTTTATACTATGTTGTGGTTATCAGTGTATATTTAAAATTTTATGTTGATGATCAGCTAGACTTGTAAATTGAAAAATATGACGAACTTACCCAATATCTGCAATGTAGATGCAGGATACTTGGCGAGGTTGGTCAGCGAGCCAGCCTTGGAGATCAGCCTGGCTCCAACTTGATCTCCAACCAATGTAGACAAATTCGGTGCTACGGAGTTCATCTTACTATGCAGGTATTCTGAAATCTGTTTTCTGTGGGGACACAATGTTAATTGAAATTGTTAGTTATTTCTTGATGTTCAACAGATTTTCAATAGGTCCTTTTTAAGATTAAAATTCAATGAAAATTTTGAATCAAATACGACAATGTTGGACTCCAGCATCAATGTCGCTATCCATGCAGATAGGGAAGAATGGAGGAACATAGTTCAAACAACAATGCTTCGTAAAGGTAGTTCAAACAACCCTCAGCATTCGGGCACAAAATGCAAGGAGAAGGAGATTAAAATGATTGATCGCATATCAGAGAAAAATAGTGAACAAGTAGCTTTTTTTTTAATTTCTATCCAGGAGATGATTATGAGATTTAAAAATATACATTTCAATATGATAAAATATGTTATGATGAATCAACAAACAAAATATTAAGCATCTATTTAAATATACATTATACAAACCTATAATTGCTGAGCGCTACTACTCTACCAGCAAACATTTGGATGTTAATCAAGTCAACTGGTGAAATATCCATTCCCATGGACATTTTCGAGGCATCTACGATAGCCTGCGCCTTCTCGGAGTCTCCCAGGATCTCAGTGAGCGGTTCTAATGACTCTTCGCACAGGGTCTTTCTATCTTTTATGAACTCGGCGCATTTTGTGTACAGGTGATTTTCAGGAACAATTGACACAAGCTCCGGGAAGTGATAGGAATACCATTCTCTAGAAACAGTACAAAATTAGTAAGTCTACAAGATTTAGTAACAACATTTTCACAATATTTTATATTTTTGTACTAGTGGTACTAATTTTTGTACTCTTGGGAGTCCGCACGGGTAGGTTCCAACACCCCGCCTATTTCCGCCGTGAAGCAGTAATGCGTTTCGGTTCGAAGGGTGGGGTTGCCGTTGTTACTATACTGAGACCCTAGAACTTATATCTCGAGGTGGGTGGCGCATTTACGTTGTAGATGTTTATGGGCTCCAGTAACCACTTAAATGCAGGTGGGCTGTGAGCTCGTTCATCCATCTAAGCAATATAAAAAAAAAACCTCACCTTATTCTCATGGAGAAAGTGTTAACGTCTTTGTCAAGTTGATCGAGCAGGGCTATTGATTGTATGATCATGTTGTCCACTCGGTGAACATTGAACTTGACACGAGCTCGTGAGTATGAGTGACCAAGGCCAAGCTGTGCCACACTGCATGCTTTGAGGGTAAGACCTTTGATGAGCGAGTGGAAGTGATAACGTATGCCTGTTTAAAGAACAAAGAAAACTTAGTATTTTCACATTTGTCGTCTTAATTCTGACAAATCTATAGGGCTGGAACTGACATTAATTACCACAGACAGTTAACAGACTCAACAAATACATTTAAGATCCAAAGTCAGTTAAAGAAACATAGACTTACCACAAAGCCATTGTTAAATAAAAAATTGGTATCTAAATACCAATAATAAAAAAAGAACTCTATGATAACAAAAATATCCATTATATATGTCATAACAGACCTCTCAAAATCTCCGGAACTGCTCCTGTATGCGTGCACTGAATTTCCAGGGCCTCGCTGATGGCTGCTCCTAGCTTGGGATCCAGTACACCGAGTGTGCATTTTGACCGTTTCTTCCTCTTTGGAAGACCACCTTCGAGGAATAGATTCAAATCTTCAGGAAGAATACCTGTAAAATAATGAAGTTTTTTTTTTTTTTGCTCCAGTTTACAGTTGTAGTGAAGTGTTAGTGTTCACCAGGAGACTATATCTTAGAAATCATATTTAGTATTTGAAGAACAATCATGAGACTTTTTTATGAAGGAAGGATTACTTGTGGCCCGGAGGCCTTTCCAGTTTCACCAGAACAGGGAATCACAGAACTATTTAGTTGCAGACTGTAAACAGTGGTCAATGTATCGCAACGATGGCCTCTAGTCATAAACACTTTACAATAAAATTTCAGTATTCGCTAGTTTTGTATCTGGTGGGAAAACCAACCGATCACAGTGAACATTGATGTATGTATATTTGAAGGGTGTAGGCGTGAAAAATATTTATATATGTAACCTCTATATGATTTATGACATAAACCTTAAAAGAGGTAAATATGTTATATAGGTAACATAAATGGTAATTTGAATATAGAAACATTAGAAGAAGGAATATTAAAAATATTAAAAACATTTTTTGAATATTGAAATATAAAAAACATAAGAACTGATGAAGCAATAGCTTTAAATGTTGTTTCTCTTTATAGAGCCACTCAGTTTGTACTATAGTTTTATTGGGCTAAACTTTATTTTGATGTGAATAAAATAATACACCCTTGTTCTTTTATTTATGCTCATATTTCAAATAAAACATTTCAAGAATCTAAAATTTATATTTACTCCCGAGAAACCTTAATGAGTCCCTATGATAATTTTAACTTATAGTAGTGGAGGCTTTGTAAGCTTAAATCAAGGTCGATAGCTTGCAGACACATTAACGACTCTTCGGAATTTAACAACACATTGACGAAACATCAAGAATAAAATAACAATTTTGTTTTTCCTTGGATGTGTCCCCCGACGGACGGATTCCTTATGTTTGTTTTAAGTTTATTTTATACAAAATTTTAGGTCTTTTATTTACTTATTGAGACACTACGAAGTCGGCCGGCTCAGCTAGTTAGTACTAAAAGTTCAATACAAGAAGTCGAAAACTAACCTTCAGATACCGCGTTGATATTTTCCAAAGCAACGATCGCCGACTTGTGTGGTTGAAAAGCTATTAAAGTCACAACAGCATTAAAACGTTGCAAATCTGTCACGGACTCTTCGACCTGAGGCAGGAAAGCCGCTAACTCTTCAAATTCAGCAACGCGGAACAACGCAAAGCCCGCGCTGTGTTCGAATAACACATAGAACTTACTCTGCAATGAAAATTGATTTAAATAACTCGCAATAGCACAAAAAGTCATAACACATCGTTTTAATACGCACCATTTTAGTGGTTTTATATTAATATCATATTATTTAGGGGAAAAAACAAACACGTGCGTTCATTTACTCCCCTTTATAATATAATTATTTTGAGGTTATGTTGCAGCTTGTGGCTGGTATTTTTTTTTATTGTTTGGGTTGGATAGACCAAAGGAACATAGTTTTAAAGAGTTTTACACTAAAACATTTTCCAATTTAGCAAATACTATGGCCGAAAAGCTACTATTCAATTAGAAGCTGAGGTATTTCATATTTTTACCTAAAAAGCTGAACGTTTATTTTGCTAATTATAGTATTAAGTAGAATATAACAAAAAAAGTAGGGATATTTTGTAATTTTGAGCTACTTAGTTTGTTTTAGACTCGCTTGTTATAGAGCAGGGTCGATAATTTTAAAACCCAAAAAAATAATAGTAGGATGAAACCCATTAGAAAAGGAGGACAATATTATAAAAATGGAATGAAAAATAATTTACGGGCGATCTGAGGTCGGCAAGAGGATGGGGGGGTGGGGGGGGTTTAAGGGTAAAAAGTGTCACTTTTTTAGTACACTTTTTTAATTTTTTCTTTTTATCTTTTTCAAAAAAAAAAATTCACGAAACTTGGTGAAAACTTACCTTTTTATGGTCCAAATACGCTGTAATTTATTTGATTAGAAATATTAATTTTTGCGCCTTATTTTGAATTAATATCGAAAAAGCACCCTAATTTTCAATCGAAAATTCACTCGTCAAAATATCAGCTTTTTTCAAAAAGTTGAAGCGATTTAAAATGTTAATTTTTTTAACTCAATGCTCGATAAGAAAACATTATTAATTTTTTCATGATAAAATTTTCATGGTCTCAAAAGTATTGAGTATTTATATTAAAAAGTAGTTATGCTTATTTATTAATAGTAGGTATGGCACATAGTAATCCCTCACGGGTAGTTACTATCATCATGCCCATTTCGGCTTCATAGCTTCATTGTTTCCTAACAACCGTGGGTTTTAGTTTGAAAAAATACTTCGACTTCAACTTCATGACTCAAATGGATGTCAGCATTCATTTTGGTATATTTATAGTCTCTAATTACTATTTATTCACTATAACAAGATAGCCTTGAGTAGATTTATCATAATTACAAAAAAAAAATTTAGTTGGTTTCAAAACTGATAGTGGATGAAATGAAATTATTTTAGTTATTTTTTTCAAACTCGGGCAATGTTAACGTTTTACTGTATTTTATTACTAATTATCCTACAATTACATCATCTACAATCATGATTTATTATTCGTAAATTCAAAATACCTAGTTATAGGATAAAACTATTATGAAAACATTAATTGCTTTAATTTAATCGCCGTGTTTTGTACAAATCAGTATATTCTTAAAAAAAAATTTTTTACATATTGTGAAAGGATACTCGGTTGCCATTTATCCCAGCCATTTAAAAAATTGAGGCAACAACATTCAACGGAAAATTTTGACATTTCAATTTGAAATTTGTGTACAAACTAAGGTTATTCTTGTTTAATTTCTAAAAATAAATGTAAAACAGTCTAACTTTTAACAATGTTAAGGATTAAAAACCCGTTCAATAATCAAGAGTAAAAATTCAAATTATGTAATTGGTGTTATAACAAAATTTTGTAATTATGACAACGATTGCAATGCAAAGAGATCTAGTGTTCGCACTGAAAAAAGAAACCATTCTCAATATTGGTTTATTAAGCAAGCTGCATCCGATGTCTGGAGAGTTACTGAAGCAGATTTTTCGCGATAACGCTTTGGAAAAACCGACACAGAATGTCTTCAATCATGTTTCTCACTATTTGGTGTCGATTATTGACGTTCAAGCTTCCGCGGCGCTACCCTGGCCTTTGTATGACACGAAGACGGAGAGATTGTACAGGAACGAGCTGGCGAACTTCATCTCCGACTACAGTACCAAGGGTCTTCTTACTTCTGTAATGTCCTCATACTTGGTGAACCCTGGATGTTACAAAGTCACAATGCTGATCTTCCAACTGTCCCAACTCGCCGTACAAAAGGTCTTATCGACCAGAATGAAAGATCGACAAAAGAAGCTGTATTATGAGATTACAAATAAGTACAAATTAAATTATAAAGGTTTTGTTCAAGAGGTCACCGTGGCTGCTGAAGTCATGATGAACAAATTTTCCAATTATATCCTCAAGAGGAATACTATGGAGAGGATAGCAGGGTTATTATTGAATAAAATCAAAGAAATGGAGGAAACCCTACAAAAGAGTAATGCTGAGAGATGTATCAATGATATTGTCGATGGCTATATAAATTCAAGACAATTTGATGACAGTACAAAAATGGAATTACTACAAATAAAAAATGTGAAAACACCATCATTAGTTTTTGACCAGTGGCTTATTCATTTAGATAAAGAAATAGACAATATTGAACAAAAGTGGAATGAAAAGGTAACACCCCTTTTAGACACTTGTAGGAGCACGCAAGAAATTTCCAAAGCCTTAATATCGAGGAATTTAGGTGAAGCTGACAAAAATACCTATATTATTGAATACAATCCGAGAACAGACTTTATTTGTACGAAGGAGCTACAAGAACAAGTGAACTGTGAACAGAAATACATATTAAAAAATATTATAAAAGAGGAAAGATTGAGCTTTCCAAACTTAATACGAGGCTTCCTTGTAGCTATGTGTTTTATATTGAAAAACATAGATATCGGTGATGATATATATAAGTTTAATGAATATTTGGATAATGGAAGAATAAATTTTAATGAGCTGGTTATGAATATGAAACTACTGATTGAGAGGGTGGCAAGTACGGAGGCGAGATTGCAGGTAATTTTAATTAGATATCGATTTATTACCTACTAATACCCTAATAGCTACTAATATTTAATTAGAACTACTTTTAACACTAAACTCTTGTATTTTGTATTGTGAATATAATGTATTATTTCTGACATTTCAAATAATTTACAGTTCTTTAGAATTACAAAGGACTAAATTCAAATATTGTGCTAAATACCATTCTAACTAACTCACTCTACCTCACCACAATATTTAAAATTATTCAAGATTAAACTGTAAAAGTAATTGAAATATCTAAATTTATAAATATATAAATTATATAATATCAAAAGTATATTAATTAATTATATCTAAAACTTGATTATCTTTGCTAAGATATCTATGCAAAAACCTAAAATGCTAAATCTGACAACTCTTTTGATCTCACTTAGTCCTGGCACTTTTGAACTTTGGCCTCATGTTTCAAGGTGGGAGGTGGCTTTTACATTGTCATATGTATGGGCTCAGCAACCACTTTACACCAAGTGAGCTGGCGTGTTCACCCATATACTCAATAAAATAATAAAAATATGGATAAGGTTTATACAATACAGCTTAATAGTGGCTTATTAACAAGTCATTGTGGCCTTAAGACGTCCATTGCATTCGTATCTAGCGATGCAATAGTGTTCAAATCCCGTAGGCGGGTACAAAATTTTGTAATGAAATATCTACTTAATAAAATTTGTTTACGATTGACTTCCTCAGTGAAGGAATATCATCGTGTAATAATAGTAAAATACCATAATAAAAACCCGCAAAATTACAATTTGCGTAATTACTGGTGGTAGGATCTCTTGTGAGTCCACACAGGTAGGTACCACTACCCTGTCTGTTTCTTCAGTAAAGCAGTAATCTGTTTCGGTTTGAAGGGTTGGGCAGCCTTTGTAACTATACTGAGACTTTACAACTCATGTCTCAAGGTGGGCGGAAGCATTTACGTTGTAGATGTCTATGGGCTCCAGTAGCCACTTAGCACCAGGTTAACACCACCTATGCAATAAATAAATAAATCGCTTTTAAAAGCTGTCTAATTAGTAGGAGAGCTCAAGATATTTTTGATGGCTTTGTGTAAATAATCAGTGAAGCCTTTAAACTAAGGATAATCACTATAAATAGTTTTATAATAAGTTTGTTTTTTATTTTATTGTTTACGAAATTGTAAAAATCATTAAATATAATGTTATTGCGGAGTATGTGGCTATCTAATAAACACTGAATATTAGGTTGCACATAACCCTAATTTTGCCCATCTAAAGCATTATAAACAAATTCTGACGTAATGTTTCAAAAACGATAAAGATTCACTGGTGAAGTCAAGACCTGCCTTTTGTCTTAATAAATAAATTTCCTTTTACAGCCCTCACCGCTTTTATACAGCCAGTCCACAAAGACGAAAAAACATTTAGAAGTCCCGCCAATACCTAATCTATCAGATTTAAAGGGTAGACGGGAATTACAGCAAGAAATATTCTTTAACTCATTCACTCCGATTAGCATTAGCAAACACCAGTTCAATTTGAACAGAAGAAACAGTATATCGCTTACGAAGTATCAGCCTCGGTCACTCTTGGTCACGCCCTTCCACCATCCACCTAAAGACGACTTTCTAAAAAGCATAATATCGTGTCGAATCAGTGCATACGATAATCCGAACACAACTCAAAACTTCCACAACGTTTCTCTCGTGTCTCAGGCTCACAAAATCAACGAAACCATTGCTGAATGTTCAACTGGTTTCACGAAACAACAAATAATGAGACTATTATCAACTAAAAAGAGCACTAGCTCCAAAAAGCACAGGTTTAAACATGACAGGCTCGAGGTAAACATAAAAAAGGGTGCCTTGTTTAATGAATCCAATACGCCTACCGAATGTAGTTCTTTATTTAGGAGTCACTCATCTCCTAATCTATTTGAGAATAGAGAGAAGAAATCACTCCCGAAAGGCGGCAGGAAACTATCGATTATGAGAGAAGATAGTCTTCTAGAAGTGTCTGGTATAGCAGCACTAGACAACAACAGCTGTAACACACCACCGGTCGAATTATCTAGAAATATAGAGGCTCCTAGTCTACCAGTCATCAGTATTGAAGCTGAGAGAAGAGTCAATGAGGTCCTTAAAGATATAGGAAGTGATCCAGAAGAAGACTTTAAATTGATTCATCAAGTAGATCAGCCTAAAGTCACACCAAAGAATACAGTTCAACCCATTAGGAAAACTAGTTCGTTGGAAAAAATCATAAACAGATTTAAGAAAGTACGCGCGAGCGTGTTGCCAACGCAGAAAAATGATTCGGATGAATTTAAAACGATAGTCGAAGAGAAGGAGAATGTAAATTTGGTAAATGTTGATGTTTTCGCAGCAAATAGAGTCTTATTGCCCGATCTATTGAGTCCAAGTTCGAGTGGAATCGCACCTGATTCAAATGATTATTTAGATGAAATATGCTTCGAAATGGATGAGAAAGTGAGGAAGAAACCGCGCGAGAGCTTGGGCACGGCGCTGGGCGTCGACCACACGTTTCTAGATCAATTTGAGTTGGTAGACTGATTATTGTACAGTTGTTACATGAAAACGTTTTTTTGTGCAATTCATATTATGTGAAGCCGCTCATTTTGTATATTACTAACTGTATCCCTCCGCTTCGCTGGGCATTTAAAATTAACATTGTTATTTCTCACCCCCACAAAGATTCTTATTATTAACGCCCCCGCAACTGGTGTAGGGAGTCCAACACTCATATAAATATTAGCCTATCCATTAAGTACATGTATTTTCTACATGGATACCAAGTTTCAAGTCAATCAGATGCACGGTTCAGTAGTTATAACGGAACATCCGTAAAAACCACTGTAGATTTATATATTAGTATAGACTATATATGTAAGAACATTTTATCATTTTTAAATTGATTGTCAGCATCACAAATTGGACGTAAAGCAACCTGAAATTTCATATTACCCATTTATAAATGGGTATATAGAAGTGTGTGTGTGTTTGTTTGTAACATTTTGCATCTCTTTCGCACGCCCGCAGTTTAACACGTTGAGTGCCATGTGGGTCACCGGTGCCCTACGCGGCGCACTGAAGTAATCATTTCAATATCTGTTATTAAGTGTCTGGATTGCCTAACTTTGCCTTCTTTTGTTTGTTATTGTATCTTCGGATTCGTCATTCCCAGAGCCTACTAGATATTCCGGCGCCTTAGTAATAAGATCGAAGTGAGAAATCTACGTAATTACTTTAGTGTGCCCGTAGGTCACCGATGACTTACATGGGGTTAACGGGATGGGTTACTTCGTTAGATACGATTTGTAAGTTTTCTATTTAGTGGTTAGTACCACAGTATCAGAGAACGATTTCTAACAACTAATCTCTGAATTGATTTTTGTGACAAAATAAATCTTTGATAAACAATTATTCACCATCTGTAAAGTTAAATTCATTTATGTGAATGAGAAATGATAGATTTTGATTTGAATTCCCAACGATCCTGTCTGTGTTACAAAACATGAAATTAATATCGGTAACAGCTTGTTAATAGATTTATTATTTATAATATAATACTAATTAGAATGCATATTGTCTAAAAGCACTGCCTCAGCTAGGTTATAAAAGTTGTTATTTAAAAAGTATTTATTCCTCAAGTTTATCATATTGAAAATAAAACTACACTATACATAAAACAAGAGTTTTTATTATAACGATAACTTTTTTATTACTAATAAAGTAAGAGTAATATAGTATATATCATAGTATAATATATCTGGACTTCACATCAGGATGATCAGGATCAGAATGGAAGAATCGCTTTTATGTATACATATTCATGTTTCTCTCGTCGACTTGTCTTAACCTTTGGGCACAATTATGGAAATTAAATTTTGAAAAAGAAAAATCTATATTGTATTGTAAATGTAGAAATGTACGTACATTTTCTTAGAATCATATTATTCTATAACTTTAGAACTTTACAGGGTGTTACAAAACTACCCGTAAACCCGGAAGGAGGTTAAATGGGGCCTTATAACGAGTCCATTCACAATATTTAAGAACAGTAGTAACGATGTATAAACATTCCCCAAAACAATTTAAAAAAAATATTTTCACTGATGTGCCAACCCTATTTCAGTAAAATCAAAGAGTCAACTACGCAGAATGTACTTACATTTCTACTAGAAACAGTTGTAAGTTATCGAGTAGAAGATTTGAAATTTACATTTTTTTTTCCAACTTGACATTTTTTGAAGCCAGTACTTGAGTGTAATGACAATCTTGTACTGAGGTAGCAAAAATTTATGAACGAAAAATAGAAAAACAGTAAAGTGAACAATTATTAGGTAAAATAGGTATGTAGGCCTTTCTGTTAAATAATATTATGGTTCCCTGACATGACGGTTTACTAGGGTCGAGAAATTTTTTGGCTTTGATAATTAATAATATTTTTTACGGGGTATTTTGTAACACGTTGTATATTACGGATATCAGACTTAATGATTAATGTTCAGATATTGTAACACCATGATCTAGAAATTTTATTAATTAAGGCAGTATAAATTAACATTGCCATATTAAATTGGCTTTACAAATAGCGTTGTCAGTAGAGAGTTGCCATAAAGACCCTTATAATTAGGTATTTATATTTGAACTCGTAAAGCTGTATTACAAAATTCTTGGGTCAGTCTCCTCAAGATTAACTATTTTCTCAGATATCTCCCATAATTTCCTAGCTTTTCCCATGTCACTAGCTGATTGAGACACCGAACTCTCCTGACAGTCAGAAAAGTATTTTCCGTTCACTTTCTCTAAACTTTCATCAACTGCTAACATTATTGTAGTCTGGCAACCCTGCTCTGGAGTCTTAAAGAAGCATTTGTTAATCAAGTTTAAGCCCCAACTTAATGGTGCCGGGACTGATCTCCAGATGCCCGTATCGATTAGTCCAGGGTGCAGACAGTTAGCTGTAACCCCAGTACCTTCCAATCTCCGGGCCAATTCTTTTGTGAACAGAATATTCGCTTCTTTGGAAGCGTAGTACAGATATCCTGGAATCGAATCCACAGGGTTCGGTTTGTTTAAGTCGAACGAAGCAAGTCTGTATAAAGAGGATGCGACAATAACGATTCTCGAGGGCGCGGTTTTCTTCAATAAATCTATCAGCAGATGTGTGAGTAAAAAGGGACCGTAATGGTTTGTGGCCATGGTCATTTCGAGGTTGTCAACTGTTGTGTTCTTTTTAAATGTTTCGGCGTATCCTGCGTTGTGCACAAGGACATCCAGACGTGCTTCTGTTTTGTTGATGTCTTTAGCGAATTCTCTGATAGACGCGAATGAACTGAGATCGAGTTTCTTGACTTCTATTTTGGTGTTTCTAGTTGTTTCGATGATTTCAGCTGAAACAATTACAAATTATATTACAATTTTAAAAATATTTGTTTTATTGTGTCGCGTAGTGGTGGCTGGATTGTAGATAAAACTACTTTCATCGTTCACTACACAGAACGTTATATAGTCTATAGAATTGACAAAAAGCCCGCCAAAAAGCAAGCCACGTAAAATTTATAGTCCGATTAAATTAATTGCTTAATTTGTGTGTAACGTTGATACAATTTAAATATAATTGTATAATTTTTGTCTATGTTATTTAAATAAACATCGAATTGTGCCTGATGCGTCGTCGGTCCCCAAAAATGGTATACCTGGTCTACTTCAAATGACGTCATAATTGTATTTCCGAAGCCGCAAACAATAGGTTATTTAGCAAATGAATTATAAATATAAATACTTGTAGTCTCAGTAAGTTAATGCATCTTATAGGTGTTCCTAATGAACCAGGAAGAAAGATTGGAATATTTTTTTGCTTTTCGTTGTATTTAAGTATTATATTAAAACGTTGCGATACAATGGTTGTTTGAAGAATACTTAATCAATAAATAAAGGTAAGATATTAATCGCTCATTTCGTTCTTCAAAACAATCTGTATTAAGTATGTATTTATGGATATGTGTTGGCCAACGTAAAAAGATGCGTTTGTTTAATTAGAAAAAAATATTATTACCTTTGACTTTCTCAGCGGCGTCCATATTCCTGCAGGCCATTATGACTCGAGCGCCTCTCTGAGCCAATTCCCTGGCGGTTTCCTTTCCTATTCCGCTAGTGCATCCTGTAACTATTACCGTCTTCCCGTCCATTTTGGTCTTCCCGTTATAAATACCACAAGTCCACTTAACGTACAGATGTAAGGCGAACAGTACACCAACGAGACCTAGTATGGCGATCAGGCCAGCTATGATGAGAGCCGGGAGGAGCCACCAAAGGTAACTCACATTCCAGAATTCCGCGACAATCATGTCTGAAAAGAAATAAATGGATTCAGGAATATAATTGTCGAAAAGCTGCCGGGGAAATTTAGGTGTTCGTTATTTTTTTTTTATTTTTTTTTATTGCCTTTGTAGGCAGACGAGCTCACGGCCCACCTGATGGTAAGTGGTTACCGTCGCCCATGGACTTCAGCAATGCTAGGAGCAGAGCCAAGCCGCTGCCTATTGCTTAATACTCTCCACAAGCCTCGTTTGAAGAAGGACATGTCATAGCGCTCGGGAAACACCGTGGAGGGGAGCTCATTCCATAGCCGGATGGTACGTGGCAAAAAAGACCTCTGGAAACGCACTGTGGATGACCGCACAGTGCATCCATACTAATGGATGAACTCTACTCCGGTGGCGGGCGGTGCGATGGTAAAAACGAGACGTTGGTATCATCTCGAACAATTCCTCAGAGCACTCTCCATGGAACATGCGGTACAAAATACAGAGGGAACCGAAGTCCCTCCGCAGACCCAGAGGCTCCAAGCGATCCGTGAGAATGGGATTATCGACAATCCGAATTTACTGGTATACAAATAAACGCACGCGCACACACACACACACACACACGCACACGCGTGCACACACACACACACATTTGTTATATATAATTAGTAATATTGTGGTATATAACTTGTAATATTGTAGTATATAAAGTATATAACGTGTTTTTATGGAAGAGCGGAGTCTCCTAGCACAGGTTTGCACGCTTAAAAGGAGACTCCAATCATTGTATTATTTTAACTCGCTTTTGAAAATAAAGTATTTTGAATTTGTATTTGTATACTCCCTGTATTGTGAAACCTCACGCATAGGTACGACCATTTTGCTTATTTTTGTCGCGAAGCAGTAATGTGTTCTAGTTTGAAGAGTGAGTCAGGGGTTATTCAATTGAGAAAGTGGAATGACGTACCGCCACCTTGAGATACGTCTGGTGGCGATTTACGGCCTCTAACTACTTAATATCAAACGAAGTTAGGGTTTACTATTGTATAAACAATATTAAACAACTAAAAGTCGTTGAGAAAGGGAAGCGCACAAGCTCACTTCGATAAAGCGGCACGTCCTAAGAACCCTCTCATCGTGGCCGCCGGTAACTACGTTCCCGATCCTGCGGACAGAATGGAAAGCAGTCGACGTCGCCCCAAACACGTAATTTCGGATCCTCCCGATCCACTAACGGTGCTTTTAGGTACCTCAAGCACCGGTCATCGTTCCCGTCGAACCCGTTGCGACGAAGGGCTCGACGAGTAAATTAACCCTCAGGCACAGCCCACTGAGTTTCTCGCCGGACCTTCATACTGAGAAGATGACTCACTGGTCGCGTTTCCGATCCGGTGGTAGATTCCGGGAATCACGGCTCTTGCTAGGGTTCGTGTTAGCAACGTCGTCAGGTTTGAGCCCCGTGAGCTCACCTACTAGTTAAGGTTACGCTGAAATAGCCTCTCAAGGCTCACAGAGTAGGCAGGAAAAAAAAAAGTAGGGGTAGTAAAAGTACAAGTATTGCAGATAAAAGATTCTACGCTAGTAACTGCGACAGATGACAGACAGAATACAGATAACACAGAGAAGCGCTTTTTGGCGGGAAATCATTTGCATTTTTTTAATCTTTTTAATTTTAATTTCGATGCCTCCAATGAACACTACTCTAACTCCAAATTCGTAGGTTTACAGGAGGAGCGCTTAAATGAAAAAAGGTTGAAAAAATCTTTATTATTGCAGATATATTTATGGTTTTTTCTTGTGTAACTAATGGCCATTTTCACCGACATTTAGGGATTCCTTAACTGCATTTAAGGAGCCCCTAATTAAAAATTCGTTTTCACCAAACTTTAGGTATCTCCTAAGTTCTTAAAAGGCTCCCTAAATTTAGGAACCCGATTTTTCGTTCCTTAACTGTCTCCTAACACTAGAAGACAGTTTTATGTCTGCTGTCATCTATTTCAATACATAACATTCAAAAGGTTTGAAAACCATTTTTACAATGGACAATGATTTAACTCTATTTTTAGAAAGTTTGGAAGCAGTTGAGTCTTTACAGTTAGATTCTAGTCATTCTGTACTTAAAAGGCCACGCTTGTATCGTCAGAGAACTGAAAATTTCGGAAAATACGATGATAAAGACTTTGTCTTTAGGTATAGGCTATCCAAAGAAACTGTGCTATTTTTATTAGAATAAAATCTTTTTTTACCTTATAGATGAAAAGTAAGGTTTTTGGAGTGAACGAGTGTTTGAGTAAATTTTAATTATAGCTCTATGGGTATCAAATAAAAACTAATAAATAGCCAATTCCAAATTAATGTTCATTATAGCTCATTATAGTGACATAAACTTTTTAATGTAAACTGAAAATTGAATTATTGACATTCAGGACTAAAGTGCGTTATTCAATTTCATATTTATATAACAGATTGGTTTTTTTTTAAATAAATTAAATACCAGAGACGTATAATTATGATTTATTGTCATTAATATTTATTATTCTTTTATTTGATGGACATTTTAAAGGTAATCGCGGATCACATAATTTTTTCTATAAAACGTCGATATTTCAAGCACTCCAATCAAAACATTAAAAGGTCACCTAACTAAGAAACTCCTTAAAACTTAGCACAAAGCATGGTGAAAATGAATTTAGGTAGGTGGTTGATTTAGGTAATCTCCTGTCTAAAGTGTTTCCTACGTAGGACCACTTTGGGAACTTGTCGGTGAAAACGGGCATAATTGATTTACTCTTGCTTCGAACCCCATCAATAATAAATTTGTAATACTTTTAAAATAGTGAAGCGATTTGTGTGAAAAACGAAAATTTCAAAATTTTGAGTTGGAGTAGTGTTCATTGGAGGCATCGATTTAATCTACTTGTGAACTGTAATGTGGCATAATTAGTTTTAAAACAGATTAGTATGTATATTATAATTTTACTTAAAGACTTCCATAGTCTCAAAACATTATAATACTCATTAACAATAATATATACAGCCTACCAAATAGGGTAACAATTGTCTTCACAAGTCCCAAGTATGTATTCTATTATAACTCACTAATTTTCGTATTCATTAGAACTGGTTATTAGAATGGTGTCAATTAGTGAATAATGAAACAGTTTAGTTACGGTTGATGAGGTCAAATGCATTGCATGCATAAATGCATTTGTTGCATCAAATCTAATAAAAAACCTATTACAAGTTTGATATGCTAGTTGAAATATGTGTGGCAGGCACATTGTAAATGTTAGTATGTGTTATATATTGTATGGCATATTAATGGTGTTAGGACATCTATCTCTAGTAGTGTTACATCTATTTCTGCCGTGAAGCAGTAATGCGTGACGGTTTGAAGAGTGGGGAAGCCGTTGTATTATAAAAACTGAGACCATAGAACTCATGTCTCGAAGTGGGTGGCGGCATTTACGTTGTAGATGTCTATGGGATCCGGTAACGTTTTAACACCAGGTGGGCTGTGAGCTCATCCACCCATCTAAGCAATAAAAAAAGGAACTTTTCTAAATTACGTACTTATTAAGAAAAATTAGGACTTACAGTTTTCATATCGCAATGAACATATTACGTTGCTCAAGTTGCTTCCTCTCCTTAGCGAATGAACTAACACATTGTAATGAAATAAATTTAAATCAACGAAGTACAAATATATATAAAATCCGTCCTATTTAGGTGGATTTCTACATCATTATGGTAGATACGAACTCCGACAAAGAAGTAACAACACAATGTACATTCGCGTTGCTTAATGTGTTTTGTGTATATAATTACGAAATAATTGATTTTGTATGGAAGACGACCTCGTGAATTTTTTAGGTCGCATTATAATCAGCGCCATTGACTTTAGTAAGTTTGTAATTGAAAGGGTACGTTAACATTTTTAGTACTATAGGTGATCGATCGAGCTCTTGGGTCATGCGGCTGCCTTGAGACACCATTTGAGTTGTAGGATCAGTTTAATGCGTTTTTTTTTTCCTACCTAAACTGATAGCCTATTATGAGAGGCCATTTCAGCGTAACCTTAGCTAGTAGGTGAGCTCACGGGGCTCAAACCGGAGTGAGGCTAACACTGACCCTAGCAAGAGCAGGGCTTCGCAGAATCTACCACCGGATCGGAAACGCGACCCACTGAGAAGATCCGGCGAGAAAGTCAGTGGGCTGAGTCTATGGGTTAATTCGCTCGTCGAGCCCTTCGTCGCAAGCGACGGGTTCGACAAGGACGATGACCGGTGCTTGTGGTGCCTAAAAGCACCGTTAATGGATCGGGAGGATCCGTAATGACGTATTTTGGGCGACGTCGACTGTTTACCATTCGGTCTACAGGATCGGGTATGTAGTTTCCAGCGGCCACGACAAGAGGGTTCTCATGTCGTGCCGCCTTCACAAAGTGCTTAATTCGGATATTTAGGCTGTTCCACTCTTCTAGACATGTCGGGTCCTCGCGTCCCTTTACGGGGGCGTCCATCGGTGGTCGGTGAGTGCCCTTCTTCCTGGGCGTATGCTCCCTGCCTTCTTAGGCATGATAAGTTTGCTGGAATGGATGTAATGGGCTGGTGTGATTTCTTTTTCTTTCTTCCTTCCTCAAGAGCGGCAGAATCTTTACGAGCGCCAGAATCTTTTTTAATACGCTTTTATTAGCTTCAGACGTATGTATGTTAGTATGTAACGGAATCTTTGAACATGATTTTGACCCCCTTCAAAACGTCGGATTAACTCGAAATTTGGTATACTTATTAAGGACCGATGACAATTTAATATTTAAAAAATAATAAAAAAAAAATAATGGAAAAAATTGAAATTAAACTAAAAAATTAAAAATAAATAATAGTTTAAAAAACTAACAAAATACGCTTTTATAGAAAATCCAACTAAACAAATAGAAAATAAATTTTAATTTTGAAATAAAATTGAATTAATTTAAATAATATAAATTAAAGAATAAAATTAAAATAAATTTGAAATAAAAATAGTGTAAGAAAAAATGGTTTTATTGTAAAAAAAGCTTAGTTTATTTTAATAGTTTTTTTTAAACTTTTTTTTCTCACTCCTCTAACCCTAACGCGACCGATTCGTTGCAACAATCGGCAGGAGATTACTATCTGCACGTGCAGATACAGTATGTGCCTTACCACAAATCAAACTCTTCTTCCGACCTAAGATAATGAGGTCACTCAATCTGTAATTTAAGATATGATCGTACATTTTCCAAACACTGAACTCGATTGACCTTCTAGCGTGAATAATTACAACAAAGTAAAATTATATATCATGCTTAATCTTAAAAAAAAAACGAAGTTGTAAATACAACTGCTTCTAATTCAAATTAAGATAGTTTAAATGTGAGCGTGCATTTATGCCCTTTGCTTAGTACAAGACGATATGAATGTTAAGATAAAATAAAACAGAAAAACTTACATTAATCACAAAACATATAATCACAGTAGCCACGTCGCTACCGACTGCAGTGCGATTGCAAATGCAAGAATAAATCTTATTCGTACCTAGTTAATTCTGCTTAATTTTTTACTCCTCGTTCTGAAGTCGACTCAAAGGTCGTCAAGATCATATTTTAACAATTAATTTTAATAGAGAAACTGCCACGAACCCAAACCTTGTAGTTTTAAAAATATTGTGATTGCTATTCATCTATTGTGTGATAATATTGCTGTAGCAATTGAAATTCTCACAGCAAATTTACAATAAATATATTTCAAGTTAATTATACAAACGACATGTTTGAAAAACGCCAACAAATCGTGATAATTAACCTGAAAAATTACTGGCCATGTCTATTATGGATGAAAGGCGATTGCATGCAGCAGAGATGCGAATGTTGCGATGGATGTGTGGAATAACGAGAATGGATAGAATACGGAATGAATATGTTAGAGGAAGTCTGAAAGTGGCACCTGTGACAGAGAAGCTGAGAAGTGCGCGTTTGGGATGGTATGGACATGTGATGAGACGAAATGAAATAAGAGAATGTTAACTATGAATGTGGAAGGACATAGAGGAAGAGGTAGACCTAAGAAGAAATTGATGGATTGCGTGAAAGACGATATGGGTAAGGGGGAGTGAGCGAAGAAATGGTATATGATAGAAGAGTAAGGAAGGAGAAAACATGTTGCGCCGACCCTAGGTGACTGGGAGAAGGGCAGGATAATGCTGATGATGTCTATTATGGACGCGAGCAATGCCCGACACAAGCGAGCCGCTGTCTACGGCAGAGGACTCTAGAAACCGGGTTTGAAGAAGGACAATATGTTATAGCGTTTAAGAAAAGAGGAAGTTCATCCCATAGCTGGACGACACTTGGGTAAAAGATCACTTGAAACGCAGTCAACTTGAACATAATGCTTAAATTAATTCTGTTCTGATGGCGGGCAGTGTGGCAGTAATTATTTCTTAAACAATTCTTCAGAGTAGTCTCCGTAGAACCAGAGATTCAAATCGAGCTATTTTTATATAGTAAAGGGAAGATGTTGGCTCTTAGGAATGCCACTGCGCCGGTTTTGATATAGAATCAGTACCTCACGCGAAGTTTGCTCTGTGCTGTGTAAAGTTGCAGTCGCAGGACTTTCCACTTTTTTTATTGCTTAGGTGGGTGAACGTGAACGTGAATGATAAGTTAATTGGTTACCGGAGCCCATACACATCTACAACGTAAATGCCGCCACCTACCTTGAGATATGAGTTCTAAGGTCTCAGTTTTAACAGTACAGCGACTGCCCCACCCTTCAAACCGAAACGCATTACTGGTTTACGGTAGAAATAGGCAGGGTGGTGATATCTACCCGTGCGGACTCACAAGACGTCCTACCACTGGATGTCAACTTGGCTGCACCCCCCAAATAACTCCGATTACCACTTGAAACGCAGCAGCCCCAAGAATCCCAATACTCTCGTAAGTTTCGAGGTCGTACGATGACCTGTCGTGTTCCAAAGACAATTTTCCAATTAAGTTATAAATGCTCATTGTGGTTGTTTACCCGTAATTTAAGAATACTCATTATATTTTAGCTTTTAATTAGCATTTGTTTTTTTTCGTCTTTGCGTCAGTATTTATTATATAAATCGTGTCCTTACATGTACGTAGGTACGTGTTAGAATTTCGATTTTAATTTTAAGTTATTGTTACCTGCTATTCTAATGGTCTATTAATGTGTAGCCCTGGCTATTTAAAAAAAAGCAGTGCCTTGTTTTTTTTTTCGCTCGACGGGCTTAAGACCTGGGAGTTCATCTGGTTCAGCTGTTGTGAAGTGCTTACCCGTGCCCATAGCAATCACAACGTAAATGATCCTACTCAGTTTGAAACACAAGAAGCCAGGAGGGGAGGGATTAGTTAACTGCCGCCCGAACGCCTCCAATGGAGACTTAATAGATCAAGGGCAGCTGCTTGTTGCATACTTTTTGCTAGCTTGCTGCTAGTTGCATACTTGTTGCTAGCGTTATAGCTGCAGGTCTCTAATAACTGTGGTACTGGATTGGGTAGATCCGTAAGGATATGTCTGGGGCTTCGATGGTGACTGGCTCCTGAGTGAGTCGGATCCGGGGATTATAGACATTCGACAGTGACAGTTTTTGTAGAGCGGTTGTCCCCACCTTTCAGAGCGAAACGCCTGACTGCTCCGTGGTAGAAATAGTTCGGACGGTGATATCTATCATACCACCCTTTAGGAGGTTCAAAAATAGGGAAGATCTTCCATTGAGCAGGTGAATTTGTTCGGTAGTCAAACGGTTCGATTTTTTTTATAAATGAGGGATGGCCCAGGGGCCTTTCCAGTTTTACCAAGACAAGTGGACGAGCAAAGGCTCAGCCAGGGCTGAATGTGGTTCGGAACTTTTATCTATATTCAAGCATCCGTCAAATATCTTGTATTCAACGATGGCTACCCGCCACAAGCCAATTAAAAGTGACTACATAAGCATAACGTATCCATCTCATTAAAAGTTTGATCTAATTAAATACTTTCTCAATTAAAACTCGACGGTTAAGATTATCTTATGATTTTAATTAATTGTTCTTGTACCTCAGTGATTGTGGAAGATCTTTTATTTTTAATTTAATTACTTAACGCTTCACGCTTTCACAGTGGCTTAGGTATGTATGAGCGAGGCAAATGATTTAAAATCAGAGTCCATTAATAAATATGAAGCAGGTGTATTTCTCTAAAGTAAAAATTTGAAATACAATGTAATATAAGGTATTTAAGTATAAATATGTCCGGGATTTAATTTGCATTATATAGATGATATAGTGAACTCCCGGCCAATCTGGTGTCTCTCCCCTCCCCTCCTCTGATGGTATCTCCTCCTCCTTATGTCAATAATCCTCAATGCTGAGGATCATGGCCTCCTCTAAAAACTTTCTCCTGTATTATCGCCATAGCGCTATTCCTGCCTATCCTCGGCTGTGTGGATAGCAACGTGGACTGAAGTATTGAAAGCGGTCCGTATCTGGTCCGACCCGCGCAATTGACTTCTGCCTCTGGGTCTTCTTCCGGTCCATAGACATTACGGCGTAAGTGCCGCTACCCGCCTTGAGATATAAGATCGAAATCTCAACATAACTAACAATATATATTTTTTATTGCTTAGATGGGTGGACGAGCTGACAGCCCACCTGGTGTTAAGTGGTTACTAGAGCCAATAGACACCTACAACGTAAATGCGCCACCCACCTTCAGATATAAGTTCTAAGGTCTCAAGTATAGTTACAACGGCTGCCCCACCCTTCAAGCCGAAACGCATTACTGCTTCACGGCAGAAATAGGCAGGGTGGTGGTACCTACCCGCGCAGACTCAGAAGAGGTTCTACCTGTGTGTCTGTGACAAACAGACAGACTGCCTATTTCTACCGTGAAGCAGTAATGCGTTTCGGCTTGAAGGGTGGGGCACCAGGTGGGCTGTGAGCTCGTCCATCCATAGAAGCAATAAAAAAAAAATCTTAACCATCCAGGTTGTCACCCAAACGCATACAAAGAAATTCATTGAAATCGGTCCAGCCGCTCAGGAGGACTTCAGTGACATACACACGTACAGTAGAATAAACCTAAGATACTAGCTGACCCGGCAAACGTTGTTTTGCCATATTAATTATTTCTGGGAAAGACAAATAACCTAGACATTGACTGCAGTGCCATCTGCCAGGCTGCTTTGTGAATCTAAACCATCTAGAGCGCCACCCAAACGCATACAAAAAAATTCATTCAAATCGGTCCAGCCGTCTAGGAGGAGTTCAGTGACAAACACACGCACAGAAGATATAAAGAATATGTTCGGAAATATTCTAATGACAATAAATAAACGCGAGATTAAACTGTAAAAGTGAAATGTACTTTTAGTAAATGCTTACGAGTCACGAAAAACGGGGAAAACATACTTATACAACGTGTTTTCTTTTGTAAATATCCGTACTTAAATTGTTAAAAAGGCTTAAATTGTTTTATTTCGTTTTTGAATAGGAAATGCACGATCATGTCTATTGAATTAGAAAATACTTTTAAACATCTTTGATCTGACATTCTTGTTGTATGTATGCTTCACGAGCTATTTAATATTCTAGTTTTTTATATTTTGCCTAATTTCGTGATAAATTTTCACTTATCGTTTAAATTCTAAGCAACAAAAAAATAAAACTATAATTTTTTTTAAAACAAAATCTTCTACACAATTTATCAAACCAAATATTTGTAATTAAAAATTAGAAATTGTTGTTTTTTTATTACCTGATTCACGAGACTCAAGTTTTCTTAAGTTTTCACTAAAACACCTCGAGCGTGCACAACTAAGAGGGGACCGTGTGATACTGTCCTATTGTTAGGCATACGCACAGCTTCAGTAATAAAATAAAATGACACAGTATAAATTTAATATAGTGGGTTTAATCTGAATCCGAATCATAGACTCGTCATAGTTTTAACAATTTATATGAGTCATGGATACTTGAAATAAAAACATTATTATTATTATTATTATTATTATAGTATAGATAGTCATAGATAGTTAGTAATTTGTATCGGAGGTTAGAGTACAGTCGAGCCCGCTACTCAGTTGATATTGAGAGAATATAGATATGATGTGAACAGGATCCATCTTCAGACATCAGGTCTAAGACTTTACTACATAAGAAACGGCTGGACCACTCTTTATGGATAACGCATAACTGTCTTAGAGCAGAAGACCTTATGGAGGTACATACTCGTGCGTACAGTATGCCATACCACCAGTGCTAATATCCAATGACTTTATAGGCATTGTTACGTGTCGGGGCTCGGGATAAAGAAAAACTTCCACCGAAGTACAAATTAAAACTAAATCTAATTATCACGACACTTAAGAAACACTGCAATATAACAATAAAATTAACTTCTTTCGCTTCGCTTCAGGTGATCAATTTAGGTCAATTCGATATCCGTTTGTCCTATTTGACAACAGATGGCGTTACCCGTACTGCCATAACACTTCTCGAGCGCTTCTGATAGTGTTGGTGGCGTTCATATCCATTTCTGTCATTTGACGACAGATGGCGATACTGGCACCAGCATCAGGGCCCTGAAACTGCGATACCTTCAGACATATTTTTTTTGGAAACTAGCGACATCTTGTAGCGATTGTGCCTAAACTTATATGTTGTTAAAGTTGAGGCATTTAGGTTATTATATAACTAAACACAGGAAATAAAAGATTAGTAAATCATACAAGTCTTTATTTTTTATAGACAAAATGATTAAATTTTATCAATTTGCGGTTACTGAAAATTTACAAATTCCTTCATTAAAAATAAAATATAGAATATGTTACTGCCATCTACAGGAGTAATGAGAAACTAATCGAAGCGAAGTCATCTAGTGGCCGACGCCCGTAAACATTTTTGTTAAGTGCTTGAGTTGCTTAACTATAACTAATTTATGTGTATTATCTATGACCGGCATAACAATATCAATATATTTAATCTACTATATTGTTTTCTGCTATTTGTACGAATTTCAGAAGTGTATTTTTTCCAGTACCTACTGACTTACTGAAGCGTATTTACTGTATCCATAAATGAATAGGACCAACTTAGTGACATAATCAAACGTAAAGTCGTATACCTATATCAAGTGACGAACGTTTCTAAAATTTCTCTCGACGTAACTTTACTCTGCGCTCTGTGATTCAAATGTAGCGTTGAGATTTTCAAAGAACCGCAAAAGTCATGTTTTGTCAGCCCTTTCTATGTTACTCAAACAACCGCTATGTACAGCATGTGGTTTTTAGCTCCGATATGTCGACATCTTCCAAAAACACCTATTTATCTAACATTTTTAATGTATCTAACTTAATTTAAGGTTATTTAGTTAGAAATATTTAAGCTACATTTTCAGAAAAGATACGTAATAACACCATCTATACTAATCTATATATTAATACGTGAAGCAAAACTTTGTATCCCTTTTTACGAAAATTGCGCGGAAGGCGGAGTATGAAATTTTCTACACTTATAGAGAATATAGAGAAGAAGTGCACAATGCTAATGTTTTTTTAAAATAATGCATAAAAGATACATTAAATCAATAAAGAAAACATTACACACACCACATACCATGTATTTGACGCAAACACGCATGCATACTATTTATTGTCAAACTTTTGTTCTTCACGTCTGTGGTCAAATTGAGAATAGATTAAATATTGTTTGTCTTTATTCATATTTTTTTATAGTGTAGCCTTGGCGAAATTTGTGATTATAGAGGTATAAAATACAAACATAATAGTGTACAAACTTACAATTCCAATTAATTATAGTCGAATTTCAACTACTGCGGGACCTCTAGTATATATAAATCTACAGTGGTTTTTACGCATGTTCCGTAACAACTACTGAACCATGCATCCGATTGACTTGAAATTTGGTATCCATGTAGAAAATACATGTACTTAATGGATAGGCTAATATTTATATGAGTGTTGGACTCCCTAATAAAAATGAAAATAAATAATAATGTTAATTTTAAATGCCCAGCGAAGCGGGCTAGTACGGCTAGTTAATTTATAAGATCATTTATTCAACATATCAACGATGTTCTAGAAGTGAATTTAATCAAATTTTGAAAGCATAACAATTGGATTACTTTTCACAGAATTTATTTCAACTGTTTATGTTATCTTTTCAATACATATCACCAGACATGTTATTGAAAAACAGCTATTATTTTATTTTTATGTAATATTTAATTTATGATTAAAATACAAAATGTTCTATTTCTACCTTTTTTTTGTTTTTTTTTTTAACGCTGGGGAATCCATTTACGGATACCCGGTCGAGGGGGGTAACGGACCGGGTTATGTCGGACTCCGGCGCCTCCTGAGAGGAAGAAGGGGAGAAGAGAAGGGCCGAGGTCCTTCACCTCCCCCAATTTCTCACAGGAGACTACGCCTTGAAAAAGGCGCGCGAACCACTTGCCTCGCAGAACGACTACCGACTAAACCCCATCGAGCCCCACCACTCCGACTCCTTCTATTTCTACCTATCAACGGTATTCGAGAGAGGACTAGATTTATACTTCATCTAATTGGCTTCAATTCATTCTGCGGTCGTTAACTCTTGCTGTGAGTTAAGTAAATGGAAAGTATCAAAACATTCCATAAGGCGTTGCAACAATGAAACCCGCTACGCAGTGTATAAACACACAGAATGGAAAGTCACACGCATTTAGGTTACTGCTGTTTGCTTTTTACTGCGACTCCCGTGCGCGACCGATGAAGAACGTGTTTTGAATTTAAATATCTAAGTATTAAAAAAAAATGTTACATCATTATATATTGTACTAGCAGCCCGCTCCGGCTCCGCTCGGGTCTTTAACAAAAATTTCAACGATATTTAATTTTGACGTTGTTTTATTTTTTTTAAATAAAAGAACACTTATTGCAGCATAACGATAATAGTTAGACATGTACTGTCGCGACACTTTTTGTAAATAATAATGTGTTCTACAAAGTCGTAGTACATTATTTTATCCTATCGTCAATAGTTTTCGCAGGGCACGCGATGTAAAGAATATTTTAGATATTTTTTTTTACATCTTGGGTTACATTATTGGAGTTTTAGTAAGGATCCCTAATTATTTTCAAAAAAGATTATTGCCTATGTCACTCGAGAATAGTGTAGCTTCCAAACAGTGAAAGAACTTTTAAAATCGGTTCAGTAGTTTTGGAGCCTATTCAATACAAACAAGCAAACAAATATTTCCTCTTTATAATATTACTAGCGACCCGCCCTCGCTTCGCTTCCGAAACATTAAAACACACATGAAACTAAAAAAAAAAAAAAAGTAGCCTATGTTCATCAGGGACAATGTCGGCTTCTAATGGAAAAAGAATTTTTCAAATCGGTCCAGTAGTTTCGGAGCCTATTCGAAACAAACAAACAAACAAATCTTTCCTCTTTATAATATTAGTATAGATATTAGTATAGATTGTGTGCTTAGGTTGATGGGCTTTCGTAATAAAGGCCCGGGGACACATATAACGTTTTCATATATTAGGTTATACATCCGTGTAGGGCCCAAAATACCATTCTTGGGCCCGGGGTCCGCACCCACACTCGGCGGACCCTCCAGTCCCACATAATGAGCGCATCCTCAAGACGCGGGGGACCTCGTAGGAGGTTCGGCCCTCGGGCCAGAAAAATTCGTTTTTCGTCAAAAAATTCGGGTAGGTATGTATTGTCTAGTATTCGGAAAACTGCTACAAATTCTTCACAATACAACAGGAATATTACATTGATTTTCCTAAACATGTTTGGTCTTTGTTGCATTAAATTGCCACGCAACGGTGAGCGATACACAATATTACGCACTGGGGCTCGGGATAAATAAAATTCCACCGAAGTATAAATTAAAATCGAACACTTTAAAACTCTCAATTCGCTACTTCCGCTTCGCTTCAGGTCATCCGTTCGCTGTTTCGCTTCGAGTAGTTCTGATTACTATATTTTTTTATTGCCCTTGTAGGCAGACGAGCATACGGCCCATGGTGAGTGGTTACCGTCGCCCATGGACTTCAGCAATGCCAGGGGCAGAGCCAAACCGCTGCCTACCGCCACGCCGCTACTAACTGACTGCGTGCTATCTCTGCAACTCTTGTATAGTCGAGACGAAATCCCTAGAATCGTCGAAAATATTCCACAGAAGTCTAGTATTGTGTGTTTCCGCTATATGACAATAGATGGCGTTGTCATTCTCGAGCGTTCTAGATGCAACTAGATCCTTCGATATTCGTTCGACTATTCGGCGATAGATGGCGTTACTCTTACCGGCGTAACAATATGAAGGTTTGAGATATGAGGTTATATAGTCAATTGTGTTTTGGATGTCCTATACTGCATTGCTGCTTTGCGTTAAGGTAGGCAGGGTAGTAAAACTTTCTTTTATAACGTATAATGCGAGTACGTCTTACAGCCAGTACATACCCGATCCGGCGGACCACACAGTAAGCAGTCGCTGTCGCCCAAAACACGTCACTATGGATCCTCCCGATCCACTATCGGTGCTTTTAGGCATTCCAAGCACCGGTCACCGTTCTTGTCAAACCCGTCGAATACGACAAACCCTTGTGAAAAGTAACCTACAGACACAGCCCACTGAGTTTCACGCCGGATCTTCTCAGTGGGTGGCGATTCCGATCCGGTGGTAGATTCAGGGAAGCACTGCTCTTGCTAGGGCTAGTGTTAGTAATTCTCACAGGTTGAGTCCACGAGCTCCGTATAGGTATCCGTACGCGTATAGTTGGAATAGCCCCTTATGCTACCAGTGAGTAGGTAGGGAAAAACATATCGAGTATTGATTACGCTGTATAAATTTTGGGAGTTTAAATTTTATTACAATACTAGCTTTTGCCCCCGACTTCGTCCGCATAGAATAGTTCACAAATAATGCTTTATTTTAGAACAAATTTGGTTAGCATATAAAACGTTATAGTAAGCTAACCTTAATATATAGACATATGCTGTCGCGGGCTTTTTTAGATCTTTTAAAGGGGAACAATTCTCTCATACATTACTTTAGCGAAATTTTAACCGTTTCCGCAGCGCACGCAGTGGATGCTCTCAAAAGGGATTAAAACCCCGATTTTGAAACATTCTTTATTGGTGTTCCGCTTGTATTGGTCTTGGCGTGATGTTATATAGCCTATAGCCTTCCTCGATAAATGGGCTATCTAACACTGAAAGAATTTTTCAAATCGGACCGGTAATTCCTGAGATTAGCGCGTTCAAACAAACAAACTTTTCAGCTTTATAATATTAGTATAGATGCTATTTGTTTATCGTGTTTCATTATTAGTAGTTCCATTAGGGCGATAAGGAGATTAACCCAAATCATTTTCAAACATTTAGAGCTCATCCTATCACAATGAAACTTTTTTTTAACCCTAAAACTGGGCGCAATATATCGGCGAATGACAGCAAATGTCACTGTCGTAATCGGGAAATTTATATTGTCTAACTATCGGATCGTTACCAAATTAATATAAAAAATCATATAAATATACAAAACGTAATTTACAAATATGTCTAATATAGACTCTCCTATAGCTCTCTCCGAGTTAGAGTCAGTTCTGGCCTGGGTGGATACATTCAAGCTCTCTAGACCGACCAAGAAAATCAACAGAGATTTTTCCGATGCTGGTAATTCCAATGTCAAGTTAGAGATCTTTAGTCAAGTTCTAACAGCAATTTATTATATTAATATGTATAAAGTATAAGTATACGATCTCGAATTTGAAATATTGTAACATTATCTGGCTAGTGCAAATATCCTAATCAATTTTTGTGTCAAAATAATTAGTATCCTAGACGATCTAGTGGTAGGTTATTTTTGCCATTAACATGTTGGACCGTCTTCAGCCGGCAGCTTCTCCAATTCGTCAAGGCTGAGTCCATTCGTCCACTCATTCTGGTGAAATTGCAAATCCCTTGAGATACACGGTCGAAATTTCAATTTTATTCAAGGGAATTCTATTCAAAGCGACTCTAATGATTCCATGACTTTCTTGAGGTCTTTCGACTTGGAGACTGTCATAGGCTGATTTAAAATCATCTAAAAATAGTCACACCTACGAAACATTACTACGAATTAAATTTAATCCACAGACAATAAAATAACGAATGAATGTATGAGCTAATTGCGTATTCGACAGTTCTCCTAGCCGAGATCCTAAGCGTTCATTATCCGAAACTAGTGGAAATGCACAACTATCCGCCGAGGAACAGCCATTCTTTGAAGCTCAACAACTGGCTGACGCTTAACCGCAAGGTTTTGAAGAAGTTGAGGCTGAGCCTATGCTGTAACACGATGGATCAGCTCGCTAACTGCGCTCCCGGGGTCATTGAACGAGTACTTGTCATGGGTTAGTGTTGTACTCAGACTGGGATAGGAAAATGAGGAACAGAAGAATGTTACTGTCAGTCGCGTGTAACACTTCCGAGACATTAGTGGTAGGGTGTCTTGTGAATCCGCACGGGTAGGTACCATCACTCTGCCTATTTCTGCCGTGAAGCAGTAATGCGTTTGGGTTGAAAGGGTGGCGTAGCCGTTGGGCTTTAAAATTAAAATTGAGAAATGGATCTCATGTCTCAAGATCGGTGGTAGCATTTACGTTGCTAACGTCTGTGGGCTCCGGTAACCACTCAATACCAGGAAGACCGTGAGTTCGTTAACCCACATAAGTAATAAAAAGCCACGAAGAGATCATCCAAACTCTGAACCACAAATATCCTTCATGAAACATCCTTCATAAAGATAGTGCCTCCGACCGGGAAGCGAATTCTTACTGGTGGTAGGACCTCTTGTGAGGCCGCATGGGTGGGTACCACCACCCCGCCTATTTCTGCCGTGAAGCAGTAATGCGTGTCGGCTTGAAGGGTGGGGCAGCCGTTGTAACTATACTGAGACCTTAGAATTTATATCTCAAGGTGGGTGGCGCATTTACGTTTTGAATGTCTATGGGCTCCAGTAACCACTTAACACCAGGTGGGCTATGAGCTCGTCCACACATCTAAGCAATAAAAAAAAGAATCTTGAATTGTGATAATGTACCCATTCAAAAGCACTCTACAAACAGATCGATAGAATTTGTACGAAAATGATTGTAATGTTTTGATATGCCAACTGGACAGTTAGGGACAAAATACGTCGCGACGAAGAGTTGAACAAGAGTATGAGGGAGTCGGAACAGAATGTATCCAGCGGCGGTAGCTATTACGAAGCTTGCGGCGAAGATGGTAAATTATACTTTGTATACTATATTCCCCTTTTTATCCTTTAATTTTTGTTAACCAACACTTTTTATCCCTCCACCTTAGTCAACAAGGCTACGTATGCTGTCATGATTTGGGACTAATCGCTATGCAGTGTACATTGATTGACATAGTAAAAACTAAGTAACTAAAAAGTAATAGTCGTCGTGGCCTAAAGGATAAGACGTCCGGTGCATGCGTGTTGAAGCGATGCACCGGTGTTCGAATCCCGCAGGCGGGTACCAATTTTTCTAATGAAATATGTACTCAACAAATGTTCACGATTGACTTCCACGGTGAAGGAATAACATCGTGTAATAAAAATCAAACCCGCAAAATTATAATTTGCGTAATTACTGGTGGTAGGACCTCTTGTGAGTCCGCGCGGATAGGTACCACCGCCCTGCTTATTTCTGCCGTGAAGCAGTAATGCGTTTCGGTTTGAAGGGTGGGGTAGCCGTTGTAACTATACTGAGACTTTAGAACTTGTATCTCAAGGTGGGTGGCGCGTCTACGTTGTAGATGTCTATGGGCTCCAGTAACCACTTAACATCAGGTGGGCTGTGAGCTCGTCCAACCACCTAAGTAATAAAAAAAAATAAAAAAAACTATTTATACAAGTCAAATGAATCAGAACCTTAGTCTTTCGTGATCATGAAAATGGAAGCATTCGAAACGTGGGAGATAGCATAGAGATCTAGTACTTTTACACTGAGTTCGCTCTACCCGCTGAGTTTCTCGTCGGATCTACTCAGTGGGTGGCGATTCCGATTCGGTAGTAGATTCATTCGCGAAGCAGCTTGAGTTGTTAGGCCTTCTTTTGAGGCGCTAGAGCAGCTAGAGCAGTTGAGCATTTGCTCGCCCAACTGTCCTGGTGAAACTGGAAAGGCCTCGGGGCCACCAGTAATCTTTGAATCAAAAAGAAAAGCTAGAAACGTTAACAACTAGTTTCCTATACGATATGGACTTAGATTAATATAAATATGGTCCATTTGAAATGGAAATTATAACATGTTGTATTGGCTTGAATTGTATTGATCTATTTGTAATATTGGACATTTGGAATGTTTTGACGTGATTTTGTCAAACTTGAAGACGCGCACTTAGCTTGGAATTTTGCCCACCTAGGAAAACTAGGAAAGGCCTCCGGGTCAGCAGTAATCCATCAATAAACATAAATAAATGGTATTATTCTGTCTAGAAAACATCCTCGTTGTGCCCGTGAAGACGAGGGTCAATGGTGTTTTGGAGACGGTTCAACAGAAAGTGGTCAACTACGACTGCTATTTGACTCTGAAGGAAGAATTTAAGGACGCTAAAGATTCTATTGAACTGCTCAAACAAAAGGTAAGTATTTAAATAAATACGTCATCTACAAACTTGAGATATTAGGTGATGTTGTTTCACCATTAAAAACGGAATGACACGGACGGCTTCGGGGCAGAAGTATGCAGGACGATTTAAGAATGAAATTGAGACTTCATTCATTGTCTCAAGGTCTGTGTTAATGTGGTAATTTAACCCTTTGACTACCATGTAGGTCACTGGTGCCCTACGTGGCGCACTGAAGTAATTGTCGATTTCTGTTGGTAAGCACCTGGATTGCCTAACTTTGTCGTTTTGTTATTAATGTATGTATCTTAGTAGCTTCGGATTCGTCTTTCCTAGAGTCTACCATATAGATTATAGATATTCCAGCGCCTTAGTAAGAAGATCGAAGACAGAAATCGACATAATTACTTTAGTGCCCTACGTAGAGCACCGCTGACCTACACGGCAGTCAACGTGTTAAACACTATGAACGCTTAACTTTTAATAACACAAAAATTTTTTTTAGCCTTTATTGTTCACACGATTCGGTTTGACGGAAGACGACACTATGTTATTTTGTGGTGAGAATGAGCAGTGGCGTTCTCTGAGTATTGTACCAGTGTGCTATGGTCGGCAACCAGCATTCGGTGGTGGTATTGCGGACCAGCATGGGTAGTCGTGCCTCGTATACCGCTTTACCACGACCTCATCTCTCATGCCGATTTGCTGCGTTCACGTCGTAACCGGCCCCACAATTTTGCTGGTGTCCATTTTGGACTATATGTATACTTTTTACCTCCTATTTTATCTATTTATGCAGCTAGTTTTAAAGTAGAATGCGATATTTTTATTAAATAAATGTTGAAAAATGCATAGGTCGAACATCTAGACAATTTGCTGAAACTCAAAGAAGAAAGGATTGAAGAATTACAAAAGCAATTAGAAAGGAAACAAAATAGACGTAGAGAAGTAGAAGCTCTTCAGAATAGTCTTTCAGTGCCGTTTGATGAACCGCCAACCCCAACAGTTGTTGTACAGGAGAACAAAGCGACACCAGTTCAAAATACTATTAAAAATATTGAAGCGAAGACACCTAAAGTCGAAGAATCGAAGATACCTATACTCATAGATGCTTCTAGAATTCCTAAGCCTAGCGTAATAGAAGTCAACGAAACAGCTATAATTGTAGATAGTTCTAGAATTTCTAAGCCGATCACAAAAGAAGTTTATGAGCTTGAGAAACCTATTGTGGAAGTGCACGAAATCAAGTCCGATGTGTTCAAAGAAACTGAAGTTGTTGAGCAGAAATCTGAATGCTTTCATGATGTGGAAGATTTCGATCAAAATCCAGTTATAGTCACAACCATAGAGGAAAGCATTAATAAAGAAATCAAAGAGATCGTTAATTCAGCGGGATATGTGGAGAATTTTGGCTACGTTGCTTAGAAAGTCTGGCTATTGTTTCAAAGACATTTTTAAAGATATTGTGTATTGAAATTTGCTAGTTTTTTTTTTACTAAATGTAATAATGAAACACATCGTGTCTATTTGTTAATAGTTTGTTATTTAGAAATAAAGTGTACATTAATTTATTTATTTGTTTCATTACAAAGTTAGCAGTGTGCGTTCGCTTGGAAAATCTCAAGTAGACTTGGATGCGCCTCGAGTATCTTTCTGATCTCTTCAAATCTGGCTTGTTTGAAGTTTGATTTGGGTTGGGTAGTTCTGAAAATTTCAAAGGATTTCATGTGTTATCTGTTGTTGAGGAACATCTTAATGTTAATATTGTAATAATAATAAACACCTAACGAACAATCCAAGTGACTGGGCAACGTAGAACACGAATTAACATCGTTTATGAAGTCGTCGTGGCCTAAAGGATAAGTCGTCCGGTGCATTCGTATCTAGCGATGCAACGGTGTTCGAATTCCGCAGGCGGGTACCAATTTTTCTAATGAAATACGTACTTAACAAATGTTCACGATTGACATCCACGGTGAAGGAATAACATCGTATAATAAAACACAAACCCGCAAAATTATAATTTGCGTAATTACTGGTGGTAGGACCTCTTGTGAGTCCGCACGGGTAGGTACCACCGCCCCGCCTATTTCTGCCGTGAAGCAGTAATGCTTTTCGGCTTGAAGGGTGGGGCAGCCGTTGTAACTATACTGAGACCTTAGAACTTATATTTCAAGGTAAGTATGTGGCGCATTTACGTTGTAGATGTCTATGGGCTCCAATAGCCATGTGCCTTTGGGAATAGCCAGACAGACTTATTTCAATGTGACTAGAGGACATAGTCGAATAGTGGCCATTAAAACATGAGCCTCGATGGCTCAGAGGCAAAACATCAGGTGATAGAAATACTGGTTTTGGTTTGTTAACGTGATAAGTTTGAATATGATGAATTTATTCTCTCTTCAGCTATAGCTATTTCATTTTGAGTGTGGTAAGTGACCGTAAGTGGCATTGCTGATTCATAAAAAATTACCACCAAACGATAAATAAAGAACGAAGGGATAACAAAAACGATTGCAAACATTGTACGAAGCAAAACAAAATCGTTAAAGAGGTGAACACACAAAAAAAGGTTACTTGTCTTAATAATCCAATACCTTTATTGTGTAAGAAAACGTACCATTGTACGGATTTGCATTAAAAAGACAAATTATCGACCGTCATTAATGTAATTTCTAATTAACCGAAGTCCAGTAATAAATAGGGCCATTAGCTCGCTTAGTTTAAGCCCATGCCTAATGGCTTGCGGAATTTTCCTAGAAACACTTTTTGTTTTGATCGTTTAGCGGTTATTTTGTTGGTTGTTTTGTTTCTAGGACGGAATTACTAGGTAAAATAAACTTGTTTGTAATGTAATATTTACGTTGATTGATTAAATAGAAAAGAATGAGCTCTGTCTTGCTAACAAAAAAGTGTACAAGGGTACACTTAAGATATATCTAATATATAAAATTCTCGTGTCACGGTGTGCGTGATTGAACTCCTCCGAAACGGCTCGACCAATGTTCGTGAATCTTATCGTACAGGGTCAGGGTGGAGAATCGGATAACATCTATTTTTCATACCCCTAAATGTTAAGGGTGGTCCACCCCAAAATTGGTATTTTTATTTTCAGACAACATTTTTTGTTTTTATTTTTTTATGATACAGCATACAAAAATACATACAACCCAAAATTTTCACCCCTCTACGATCAACCCATATTTTTTATTTGTTAATTATAAACTTTAATTTTTTTGGCAAGATTTTCATTTTTCTTTTTATTTTCTCATGAATTAAAATAAAAAATCTGATGTTGCTTTCAATTTTTCATACCTCTATGATCAACCCGTATTTTTTATTTGTTAATTATAAACTTTAAAGCGGCTACAACATAAACGTGCCATAAGCCACGTATGGGCATATGCATAGGTGGAGCATTTATGAAAAGCTGGAGGCAAGAAATTTGAAAATTTCTATAGCATTTTCTTTTTCGGTTTCCGCGGTTTTCAGGCACAAATAAAATAACTTCTGTGGTTTATTGGCGCGTTCAATATTTTAATTTTATTATTACTTTCGTTTTTTTTTTTTTTATTGCTTAGATGGATGGACGACCTGACAGCCCACCTAGTGTTAAGTGGTTACTGGAGCCCATAGACATCTACAACGCAAATGCGCTACCCATCTTAAGATATAAGTTTTTTTTATTGCTTAAATGTTAAACTTAATTGTTAGTTTGGATTGCTATCTGACCCGATCCATTAACGGTGCTTTTAGGTACCACAAGCACCGGTCACTGTCCTCGCCGAGCCCGTCGCTTGAGACGAAGGGCTCGATGAGTAAATTAACCCATATACACAGCCCACTGAGTTTCTCGCCGGATCTTCTCAGTGGGTCGCGTTTCCGATGCGGTGGTAGATTCTGCGAAGTACTGCTCTTGCTAGGGCCAATGTTAGCAACACTCCTGATTTGAGCCTCGTGAGCTGACCTACTAGCTCGGTGAATCTAGAATAAGCCCCTCGAGGTTTTAGGAGGATTTTTTTTTATCTGAGCGGGTTTTTACCTTTGTTTTTAAACTGCATTGTTATATTTGTTGTTTATAGTAAATAGTCCGCGAGAATCGGAAAGATTAAAACTTTTCATTAAATTACTTTTATTTTCCCTTTGTAACCACGCCGCGCCGCATCGCGCATGCTTCTAATTTCCACAACGTCTTAGTAAATTATGTTTATTCAGGCGCATGTATTATTCGCAATAAGTCGGCAAATGTTAAAACGCTTTTATAGAAGTAGCAACAGTACAGACGGTAGACAATAAACATAAAATATTCAAATAAAAAGTACAAGGATTTTATAGCCGGTTCATAGGAACGGTTGGAAGAAAGGTAGGTGGGTAGCGAGCCTTTTGTTTCAGCATTATATTGTGTACGAAAACAAAAAAGAAGCGGCCTTTTTTCACTTCGAATAATCAACTGTCGGTCAAATCATTGATGTTATTATTTATTTCAAAAATAACTTAAGTTCAGTTCAGTATTAGCACAAAGATTTTTTTTTTTAGTTATGACTGTGGTAAAAGATGGCGGAAATTTTCGCATTTTTTTGTTTGTTCCCGAATGCAAAAGGAAACGGTATTGTAATGTCTATTTCGGTTTCAATTTTTGTTTTTAGCGCGAACGACTAACAAAGCAATAGAGAGCAGGTAATAAAACCGAAAATTTGGAAAATAAACCCGTTCAGATTTACTTATTTTGTTCATCAATTATTTTTTATTTAAAAAAAATATATGTTTCAAGCTATTAAACCATAGATCGCTATAGAACGAATTCTCAATATTCTTCTAGCTACATACCAAAGTTTTGAATCTCGCCTTTAACCTCTCCTCTCCTGTGTTAACTATATCACCTATATTCGCTTATATTATGGCTAAGTTAATACTACCCATGCGAAAACAAGAAAAGGCATTTGCCGGGAAATTGAAGTTTTTTAAAAGTTACTTTGATTTATCATCTATTTCTTTCCCGAAGGACGAAGATGACAACTGCTATGTAATGCTGACTGAATTAGGATTGATTATTGAAGAAAGACTGCCTATACATAAACATATTATGTACGTTTCATCCGTTCATGACGTAAAAAATTCCAAAGTAATTAACAGTAACAGATTCTTTCCCCTGTTATTTCCATTTAAAAGTTTGTTTATCGTGGGGCCGGGTTGAAATTAAAATTAAAATTAAGAGCTATAACTTGGCATGAATCTTTTTTAATAGATTTAGAACCGATTTTGGACTATCGTGAAAAAAAATAAGGACCACCACATATATGTTTCACTAATGTGTCCATTGGCTGTCTGAAACTGTATGTTGTGTTATATATCAACGTTCCTTGATGAAACTTTAAAGTGACTCACTCATTATCTCCGCCGTCGCCGCCAATAACTTTGAATCGATCGAACTGTATCCTGTCATCGTAAAAGCAACTCTTGTCGATTTCGTTCAAGGCTCGCTTGACCGGGAATAGATCTTTCACTGAAAATTTATATTTTTCAATAGTTTCAATGGTGAGCCGATTGAGCTTAAATCTAATCGCTAGTAGCCTATAGGGCTATTTCAGCTGTACTGGTGATAGGACCTCTTGTGACCCGCGCGCGTAGGTACCACCGCCCTGCCTATTTCTGCCATGAAGCAGTAATGCGTTTCGGTTTGAAGGGTGGGGCAGCCGTTGTAACTATAGTTGAGACCTTAGAACTTACATCTCAAGATGGATGGCGCATTTACGTCGTAGATGTCTATGGGCTCCAGTAACCACTTAACATCAGGTGGGCTCGTCCACCCATCTAGCAATAAAAAAAAGAATCACGGACTAGGACAGACTAGGACAAAATATTCAAGGACTAGGTCAGCTCACGGGCTCAACTTGTCAGAGTTTGCTAACACGGGCCCTAGCAAGAGCAGTGCATCGTTGAATGCACCACCGGATCGGCATCGCGACCCACTGAGAAGATCCGGTAAGAGACTGTGGGTTGTGTCTATGGGCTAGTACACACGTCGAACTCTTCGTCGTAACCGACAAGTTCGACAAGGACGGTGACCCGCGCTTGAAAAGTCCAAAAGCACCGAGTGAACCCAAGCTGTTTGTACTTGGCACGCGGCTTAACAATGTTTTTGGGTTCGATACTGCTAATAAGGAAGCTGTTACGGTTCGACCAATAACTCGACATCATCTGTTAAGATGAATCAGAGAGACAAATAAGTTTTTTATCCTTACCAAATCTTGAACGCAATAGGTACCTTTAAATAAGTAAAAACTAAATTTACTTCAAATCTTCAGTTTTACCGTTAACCACGCTTTGGATACTGGAAGCCGGAGTGGGACTTGGAGCTCGGCACGTACAAGGCGGAGTTAAAGAATCTGTCGAGGTCTGAACGGCTATGCCTCCAACGCTGGGTGTCCACTCGTCTAGAGGACATTCCTCTATGGCGCCTTCAACGATTTTGTCCTTCTTCTTTTTCTCTTCAATACGATGTTTTAAAATTTCCAATTGTTCTAGAAAAATTCGGTAATCCGTAATGTAAAGAAGGCTGTAGACTGTGTTGAGCTTGCGGTAAAATTATATTTCAATACTAAACACCCCTGGTATGGACATGTGATGAGACGAAATGAAAATGAGGTTGGTAAGAGAATGTTACGTGGAAGGATATAGAGGAAGAGGTAGACCTAAGAAGAAATGGATGGATTGCGTGAAAGATGATATGGGGGAGTGAGCAAAGAAATGGTATATGATAAAAGAGTATGTAAGGAGAAAACATGTTGCGCCGACCCCGGGTGACCGGGAGAAGGGCAGCATAATGATGATGATGACTAAACACCCCACTACAAATAGACCTACTCCCTTTAGGGGCAATTCGTTTTATAAATAAGCGTTCATAGCGAAACAGCTCCAAGCTGGGATTTTTTTTTAATTGCACATACGAGCGGGCGAGCTAATGGCCCAGATAGTGTCGTATGGTTGCCCATAAGCGCGAACACAAATGACTCTGTAAGGGCCCACGTTTTGAACCAGAAATACTGGATCGCGGTCGAAATAGGCAGGGCAATGGTACCTACACTGCCTACTTTAGATTAACCAGAGATCTGGTAATTACTCAGTCACAAACAACAGGAGCAACCATCATCATCATCAATGCCCTTCTCCCAGTCACCTGGGGTCGGCGCAACATGTTTTCTCCTTCCATACTCTTCTATCATATACCATTTCTTCGTTCACTCCCTTCTTACACATATCGACTTTCAGGCAATCTATCCATTTTTTCGTCACCACTTCCTCTATAACTGGAGCAACCACGGGATCAAAACATTGGTCCTTTGAAGAGTTACGAAGACGGATGGAGGCGTCACTCACCTGGAGAGCACGTTTCATACTGTTCGTAATTTTGCTTGAAATGGACGTAAGGATTCGCTTTCATATATGGCGGTAGGGAATCCATGAATGAGTCCACTTTCATGTTTTTACAGTTGTTCGCTGGGCAAATCTGTGTCAGTTTTTTTATTTATTATTATTGCTTAGATGGGTGGACGTGCTCACAGCCCACCCGGTGTTGAGTGGTTACTGGAGTCATAGCCATCTACAACGTAAATGCGTCACCCACCTAGATATATAAGTTCTAAGGTCTCAGTATGGTTACAACGGCTGCCCCACCCTTCAACGTGTTATTTCGTCATTCGTGAGCATATATCAGTTTAGAACCCATATTTTCATAATCTTGGTGTACCCGCTTGCGATATTTGAACACCAGCGTAATCGCATGGCGTCGTAATTGAAGGAGACCGAAAATTGTTTTTTTTGGGATATTTTTTTTCGTATATCTAGTATCCTGAAGGTCTTGATAGCTTTGCCCAGACGGGTGGACGGGCACGGGATCAACCGAGAGAAGTGACTGCTCAAGGGCAGCTGCTTCGCGAATGCATCGACTGTCGGATCGGAATTTACATTGAAAAATCATTCTCTCAGGTTTGGTGGCTGAAGGTTGGAAAATGAGACAGGCATATCAATTGAATTATTTCGGCCACGACATCCTAATGACTTTTGCTTTCATATCGCGAACTTTTACACGCAGACGCATGAGACGTATTGACGTATAACGTGACTTTGACATTAATGACAAGCCGTCAAAATTAGCGCGCCAAAATACAAAGGAATATAATACGTAACCTTTTCGTAATTAATTTTGCGATCTTGATCTGGCTTGTGATTAGGTATTACGTGTAAACTGTCGCGGTGTAGTGAACTGAAATAATAAATAAACAAATCAAAACTTGCGTTTTATTATTACTAATTATTATTGAACACGGGTAGATTGTAAACAGGCGGGTTGTTTTACAGAATTGAACTCATACAGCCCGGCTGGTGGACATCAGTGATGCCAAGGGCACAGGGAAGCCGTTGAGTACTCTCCGTAAAACTCGTTTGACATGTTATACCGCTCAGGAAGCATTATGAATCCCTCCATAGTTAATTTCAAAGTCGGATGACATGTGGCAAAACCTCTCCACTCCTCATGCTACATACGGTGCAGTGTGCTTAGTGCGAATTTTTTAACGTTTTCGATAGCGTAAAAGTTAACCCAATGTTGTATGCAATTGGAACAGCGCCCCTAGCGGTAAACGTAGGCTAACGATCCCATTCTATACAAATATGAGCTAACTTTTACGCTATCGAGAACTCTCTTCGCTGTCCATTTTCTATAATATTGCTGCTATAATAGTATAAAACATACAGAATACAAATACACATAAAGAGGTTATTTAGGTCTCACCCAAGAATGGAGTGAGACGGCTTGATGTTATTTTTATCATCTTTATCATCTTCCTTTGGATATTCAGACCTGTGCAAAAAAAACTGCTATTACTTTGCACATAATAACTTATTGATCAGTGATAAGTTTTTTTATTGCTCATATGGGTGTACGAATACACAGCCCAGCTGGTGTTAAGTGGTTAATGGAGTCGATGGACATCAACAACAATAAAAGTTGTTACATGGGCTCTAACCCAGTTATACTGCGGCAGATAAAGGAAGGGTGGTACCTGGGGTGGTGACCCTAACTTTTTTATTTTTTTTATTGCCCTTGTATGCAGACGAGCATACGGCCCACCTGATAGTGAGAGGTTACCGTCGCCCATGGACTTCAGCAATGCCAGGGGCAGAGCCAAGCCGCTGCCTAAAACCTACCTGCATCATAAATATTATGTTTTTCTATACACATCTTTCGAGGTACTATTATGAATATTGATACATAAAAGTATGAATTGAATTTTGAATATCATCAATAGCTACGCTGCGATGTTTTAATGAGAAATGTAACTTAATCCTACTTACTAATCGGAATATTTCTATTCAAGTTTAAAATTACATTCAACTGAAGTTGTTCAATTAATTAATGGAACTGTTATCTATATATATAAAAATGAATTGCTGTTAGTTAGTCTCGCTAAAACTCGAGAACGGCTAGACCGATTTGGCTAATTTTGGTCTTGAATTATTTGTGGAAGTCCAGAGAAGGTTTAAAAGGTAGAAAAATATGGAAATGCTCTAAATTAAATAAAAATAACAATTTTCTTTTGTTTCCTTTTGTTTGTTTTAAGTTTATTTTATGTAAAAGTTTATTTTATTTTATGTATTTATCTATTCCGTGGAAAAATATGATAATTCTCGGAATTCAATAAAAATAACAACTTTGTTTTTCCTTTGATGTGTCCCCCGTCGGACAGATTCCTTTTGTTTGTTTTAAGTTTATTTTATACAAAATTTTAGGTCTTTTATTATCGATTGAGGCACTACGAAGTCTGCCGGGTCAGCTAGTTAATAATATAAGTTATTAATCGTGACTCACGTCTCTTGATCATCTTCAAATTCTTCACCATCCAACTCATCAAACTGTGGTGTCTGAATGAAAAATATATGCGTTTAAATACCTAAGTAGCATTAAAAGTTAATAAAATTATGATTATTTTAAATTTCGAAAGACTGTGTTCCGCGGTCTGTGAAATTCTCGAATTTTAATTTAAAAAAAAAAGTATTTATGGCGCTCTTTGTTTCCGGGAATAACGACTCGCCAGAAAGAAAAAAAAGACTTAAGTTTTTTTTTTGGGATTATAACAAACTTTTTCAAATTGGTCCTTCGAACGGATTTCAATATAAAATTAGGCGCCCGCATGTCTGGCTGCAAAATATTTCTATTCTTTGCTGTTATTTTTGTATTTCGAGTTTCTTATTCATTCGATGTTATTCTTATAAAAATTAGCAACTTCATTTTTTTTTTAAACCATTTTAGTGCTGAGCTTATTTTGCAGGAATTGCTAATAAATGTTCTAATCTTCTTATGTACAAGACTGAAGTTTTTTTTTTTGGGATTGAAACATAGTCTTTTAAATTGGTCCTTCGAACGGATTTCAATATATAATTAGGCGCCCGCATGTCTGGCTGCAAAATATTTCTATTGTTTGCTGTTATTTTTGTACTTCGAATTTCTTATTCATTCGATGTTATTCTTATAAAAATTAGCAACTTCATTTTTTTTTAAACCATTTTAGTGCTGAGCTTATTTTGCAGAAATTGCTAGTAAATGTTCTAATCTTAAAAGACTTAAGTTTTTTTTAGAGATTGAAATAAGGATTTTAAAATTGGTCCTTCGAACGGATTTCAATATAAAATTAGGCGCCCGCATGTCTGGCTACAAATTATTTCTGTTGCTTGCTGTTATTTTTGTATTTCGAATTTCTTATTCATTCGAAGTTATTCATAACAGAATTAGCTCTTTTTAGTGCTGAGCTTATTTTGCAAAAATTGCTAACGAATTCTTGAGAAAAACTACTTTACGCAAAAAAAAAATTAGCTTAAAAAAAATATGTAAATATCAATTCTGAATTCACAGCAAAATAATTTTCAATGGCTATTTCTAAATGTTATAAACTTATTAAAAACGTTATTCATACACCCACGTTAGGTGGATAAAATCTATAATCAAACTGCGCAAATAATCGCTTTTCCGATACTCCACATTTTATACGAAATATATAGGAATATGTAATAGGAAATAGGTCACCGGTGCCCTACGCGGCGCTCACTCAAGTAATTATATCGATTTTTATCCTCGATACTTTTATTAAGGCCTCGGAATATCTAGTAGATTCTGGGAAAAACGAATCCGCATATAATGAGAATTAATCTATTTCTAAGAGACCTAAAATACTGAATCACATTTTAAAAACAAAAGAAGGCTAAGTTAGTCAATCTAGACACTTAGTAGCAGAAATCGACATAATTACTTCAGTGCCCCGCGTAGGGCACCGGTGACCTACGTGGCAGTCAAAGGGTTAAAAAGCCGATCTATCGACGTTTCGCCATTGTGTTTCGCGCTCAAAACCATCCTCCCGATCCACTAACGGTTCTTTTAGGTACCACAACCACCGGTCACCGTCCTCGTCGAACCCGTCGCTTGCGACGAAGGGCTCGACGAGTAAATTAACCCATAGACACAGCTCACTGAGTTTCTCGCTGTATCTTCTCAGTGGATCGCGTTTCCGGTGGTAGATTCTGCGAAGCACTGCTCTTGCTAGGGCCAGTATTAGGCAATACTCCGGTTTGAGCCCCGTGAGCTCACCTACACGTCAAGAAAAGCTGAAATAGCCTCTCAAGGCTATCAGCATACGTAGAGAAAAAAAAGCGGAGCGCGGCCAAAACAGCTTCCACTTTTAAATAACACGTGGTATTACTTTTGTATTACTTCAGCAGGTTCCCTATAGTTTATTTATGCAGATAAATTACGAATAGCAAAAATATACGGCAATAGTGACCTAGACAAAAAAAAGTATACAATTGTATTCAAGGAGATAAGAACAAAAGTATCCTTGTTGTAACAAACGACAGTTCACAGAATACAATTTAGGAATGTAGCCGCCATTGATTTCGCACACATGTCTCTGTGGATCCTATTGAGACGGGAATCATGTCGGCGTTTCAATATTTTTTTATGGCCATAAACTTTTTTGAGGTTTTGCTAGAATTTTTAAATAGGATTTTTCTATTAGTCACACAAAAATATATATTACTAGCTGACCCGGCAAACTTCGTAGTGCCTCAATCGATAAATAAAAGACCTAAACTTTTGTATAAAATAAACTTGAAACAAACAAAAGGAATCCGTCCGACGGAGGACACATCAAAGGGAAAACAAAATTGTTATTTTTATTTCATTCCGAGCATTTTCATATTTATCTACCTTTTAAACCTTCTGTGGACTTCCACAATAAATTCAAGACCAAAATTAGCCAAATCGGTCCAGCCTTTCTCCAGTTTTAGCGAGACTAACGAACAGCAATTCATTTTTATATATATTATAGATTTTATTTTACTAGCTGTCACGTGCGGCTTCGCCCGCATGGTTAAAAATAATTATATTATCAGTGTAGTTTCCTGTAGGAACGAACTCTTTTTTTCGAGATAAATGGTAGCTTATGTCGCTTTTCTAATAAAATCGCTAACACTAAAAAAGTACGTCAATCTATTTCTGCCTTGGCAAGTGCCATTAAAAGTTCGCGCATTTAATCGGGATCGTAAAATGGTACAATACTTGTTAGTTTCATACTAAAAAAAACTAGTAAAAAAATAAAAACGTCGAGCAGCCTGATTTTTGCTAACCCATTTTACTTTTTTTTTTTTTTTGGAGTTTACTCCTTTAGAATCGATTTACATATATAGGCCCGGGGTATGAAAATTATGGGGACCAAAATCGTACTAGCATGTCACACGAAATGCGTTATGCGCCTGATTGGCTCCTGATTGCGTGATGCGTGCGCGCGCCAATCAAAATCGTACTAGCATGTCACACGAAATGCGTTATGCGCCTGATTGGCTCNTTTTTTTTTTTTTTTCCTACCTATGCTGATAGCCTTGAGAGGCTATTTCAGCTTCACCCTAACGTGTGTAGGTGAGCTCACGGGGCTCAAACCGGAGAGTTGCTAACACTGACCCTAGCAAGAGCAGTGCTTCGCAGAATCTACCACCGGATCGGAAACGCGACCCACTGAGAAGATCCGGCGAGAAACTCAGTGGGCTACCATTTTACTCAGCTCAACTGGAACACAAGGGAAAACGAAATATCACTTACCCGTCTCTCGCCAACCTTGATAACGACCTTGCTGTGTCGATCGTTTTTGTATTTTTCACGCTGAAAAAACAGATAATTTAAATTATATCTAATGCAGTGCTACAGATCATTAAGGGCATGTTACACTAAACTATTAAGTCATGTAAAAAAATGAACGTTAAGCTGCTTTCAGACTACGCTATACTATAGCGCCATATAGTATAGCAGCCTATACTTAGCCAATAATAATATAAAGTACAGTACCGTGTGAACGTGTCCATAGCAATGTATGGTGCTTTTTTTTTCTTCCTCCTACCTATGCTGATAATCTTGAGAGGCTATATCAGCTTCGCCCTAATGTGTAGGTGGGCTCACGGGGCTCAAACCGGAGTGTTGCTAACACTGGCCTTAGCAAGAACAGCGCTTCGCAGAATCTACAAGTGGATCGGAAACGCGACCCACTGAGAAGATCCGGCGAGAAACTCCGTGGGCTGTGTCTGTGGGTTAATTCGCTCGTCGAGCTCTTCGTCGCAAGAGACGGGTTCGACGGTAAGCGAAATGTCGTTTAAAACAAATAGTCGTACATCTCTCGATGTTATGTAAAATATATAAAAGATAAAATTTGGAATTTGGTGAAAATGTTCCGTAAGCCACAGACTAATGGCAGATCGCTGGTACAGGCTGTATCATTCAGTTGTAGGTATTGATAATTTTATGCGTCACCTGGATCTGAATTAATTTAGAGACGGCTATAAATTAATTTAGCGTTAGGAAACTTGGGCTGCGTTTCTCGATCTGCCGCTGAGCTTGGAAGGACACCTTAATTATAAACTTAGTGTCTATAGGTATCCCACTTTATTCGCCCTATTTACCGATGCTCGGGCGGATTGTAAGGTCCCACTGAGTTTCTCGCTGGCTCTTCTCAGTGGGGATTACGATTCGGTAGTAGATTCAGCGAATAACTGATCTTGTTAGGGCAGTTGTTAGCAGAGTCTCTCAGGCTGAGCCCCTTGAGCACATCCATCATACCCGTTATGATGGAGGCTATCGAGGTTACCGAGGATCATGGTAGGTAGAGAAAAAAGATTTGTAAGCCCACATGATTTCTACCAGCAATGATGAGTTTCTCTTCATTTGTATTGTGGAACATCGTTATTTAATTCAATTCTGACTTCGATCTCTTGTCTAAAGTTGGATTGCTGCATTTACAGAGTGATATCTATGTGATCCAGCCCACCGAGTTTCTCGCCGGATCTTCTCAGCGGGTCGAGATTCCGATCCATCGGTAAACTTTGGGAACCACTGCTCTTGCTAGGGCTAGCGTTAGCAAATTCGCTCAGGCTGAGCCCGTGAGCTCACCTACTCGTCCGGGCGTTACTAAAATAGCTTATTAGACCACCAACGAATAGGTATGGAAAAATAAATCTATGGGCTCCCATAACTAAGTAACACAAGGCGGGCCGTGAGCTCATCTACCTTATCCCACTAGGTGGGGTTGGCACAGCGAATTTTTCTATTCCGTTGTCTTCTATCAGCCGTCATTTCAACATTCACCCCCCTCTCTCTCATATCGTCATTCACACACTCCATCCATGTCTTCTTCGGTCGACCTCTTCCCCCTCTACCTTGCACTACCATTTCCATACATCTCCTCTCTAAGCATCACATGTCCATACCCACACACATCTAGTGCAATGATAAAATAAAATTATGCATATTTTCTTCTGGGTAAAGAGACAGACGTGACCATGGGGTGGAGCTAGTTAAAGATATCTCTGTTACCAGTTTAGTAGTCGATGCTATTTCCATGGAATCTCTGGCACCGAGGAGTGTCGCTCTTGCCGCATATTGTCCGGTGGCGTTCGAAGTTCTGTAAACGTTAAAGGCAATTCGTGACGCGTTTTTTGTATGTATCGTGCGTGTAAAAAGGCAGCTTTGAAAAGATAATACGCTTGGCTTTTTTTTAGGATTGAATTTTTACTGGTGGCCTGGAGGCCTTTCCTGTTTCACCTATCCTAGGTGGGCGAGTAAAGGCTCAGCCAAGAGGGGTGGGATTTGCTAACAGCTGCCCAAGCGTCTCCGAAGGAGACCTAACAACTCAAGAGCAACTGCTTCGCGAATGAATCTACTACCGGATCGGAATTGCGACCCACTGAGAAGATCCGGCAAGAAACTCAGCGGGCTGATGCATGGGTTAGGTTGCACGTCGAACTCTCTGTCGAGTTCGACGAGTACGGTTACCGGGGTCCCTAAGCCTGCTCCTAGTGTTATAGCTGAAGGCGTCTAAGGCAAAAGTTATTGGATCTGATGGATCCATCAGGACGTGTCTAGGGCGTCGACGGTGACTGGCTCCTGTGTGATCAGGATTCGGGGAGTAGTCAGCGGCGGCAACGATAAAGCGATTATCATGCCGCAACGATTGGTGTACTCGATGTTCGAGTCCCGTCTCTAGTAGAGAGTTACCATTGTTTTAATGAAATACGTATATTAATACATGTCCACGAATGACATAGTGTAAGTAAATGAATTTCGTAAAAAAATATTATTGATTTGTTTCTGTATTAAAGCAGTAATATAATAACCCTTCAGAACCGTCGATAGGTCGACTCTCTATTAATGTATACAAAGCGCGAAGTGTCGGAATACCGACTATTTGCGCAGTCTTACTATAATTGTTATTATTGTATCCAATGTACGAATGTGTATTGGCGTGCGCATTCAAAAAGTTTTTAATTCATAAATAACAATTTAAAATTATTTTGCTGTGAATTTAACATTGATTTTTGAAAAAAATTTTTAAGTTAAATTTTTTTTACACGTTGCTTTTTCTCAAAAATCCTTTAGCAATTTCGTCCAAAGTTCAAAACTTTTTAGAGCTTACGCGGAAATTGTCGGTTCGCTGTTCGGAGCATCAGAAACAGTAACTTAGTAATAGTAGACTTAAAAATTATAAGCTATTGTTTTAATACAATAAGTTTAGCGAAAGCTTTATCGAGTTTTTTTTTTATTTTGTCGCATAATGCACCCGTTTTCAGGTAAGCGATCCCGAAGTGACTACAAGGTCGTCACAAACGGATAGTAGGTAATATTAATTTGTTAACAATTTTTTTTAAACGGCAACCCAGTTTAATTGTGTTCTAGATTACTAACGGTACCTAAACGAATAAGGAATTGCTTTGAGATTTTTTTATTGCCCTTGTAGGCAGACGAGCATACGGCCCACCTGATGGTAAGTGGCTACCGTCGCCCATGGACGTCAGTAATTCCAGAGGCAGAGCCGCTGCCTACCGTTAAGTACTCTCCACAAGGCTCGTTTGAAGAAGGACATGTCATAGCGCTCGGGAAACATCGTGGAGGGGAGCTCATTCCAAAGCCGGATGGTGCGTGGCAAAAAAGATCTCTGGAAACGCACTGTGGATTAACGCAGTGGCTCAAGGTAGATTCAGATTATAACATGATGTCCTTTTTGCCATCGCACCGCCCACCACCGGAGTAGAGTTCATCCATAGTACCTGGGTCGCGTTTCCGATCCGGCGGTAGATTCTGCGAAGCACTGCTCTTGCTAGACCCAGTGTTAGCAACACTCCGGCTTGAGCACCGTGAGCTCACCTACACGTTAGGGTGAAGCTGAAATAGCCTCTCAAGGATATCAGCATAGGTAGGGAAAAAAAGCTCTTGTTATTAAAGTCAATGTTACTTCATCTACCGATCCACACGTAATTGGTATAGCCTCTTAGGCGATTGCCAACGATAGGAAACTTTACGTACTAAATAGGTCATTAAAAAAAAAACCAGTCAGACAATTTACATTACCTGATTCCTGAATTATCTGAGCATCTATGTGTTTTGGGTTAAAGTATACAACTAATAGATTGGTACTAACATAAGTTTGAGTATCGAGCCCATGTCGCCTCTGACGTCAATACTCTGTGTCGTTGCCCGATGACTCATTAATGACTGCGAATAAAGACGATTTTATTATTTCATTCCAGAAGGTGCCATTGGAAAATGGGTGTTTTGTGATACTAGGATCGTACATTGATAATTATAGTCTAATAGTCGGTATAGAAGCCAAGCCACTTCAAGCTTCTACTGTTAAAACTGAGACCTTAAAACTCATGTCTCAAGTTGGTTTTTACGTTTTAGATGTCTATGGGTTCCAGTAGCCACTTAACACCAGGCGGGCTGTGAGCTTGTCCACCCATCTAAGAAATAATTAAAAAAAAAAAAAAAACGTCTAAATGTTCGCGGTCCAAATCGCGTAACGTGTTAGGTACGAAAACCAGTACCCGCCGAAGGAATTTGAACTTTGACGAGATTTCGGGCATATTATCCACAAAACCATAATGAGATTTATGTAATTAATTATATATATATTTTTAAACTAAGACATTTGTAAAGTCTAGAAAATGTATGTATCAAAAATATGTAAATCACTCACCATCCTAGATGAGGGGTAGTCTTGAGTTTGTATTCCCTGACATTCCCATCTCTTACTAGTCGAGACGTTTCGAGAATATTCGTCTTTTATCTTATTCAAGTTCGGACAGTTGGATTGCAGTAGCATTTCATTGAAAACTATAATAATTACGAATATACATATATAGTATCTCTTTTATTATGTACTTTTCATCATTCGTCATGTGTGATCAAGATCTGGGATTTGAAATCTGACATAGTCGCACTCCTCGATATCCGTACCTATGCCGGTCGTTTTACCCCAAGGCATCCTTTAGGAGTCCACAGATATCATAACAGGAATGCGTTAGCCGTGAAACATGAAGTCAACATTTTTTCCATGTACCTATTCGCTGGTGGCCTGGTGAGCCACGGACTCAACCTGAGAGAATTGCTAACACCGATCCTAGTAAGAGCAGCTTCGCTGAATCTACCACCGGATCGGAATCGCGACCCACTGAGAATATCCGTCCAAAAAGCAAAAGCAAAAGCAAAAGTTATTAAGTGTAGGTGTTTCTACTATATTTATGTATATTAGTTCATATTATTTATTAATTTACTTTGCACACCTACTCAATATTTAATATTATATCATATTTAATTACGTATTCTATAACACACTCTCATACAGTACACAAATACGCTAAACAATCATACATTCACAACACTACTCAAAATTATATTATTTACACAAGCATAGTCGGGCGCAACCGCTAGTATGCGGCAAAGACCCCGACTATGTATAACTGCGTACGTACTGGTCGTCGCCTGCGACACGACTCGGCCGCCGCTCGCGGCCAGTCGGGTTTGATCAACGCTACGCTAAGACTGTGTCACTCCTCGACTTACGCGTACTCTGTTGCTTTGTTACGATTTATTGCTTTCGTCTATTTTGTATTCTTGTGTTTGAACTTACTACCGCTTTATCTGTGCCTTCTGTACTCCGTAATTTCTCCTTCTAAATATTGTTATACGGTCTATGATTGGAAATAAACTGTCCATCCAATTACGGACTCGTTATTGTGCCGCCCGGCACTGGTGACCTTACAACCACGACAACCAAACTGGTAACATCTACTAAAGTAAGCAGCGGCTTGGCTCTGCCCCTGGCATTCCTGAAGTCCATGGGTGACGGTAACCATCAGGTGGGCCGTATGCTCGTCTGCCTACAAGGACAATAAAAAAAAAAACTATGTGGGTAGTGAGGTTCACTCACACCTCGAAAGAATCACAATATTGGTAACACACAGAATAGTTAGGTATTTCTATTAGAAAACATTTGAAATTAGTATACCCTACGACATAATGCCATTCGAATATTAACCGTATTCTCTCCATCTCTTCGGTGCAGTTTTGGCTGCTTTAATATTCTTGAGGACTTCTCTGCGCTGCGGAGGTCGGAAATCGGCCATATCGCCGAACATTACGAACGGAACCTCATCGCCATCCAGACGCTCCCACCATGGCTTCTCTTCTTCTTTAACTAATAATTAATGCGTGTTTTAATGAAATTCTTTACATTTACAATCTATACTAATATTATAGAAGTGCTGTATAGAATAGCTGAAGAGTTTGTTTGTTTGAACGCGCTAATCTCAAGAACTACTGGTCCGATTTGAAATTCTTTCAGTGAAATAATGTTTCAAAATCGGGGTTATTTTTACATTTTGAGAGCTTCCGCTGCGTGCGCTGCAGACACTATTAAGGTTTCGCTAAAATAATGTATAACAGAATTGTTCCCCTTTAAAAAATCTAAAAAAAGTCCGCGACACCATATGTCTATATGTTAAGTTTGGCTCACTATAACGTTTTTTATGCTAACCAAATCTGTTCTAGAATATAGCATTATTAGTGAACGCGGATGAAGTCGCGGGCAAAATCTAGTGTAGAATATGACTAATAGTGATGTAACATATACCTACAATAGACCGTTTTGTTACTAATAGGTTATATTTCTGATAGGCAATTTCGAAAACGATAATTCACCATGAATGTATAATAATAGGTATATAATGATGCTTAATAGCTTCTTTTGTTGCATTAATGGGAGAATGAGTAAACGGCCCATCTGATTTTATGTTACTGGAATCTATAGACTCGAATGCGCCCTCTCTTCAAATCGGAACATATAATATGATTGCATCGCGCTACAAAGGGACTGGATTGCATTAGCCATCCGCACGAACATACAACACGCCTTGACACTCTTAATTAGGATAATTGATAAGTTATGTTGTTTTTACCTTTGATACACAACATAATATTTTAATAATTAACTTGAGATTTTTTTATTTTTTTTTATTGCTTAGATGGGTGGACGAGCTCACAGCCCACCTGGTGTTAAGTGGTTACTGGAGCCCATAGACATCCACAACGTAAATGCGCCACCCACCCCGAGATATAAGTTCTAAGGTCTCAGTATAGTTACAACGGCTATCCCACCTTTCAAACCGAAACGCATTACTGCTTCACGGCAGAAATAGGCAGGGCGGTGGTACCCACCCGCGCGGACTCACAAGAGGTCCTACCATCAGTAATTACGCAAATTATAATTTTGCGGGTTTCATTTTTATTACACGATGGTAGTCCTTCACCGTGGTAGTCAATCGTGAACATTTGTTGAGTACGTATTTCATTAGAAAAATTGGTACCCGCCTGAGATTCGAACACCGGTGCATCGCTCAACACGAATGCATCGGACGTCTTATCCGTTAGGCCACGACGACTTGAGCAAAGACATAAACATAGATAGTCGTAGTCATATACAAGCATAGATAATTGTGTAAATTTATTGAGAAAAATTCGTAAAATGGACTTAAGCTTTGATTAGCCAATTAAATTTATCTCTGCATCTGCATGGTAGTTTGTTACTAGATAGCTATGTTATTTATTTCAATTGCATTCACCATATATTTTTTGTACTCTTTTTTGAAATCATACTCGCCTTGTGACTTTAAACAAGGATTGAAGATTTCTTTTTTTAGGTACCTAATCATATAAATTATGTTATAGAACTTCAGAGTTATGATCTAGTTGCATTATCCTAGCATCCAGCTATTTGGAAGCTGAGTTTGTGTATAACTAACAGATATAAATTTTAATATTAAGTCATACACATTTCTGAGTTTGATAACAATGCCATCTATTGAATAAAATGCGAATCAAAGTTTGACAGCAAACGTCGCTAAGTCTGATTCGCGCCGTGCGATCCGAATATTATTATACAAAAATGATTAACTCATAGTAAAAGCAGGTTTGTTACCTACCCTTTTCCTCAAAAACCTCCTCCACGACTTCATCATCTTCACAAGGATCATTCGTAGAGTCCATTAAAGGTGTTTCAGTTTTCAATAGTTTCGGAATGTCGAAAAAATATTGATTTGTCTCAGGCGTACCACCGGAAAAGTTGTAAATGAACGATTGGAACTAAAATAGGTACATTAAAATTGAAATAATAACATTCTGGAACTTACCTACTCTGCACTATCTTACTTATCGTACCAAAAGATTTGAGCAAGTCTTTTTTTTATTGCCCTTGTAGGCCGACGAGCATACGGCCCACCTGATGGTGAGTGGTTACCGTCGCCCATGGACTTCAGCAATGCCAGGGGCAGAGCCAAGCCGCTGCCTACCGTTTAATACTCTCCACAAGCCTCGTTTGAAGAAGGATATGTCATAGCGCTCGGGAAACACCATGGAGGGGAGCTCATTCCATAGCCGGATGGTACGTGGCAAAAAAACCTCTGGAAACGCACTGTGGATGACCGCAGTGGCTCCAGGTAGTATGGATGAACTCTACTCCGGTGGCGGGCAGTGCGATGGTAAAAACGAGAGGTATATTTTGTCCTACACTTGAACCCTGTTTTTCCCTAATTATTTTAGTAACCTCGAGGGGCTATACTATTATATAGTATATAATGTAGATTCGCAGAACGAGTAAGTGAGCTCAAGGGGCTCTAACCTGAGGACGTTGCTAACACTAGCCCTAGCAAGAGCAGTGCTTTCCAGAATTTACCGCCGGATCGGAAACGCGACCCACTGAGAAGATCCGGCGAGAAACTCAGTGGGTTGTGTCTGTGGGTTAATTTACTCGCCGAGCCCTTCGTCGGTAACGACGGGTTCGACGAGAACGATGACCGGTGCTTTAGGTACCTAAAAGTACCGTTAGTGGATCGGGAGGATGCGAAAATGACATGTTTAGGGCGACGTCGACTGTTTACCATTCGGTTCGCAGGATTAGGAATGTGTTGAAGATCGTCTATATGTATACACATTAGTACCTATTTAATAAATTTAAATGTGCATGTATTTTTTTTTTATTGCTTACATGGGTGGACGAGCTGACAGCCCACCTGGTGTTAAGTGGTTACTAGAGCCAATAGACATCTACAACGTAAATGCGCCACCCACCTTGAGATATAGCTTCTAAGGTCTCAGTATAGTTACAACGGCTGCCCCACCCTTCAAACCGAAACGCATTACTGCTTCACGGCAGAAATAGGCAGGGTGGTGGTAGTACCTATCCGCGCGGACTCACAAGAGGTCCTACCACAATTAAAAATTGTTTGGAATGTGAATAAAGCGTTTAGCCTCATACTTCATCTCCTTAGTCGAAGATAAACAGAATTGTATTGTCACTAGAAGTCCACAAATTCAGTTTATTCTTAGCTTTTCCGTTATAAAATAAATCGAGAATGCGAAATAAAAGTTCAACAATAGATAAAGCTACAAGTTGCACATTATACATAAATAGATAAATAAATACGAAAGCATAAACTTTAAAGATTTTTAAATAAAATACTATATCGTTGTGTAAAGTAATAGAACCTCTTTCATGATGACATTCATTTTTACTCGCCATTCATTATCCACCTGGGCGGCGGTTTTATAACCTTTGGACAGATTAAGTATCAACTTTTGGGCGTCCATTAGTATATCTTGTAACGTATTAATATAGGATGTGTAATCTGAAATAGAAGGATTTTCTAATAATTCGTTTTTGTGCACTTCTTTTTTTTTTTATTATTTACACAGGCAATTTTATTTTGCGACCATTTTCCACCACTTATGTTTTCCAACTAATGAAAATGCATGCTAAAGTAACAAAGTGTAGGAGTCTTCATATTTGACAGGGTTACCGTGCTAATGCATATTTCGAGGTTGATTTTAATGATTAATTTAAAATATAGTTCACACCTGTCTTGCTATTCAAACTTTAACTCATGATTGCTCCACGAAAGAAACAGGAGGAGGACTGTACTAGAAATTAAATACTATAAATGAGTCGTCTATTATCAAAGGTGGCAATCTGTGCATTTGGACAAAAATTTTTTATTGATATGTCAATACAGATTGATTTGAATATAATCGTCTCCTTCAAAGAATACGGTTCAAAACCTGCATTAAATAAAGGTTAATACTTAACCTGTTATTAATCTAAGATGTCGTTCAGAAGAGTTTTGTGACTGCCAATGGAATACAAAGTCAATAATTCGTTTTTCTGATTTTCCAATAATTATCCAAAAGTCACATTGCCGGCTTTGATAATAGTCGACTCAAATACTATAATAAAGAATTATATTAGCTAAGTCAGTGGGCAGAGCTTGTCTGTGTAACAAGAGCAGTAAAACATATTATCATTTTATTTTAGCTGGGTAAATTCCTCCTCAAGCACCTTGAATAAAGTATATGTAAATAAGTATAATAAGTAATCTAATAAGTTTATGTACATCAATCAAATCTTTTTTTTTTGACTAAGTATAGCGATCTAATAATCACATCAATTAGTAGCAGCGTCCTAATGGATACTCATGGGACACTTTCGAATTGTTTTTTGACGTGACAACGTCTTATAATTCGATGTAGTCGGCTGCACGCACGAAAAAACACGACTCATGCGGCGTTACCTCGCTCTGAGGCGTATTTTCTTATGACGTTGTCACGTCCAACTATCGTCAGTAAACCGACTTTACAGACAACCGATTTTTTTTTATGAATCAAATATACCTTCAACCAGTTTTAATTTTTCCAATTTACATTTCCTTCTCTCCGAACATAAAACGTACATTAGGCCAGCTAAATTTTTACATTCTAATTGAGTTTGGAGGGCAAATATTTTTTCTTCTCTTTCTCTGTGCGCTTCGCAAAGCATAAAGGCAGCTCGTATCTGCTCATTTCTACAAGTAAAAACCTTGTTATTAGGCAAATTAACTAATGGCCGTATTTGTTTAAAATTATATTCATTTAGAAATAAATTCTTATCGCTTAATCTCTTTAGGTTTCATTAGCCATTAGTTTTAATTTTTTTATTTTCCCACATTACCGTGAAATCATCGCAATCATCATTAACAGCCATTATATTTCACAAACATGGATAATTGAACTGTTTTCTAAGAAGTGCCCTCAAAATCAAAAAAACAGTCGTATGTTCTAGAATATTTTGTTTTTTCTTCAATCAACAGTTACGCTTCAGCTCGTCATTTTAATCCTTCGACAGTATTAAAAAAAGCAAAACCCACCCCTACTGGCTGAGCCCTTGCTCGCCCACCTGTCCTGGTGGTGGGCCTGGAAAGACCTCAGGGCCACCAGCAATACTTCAAACATAAAAAAAAGACGTAAGCGACAAGGTTATATGATATTCAACATAATTTTTCAGTGAAAGTAAGATAGGTAGGTACTTAGACGTCTTCATATCATACACGGATCATATTCTACACGGAGATTTTCGGCAAGCGAGTATGCTAGGCTCTTAAATGAGTGTAATTTACAACTTTTGGAATTCTAAACTCATTAGGTACATATTTCCGAGTTTATTATTTTATTTAAAAAAAAGTATGTTCAACGCGGCTGGCATGGGCCAGAAGTATTTTATGTTAAAGTAGATTCCAAAGACTCATACTGCAATACAAAGTCAAATCTATCCTTTAAGTAATTGATTTCTTTTTCCATTTCCTTCTCGAAGTCTTTACGCATTTGCGCTTCCCTTTCTTTTATTAAACGTTCAAAGCTGTTTAAATTTTTAACATCCTTTTCTGCTTTGCAAGGACATTCTTCGCAAGTATCCTGTTCTTTGGTTTCTTTAGGAGCCGTGTGCTTTACTGAGTCTTCTATTGCAACGGACGAGCCTTGAGAATGTTGTTCGTTCATTATTTCGAGTACATCTATTTGGTGATTGTGACACGATTGACTTAACATCTGAAAGCAAAAACACATATGCTTCAATTGGTTGTCCTTTAATTTAATTTATTGTAACATAAAAATCATATTCCTTTTTGTTTTCATTTATTAAACTGGATATTTTGAGGTGAATTCATTTTAAGTTGCATTTAAAAATAAAAAAGGTGAAAATAAGAGTTTTACAGCCAAAAAATATAATCACCACGAGGTTCGAATCGTTTCTTTGTATACTTTTTGCTTCCTAAGTATTTTTTATAAATATTCTGTTGTAGTGAAAACAATAAGACTTTCAAAGAATCTGCGTCGAAGTTTAAATTGTTTTAATTACAATAACTACTCAGGTAGTTGGGGTTGGGACGGATTGGTATCTATTATGTGCTTGTGCGGAGGAGTGGGGGTAGCACGGCGTAATTTTTTTTAGCATTGTTTACTCCTTATTGCAGTCTTCAGTCTGCTTCAGTTCGTTCTAGGTATCAGAAGTCTGAACGCGTTAATTTACTGCTCTAAAATTGTATGGCAGTATAGTGATGGGTGCGACTTCATCGTCCCACCGGAGATACGGTGTTCTTTTATTAGTCAGCAATACCTTTATGTCAGTTTGACACTTTAGATTTTGAACAGTAGCAACACAAAGATTTTGCTGTCGTGAAGTTCGCATGTGATGTTTTGTGAAAAGTGTTGATTTTTACGAATATACTTGTATAATTTTAGTGTGCTGTGTTTTAAAAGTGTTTATAAACATATAAGTGTGAATTCTGTGTTCTGTTTAGTGTGTTATCGGCTTGTGATTGCCGAAAAAATAGTTACATGGATAAAGCAGTCAGTCGAGGTTGTAAGGTTAGTGCTTTTTTCGTCTGTTGTTTGTCTTAAAATAGATTTCTGCGCGGGTCGCAATGATGTTTCAATTTTGTTTGTGTAACTGCTTCATGTGACTTTTCAGTTTTTTCATTAGACCTTGAACTACAAAACTATCGGGCAGGCTAAATCAAGGTTAGGTTTGCGCGGGTGATTATGTCGTGCTAGTATTGTTTGTTTTTTGTTTAATAGCTTAAAAACACTCTTAAAACTTTTGAAATATCTTAGATCACTGTTTATATAACTTTCGTAATATCAAAACAATATTACGACGCTGAAAATCATTGTATGAGAACCTAACCTAAAAGTTAGTTGTTAATCGGTGCATTTTTTGCAAGCTATTCGGATTCGACGGGCGGACCGTTACTTTGTCTCAGAGCGCTCCACATCGTGGTTGTTCAGGTGTTTTTAACCCTGCCCGTGTCCGATACGCGCGATTTACTCGCTAATCACGTGATTCGCTTACTTTCACACATGGTTATGACAGATTATTTTGGTCCTTATCGCGTTCGGTGACATGTCATCGGATTAGGAGCGGAGTCGGTGATAACGCGAATCTTGATTATACTTGGGCTTAGTGTGGGGATGTGATGTGTGTTTACATTAAATTGTAAACAATGTCCATCCAATAGATTGTTAACAGTTTTGAGTGTAAAAATGAGCTGCACTTGTAATCGTTCTACAATATTGGTCTAACCAGAAATTGTAAATTCACATGGTCTATTTTGAATACAAAAACAATAGTCTTCTATGTAATATCTATATATTAAATAAATCTGTATGAAATGTCTTGCCTGTCATGCCTTAGACTCGATTCTAAGTTTTCTGCTGAATATCTGCTATCTCATAAAAAATCACAACAGTAAATAAATAGTTCAATAAATGCAGCCCCAAAACCGGCTGGTAGTAAAACAGGCCAAATCCATTGGCAGTGTGATAAGAGAAAATGCTGTGCCGACCCCATGAAATGAGGGATAAGGGCAAGAAGAAGAAAGGCAGCCTCAAATCTATATCTAAGTATTTCTAAAATTTGCAGTAAACTAAGTTGCTTCAACGGAAACTCATCAACTGATCCATAGACATTAAATTTTCTGTTTGTGTTTTAATTAACTAGTAATTTGTTCTCCTCTTTCTTTGAACTTACAGATAATAACTTTGAATGTAGTCAATACCGTCTTTACCATAAGGGCACACTGGGCCCGTGCCCAGGGCCCCCATTCTCAGGGGGCCCCGAAAGACCGACAACTTCTCTCACACGTTTATTCTCAAAACATTTTTGTCGGGCACATTACACTTTTTTCACAAATCAGTAATCAGAAGGTATTTACAAGACATATACTATGCCTATAATAGAAGATTTTGCTCAACAGACATCCCGAAAGAAACCGTTATCGAAATCGTAACCAAAAAACCAGCAACATTCTAATATCATTAATGACATATTATATCATACTGTATTTGATTACCTATAATAAATGGTCTCATACTCAGTAAAAAAATGTTATTATAATCCGCTTTTTTTACTTTCCTAAAGGGCCTCAAATTCTTGTGTGCCCAAGGGCCCCATCCTAGTTTAAGACGTCCCTGAATGTAGTGTTATAGTAGAATTATGCATACAAACCCAAGCATCTAGTTACAGTTATTTATCAATATGTTTGATAAGATAAATTGATAGATTGCTTCTGAACTTGATACTTTTATTTAATCATTGCATGCCTCTTTTTCGAGCAGTTCAAATAAATTTTGAATACAATAATTTTGGGAGTAATATAATATGAATAACAAAATATCATGTTTCAAAATGATTTAATTTTTTAAGCTAAGCAAAAGTTAAAATATAGAAGTCGAGGTTGAATACTTTTTACTGAGCAATGTATTTTCTTTTTGAAGATGTACCCTTATTATTTATTGTTAATCTTCCATTTACATCTTAAATCCTTATCATTATTTTTAATTTGTCTTAACTATATCTAATATTAACTGAATTAATATAAAATTATATCACTAGTACTAATATTATATATGCAGAAAATTAATTTCCGTGCCTTGTATAATATTAGACCTTTAATGAATTGAAATTAGAAATGGACATGATACTTAATGATGAAAAAAATTAACAATATGAACAATGTGCTATGTATTTTTCAATAAATGTTTATAGCTTAATATGTCGTTCTCAGCACAGGCATACATATGGCATTGATTTTTATAAGCAAATAAATAAGTACTAATAATAAATAAATACTTGTATGTAATTTAAATGGTTTAAAGTTTTTAGTAATATAAAAGGTTACACAATTTTATATTAACTTATTGTTTTTATCTTTATTAACCTACTATATATTTGTTCAGTTTTAATAAAAAGTATCAGTGATTAGAAAAAAACAGTGGAAGAGGTTAATAACAACAGAATAAGTTTCAATTCTTTAAAATGTCATTATTTAAAGATGAATGAAAACTATATACCTAGGTATTATAATAAGTGGATCACTAGAAACGGGCTTCTTCCTTTTGAAAAAACGAATTGACTATCTCTATTAAAATGTTATTCACAAAACCAGACATGAATATTATTTACCTTTTCTAATTTCTTGAGGTATTTTTTTGTACTCTTAAATTTTTATTTTTTGCTTTCATTTACATCACTGATGACTGACAAAGCTGACAAGAATGTCAAAAAAGATCTTTTTTTTAAAGTATGAGTATTTATCAAAATATTATGGCTTTGGCTCTGAAATATCAAATAAATAATAGTTTTAAAAAAAACTAACAAAATACACTTTTATAGATAATCCAATAAAAAAAATAGAAAATAAATCTTAATAAATTTAAATTAAAAATAGTGTAAGAAAAAATGAATTTATTGTAAAAAAAGCAGTGGGGTGCCTTTCAGGATTTTATCAAAATAACCCTTCTGCTCATATCTGTTCATAAAATATTTATAACTACTGATAGCATGCACCCCACCCTTTTTTAACAATAAAAACATTTTTCATACACTAACTATTTTTAATTCACATTTATTAAAATTTATTTTCTATTTTGTAGTTGGATTTTCTATAAAAACGTATTTTGTTAGTTTTTTTAAACTATTATTTATTTTTCATTTTTAGTTGAATTTCAATTTTTTTCAATATTTTTTCTTTAATTTTTGTTTTAAATATTAAATTGTCATCGGTCCTTAATAAGTATACCAAATTTCGAGTTAATCCGACGTTTTGAAGGGGGTCAAAATCATGTTCAAAGACTCCGTTACAAACATACATATTAACTCTGAAGCTAATAAAAGCGTACTAAAAGAAGTCTGCTCCTATTGGTCATATTTAGTAATAAAGTAGTTTCAATAACAATCTGTTAATAGAAAATTGTTTCAACTGTTGTTTCTTCATGGGAAATTATACTTTCATTTAATATCAGCTATTAATTGAAGTGATCAACAATAATGTGAAGCTTCAATGTCCAAAGTCTATATTTAAAAGCTTTAGTCAGCACTTCCAGATGTAATCGAAAACCTTATAGGACTCAAACATGTCATTCATTTTAGCTTTGAGTTATTTTTCATTATGTTATTATCATTTAAGATGCTATTGAACAAATTGTCTAATTGTACATATTAAACATGCTAGGTTTAATACAAAGGTTGAATCCACTCTGAGGTCGTTTTCGGTTTTGTGACGTCGAACCCGTCGTTTGCGACGAAGGGCTCGGCGAGTAACTTAACCCACAGACACAGCCCACTGAGTTTCTCGGCGGGTCAGTAAGTCGCGTTTCCGATCCGTCGGTAGTTTCTGCGAAGCACTCCTCTTGCTAGGGTTAATGTTAGCAACGTCGCCAGGTTTGCGATAGGCAGCGGCTTGGCTCTGCCCCTGGTATTGCTGAAGTCCATGGGCTACGGTAACCACTCACTATCGTATGCTCGTCTGCCTACAAGGGCAATAAAAAAAAAAAAGGTTTGAGCCCCGGAGGCTCACATACTTGTTAAGGTTACGCTAAAATGTCCTCTCAAGGCCGTCAGCATAGGTAAGAATAAAAAAAAAACAAATATAAACATATTCCTATGAGTCCAGTGTGGTTAGCGTAGATTAAGTTGTATATCTATTAGTTACAGTAATTATGAAACAATCAGATGGCCCAGGTTTCCCATTGAGACAAAAAAAAGTAAACTGTGGATATATTTAATTTATTTTAACTAATCAGTAATAGTCTCTGTAATACATTTAAGTATATCATTCTGATATCAACCAGTGAAATTTAATATCAATATGGATTTCTTCATTCAGTATCCAGTAATCCAATAATGTAAACACATGATTTTTCTAACATTTGCGTCACTCAACATATTAGTTTACTTCAAAACATGGTTGTTATTTAATACCTATGAAATTTTAATACACAATCAAACATTTTGTTTACCAAATGAATTTTATCTTTACATTGAATTAAATTTCAAATTACACGGAAATCTGAAATGATCTTTGTTCGTAAAATTCTTTAATTTTCTTGTAATTATGTATTTCTTTTTCTTTTTTCTATGTAATTATTCGATTCTTGTTATAATTTTTATTTTCGTTTTAGTATCATGCAAGATTATAGTGTAATAATAATTAAAGTATTTTCATTGATGATAATGATGATGATGATTATTAAAAAAAAGTATTTATATTATTTCTGTGATTATTAAAATCTAACGAAATAATACTCTCATTTATTGTTTTTAATTGTTGCGGGAGCCGCTCATCAGATATAAATTCAGATAAATTTCTGAAAAAAAATTATTTTTCGGTTTTTTTTGACGTGCTCATTTTTTTAGTTCTTGTTTTCATAACCTTACCCGGTCATCATCCTCGTCGAACTCCTCGACTGCAACGAATGGTTCGACTTCCGAACTAGCCCAGATACACAACCCACTGATTTTCTTGCCGGACTTTCTCAGTGGGTCGCGATTCCGATCCGGTAGCAGATTTACCTTTTTTTTCCTACCTACGCTGATAGCCTTGAGAGGCTATTTCAGCGTAACCTTAACTAGTAGATGAGCTCCCGGGGCTCAAATCGGAGTGATGCTAACACTGGCCCTAGCAAGAAAAGTGCTTCGCAGAATCTACCACCGGATCGGAAACGCGACCCACTGAGAAGATCGGGCGAGAAACCCAGCTCTGCTCTTGCTAGGGCTAGTGTTGGCAATTCTCTCAGGTAGATTCTGCGAAGCACGGTTCTTGCTAGGATTCGTGTTAGCAACGTCGTCAGGTTTGAGTCCCGTGAGCTCACCTACTAGTTAAGGTTACGCTGAAATAGCCTCTAAAGGCTCTCAGCTTAGGTAGGGAAAAAAAGGGCGAGATTGTCCCGCTCTCAGGCTGTCCGTCCCGCTGTCCGAAACGAGAACAAAAATGTCCCGCTTTCATTTATCTGTTGTGCATGTGTTTATTGGAAACTTACCGAATACTTATTTATCCCAAATCCTTATTGTATTGCAAAATACATACTAAAGTAACTCTAACTTTGCTGTAGAAAGGTAGCTTTTTTGCGAAATGATTTATAAATATTATTTTAAAGGCAAGTTGATTAAGATGTCAGTGAGGCTAAGATACCATAATAAATTATTTCAAATGATTTTTAATTGTCCACTTAAATATTACAGCTTACCCCGACATACCCTATATATATGTATTTATTTATATACCAAAATTCCGTAGCCGTCTCGCTTAACACGAAAATAAAAATGGTCACGTTATGTATATTATGACGTGTTGGTTTAGTTATCAGAGAAACTAAATAATGTTACATCATAATTATCCCAAAAACAATGTACATATAATGAGCAGTTGTTTTGTATTTATTTTACTGAATGTCTAGTTTGTGTTCTTGGACGTTTAAAGGTCATTTATTTTCTATTCATTTTGGAAATAGTATAAATTGTAAATAACTAGAATGTTATTTTTTTGCCAGTAAATTCTTGACCCGATAGACATTTTTAAATGTTAATAAATAAATTGAAGAGTTATTAGTAGATTATGCCTTTGCCTCTGAAATTGAAGCAAACATTTGGATTTTACTATATAGTTAGTACCATAATCTCTATTTCAGCTGCAAAGCGTTCATTTTCAATCTATATGCGATGACATTAAGGTTTAAAATCGCGTGCTTCGTTTATACATATAAAATGAACAGGAATCAGAGGCTATAGCCTCCACACATATTGAAGGGATACAAAAAAATACCATTCTCAGAAGTACGACAATCGTATAGTAACGATAGTTGCCCCTTTGAGCCACAAAAGTAAATGTTTTGCTCGAAATATTAACACGGAAATTACGGTAGGCAGCGGCTTGGTTCGGTCCCTGGCATTGGCTTAAAGTCCATGGGCGACGGTAACCACGTAACCTTAACTAGTAGGTGAGCTCCCGGGGCTCAAATCGGAGTGATGCTAACATTGGCCCTAGCAAGAGCCGTGCTTCGCAGAATCTACCACCGGATCGGAAACGCGACCCACTGAGAAGATCGGGCGAGAAACTCGGCACTGCTCTTGCTAGGGCTAGTGTTGGCAATTCTCTCAGGTAGATTCTGCGAAACACGGCTCTTGCTAGGGTTCGTGTTAGCAACGTGGTCAGGTTTGAGTCTCGTGAGCTCACTTACTAGTTAAGGTTACGCTGAAATAGCCTCTCAGCTTAGGTAGGAAAAAAAATCTCTCAGGTTGAGCCCGTGAGCTCACCTACCGGTCCGTGTGAAGTTGGAATAGCCCCTTAGCCTACCAACGATTAGGTAGGCGACGGTAACCACTCACCATCAGGTGGGCCGTACTATCGTCTGCCTAAAAGGGCAATAAAAAAAAAATTACAAAAAATTTAATGCCACATACATTTTTAAAATACTTAATATATCGTTTTCGTGCTGCACTTTTCCTTTTATATTTTCTTTACGAACTATTAAGAATGTTGTTTTTATGGCAACGGATAGATTAAAAATCTTAGGCCTCACAGTTTGACTAGTACTTGAGACCTTAGAACTTATATCTCAAGGTGGGTGGCGCATTTACGGTGTAGATGTCTATGGGCTCCAGTAACCACTTAACACCAGGTGGGCTGTGAGCTCGTCCATCCATCTAAGCAATAAAAAAAAAAAACCTCTTTTTTCGGTGCAAGACTACTACGACTGTTATAATATTGATTTTGAAGGGGATGCATAAAGTTAACACTAATTTACTATGGACTCAACACCTGTAGTCCTCAAGACCTGTCGTGGCATTATTAGTTGTCGTCAGTGAGCATATGCTGTATTAGACTTATAAGCAGAGTGGGGGTATATCTGAAGCTCATATGAGCTCAAGGCACCTCAGCACCCTAATGCTGGTTCGTTTTCTCCACCTTATCCCATCCCTAGGTGGTGTCGGCACAGCAAATTTTTCTCTTCCATTCTTTTCTATCAGCCGTCATCCAACACTCACTCTTCTCTCTCTAATATTCACACATTCCATCTATGTCTTCTTCGGTCGACCTCTTCCCCCTCTATCTTGCACTACCGTTTCCATACAGCTCCTAGTCACATGCACCCGTAATAATGCAAATTAGCAAAGTCTGTATGTTAGATTTTATCATACCACTATATTTGTCTTTTACGTTTGTGTATATCGAAAAAAAAAATGTATATACATGTATTACCATTTCGCAAAATAGGGTGATCCGAAAGTAATGATAAAATATCTCGTTCCAGATATGGAGTCCCACATACTGAACACATATCACCAGGCACGGTACCGGACGATCGGTCACAAGGTGATGAGAGCGAAGAGCGATTCCCTTTCTTCATCGGAGGGCAGCTATAATCACAACAGCCCGGACTATTCTCGTATCGCGGCCCAGCATGGCGGTTACGCGGATAGAACGCGCTCCGACGACAGCAACGTTGACGACTGGTGCCAGAATCAGGTGGTAGGTAGCTTAATCCTTAACCTGGTTTATCGAAAGACTAATAATTCAGTAAACTTGCAGGGCTGTGTATTGAGGAACGTGAGGTAAATTTCGAGCTGATGTGTCTTCTATTTCTGAAATCAAAAATGTACTTGAACAATGAAAAGAAGGCGGCTGCGATTCATGAAAGGATTTATTTTTCAGATAAACACAACACAAACAAGCCACGACACAACATCTGATGAAGAAAGCTCTCACGATGAAGACCTTGATGATGAAGACAACATTGTCGTGCAGGAAATCAACGTGGAAGACGTTGACGTGGACGACGACGACGAAGATGATGAGGAGGCGATAGCTCCAGGGTTAAGAAATGTGCATGCCGCAATTGTAGGAAGCGATGATACGCTTGTTGAAGGACATGATTACGATGTCATCACGGTATACACTGTCAACCCAGATTTAGATTTACTCGAAGCATCATCAGACGAAGAGAAAGATTCTGATAATGCAAATGAAAATGAAACTGAGGCTGTGGAGGAAGATAACAATTACAAAGTTAACTTTGTACAACCAGCTACTGATATAAGGAGGCGTGTCATGGACATGTTGTCGACGCCAATCGAATCTAATGTGGAAGAGTTTTTACTCAAGAACGGTAGCATACTAAATACAGACGAACCGGTCGTGAATGATGTCGATGAATATTTCATCAAAGAGAAACCACCGACGCCAATACCTGATGTTGATGAGTTTTTTGTTAAAACCAAACCGGCGGAGTCGATTCCTGAAATAACACCTAACATTGACGAATTTCTTGTCAAAGAACCAATTAAGAAAGAGCCTCTTCCTAATGTGGACGAGTTTTTCGTCAAAACAGAGACAGTGGGAACGCCCGAAGCGACTGCATCAGTTTCGAAGCCTGAGAACAATGGAGACGTTTCCATCAATGATTTGGAGGTGCTACCTAACATTGAGGAATTGAAGAGATATCTCCTAGAGGATATGTCTTATGCTAAATTCAGGAGTATACAGAAATCTTGCTCAGTCCCACAGTCACCCATGCAGAGTATATTAGACATAGACGATACTAAAACATGCCTAAGTTTTGAAGATCTAAACTTAGACCTGTCGGATCTCACTTTCGACAATGATAAAGACAAGTCTGATCTTACCGACAAAAGCGATGATATGCCACGTACGCTGACCGATGATGACATAAACAGCTTCCTGATCACAAGCAAAACGGAACACAAAGAATCCGAGAGGTACGAAGATGATCTTAGTCATCAGGATATGGAAATCGAGAAACCGCTCGAGCCAAAAATTGAACCTGCGATTCCAAAAGTTAAAATTGTAACAACAAAAATTGAACCTCCAGTTATTTTGAAGAGGAAGCCGGCGGCACCAGTACCCGTCGTCACACCAACTGTTCTAGATTTTTGTATAGAAAAAACTAAGATAAAAAAGGAGGTGGAATCAAAAATCGAAGTTGACGATTTCGTTGACGTCGAATCGTGTAATGATTCTTCTATACCAGTTTTGGAAGCCAACAACTTGAATTCATTGTTAGAACAATTCGAGGCTACAGAGAAACTGAACACAAAGAAGAGGACAGTTGTTAAGGCTGAGGAGAAACCTAAATCATCGAAATACAGCCTGACCAATGGCATGCGGCTGCAAGATGCCGGTGTCCAGCTGAACAAGAACAAAATGCGGCAAATACTGGTAAGTACTTTCCTATCTAATTACCCATTGGGTACATCAAAGAAATGTATTCAAAAATTAAACGTATTGCAGATGCCGTCGACCATAAACAAGGTGATAAGGTCTCCTAGTCCGGTTCACTCTGACCACGATTACTGCTCTTCGAAAAAGCGACACAGTCTCCCTAGTGTGAGGGGCGGACAGAGTCTTCTCAAACCCGAGGTGCTGTCCAGCAACAGTCGAATACTCAACTCGAGGCACAGGTCGTGCAAAAACAAAAAAGTAGTTTACCATTTGAGCAGTGACGAGGAAACAGAAAAAAGTGACAATAAACAAAAAAAAGTGACTAATCAAAGTGACGACGTGAACTTGCGCAAAAAAGTCATAAAGCAACCTATAAAGTCGCCCGTTCAGTCTAATTGCCGTAAAAAACTTTCGCCTCCACACGTTGTGCCCGAAGAAAGTGTCAAAGATAAACATAAAAATACTGTGATTTCTAAAAAAGCTTCAAAAGCTAGTGATACTCCGAGTAGTCAAAAAACGAACGGTAGCATTAAGTTAACAATTAAAAATAAATCTGAAGTAATATTGAACTGTGATTTTAAAGACTCTCAGAAAGATAAAAACTTAGAAAAGTGTAAGTCTAGTGTTAGTGATAAACAATGTAACGATGTTAGTAAAACTGTAAATATTAAGCAAGAAAAAATTAAAGAAGTAGATAGGCACGAAAACAAAAAAATTAGTAACACAGAGACTGTGACTGTTAAGGAAGAATCCCGTCCAAGAGAGGAACATTTTTATACAGCACTTTTTAGTAATAAGCAAGATGTCCAAGTACCTCAAGTGATTCAAGTCAAAGCAGAGAAAAGGCCGTTTGACGAAGAGATGACCAAAATCGCGGAAGAGGCTGTCAAGAAGGAATTGGAACAACCACTGAAGAAGAAAAAGCTAAATCTGCAAGAGTATAAATTGCGGAGAGGCGTGAGTTCGAACAATAGTTCGACGACGGTCAGTCCCGAGGCCATATTCCCGGACATGCCGAGTCCGTCTTGCTTAGATAAGCTGAAGTACGCTGTACCTCGGACACCTCCGAACACCAACAACACAAACACGCACAAAACGCAAAACGAAGCGCCCAAGAAAATATTCGATCCTATTAAAGAAGCGTCTAGAAAGATACTCATGAATTCGAGAAAGCACAAAGCCGAGGCAATGAGGAAGCGAGATGAAGATATTGTCATGAGTAAAATTCCAAAAGTCGATATTCTTGAATTGAAACCTCTGATCAGTGAGGATGAGATGTTGCAAATATCTAAGATGACTGCCCCTGAAGCATTACCTGTGCCGGTAAAACCGCAACTATCACCTAATTACGAAGAGATCATTTTAGTCAGCGTCGGTGTTAATACTGATGAAAACGTATTCAAAGAAATGGACGCTGAAAAGAGGATAAAAGCTGAAAAACGAAAATCCAGTTCACCACCAAAAGGCTCGAAATGTCTAATTAACTTTAAAATTAAGAAATCTGATCACGTCTTGAAGCAAAACGTTTTTGATAGTGTGAAGAAAGACAAACGGAATCTAAACGATGATTGCAAACACGAATCAAAAATCGACAAGGATAGATACAAAGACATTACCGCGACATTGAAAAGCGTCGAGAAACAAGTCGAAACTAAGATATCTAGTAATTCGTTATTTGCTAGTATACAAGACGTGGTCATGAAGAAGGCTCCAGGCGATGTAGTTGAAAAGCCACATGAAGTTAGACGCTGCAAATCTAAATCCCCACAGCACAAAGAACAAACAGTCGCCTCTGTGTCTATAATCCGTGACTATGACCCCAAAGCTGAGCACGGAGAAGATAAAGTTATCTTACACTTGGTCAAAGGTAGAAGGAAACCAAAGTCTTCCAGTAGCATAGTTCAAACCGATCCGATACCAGCCCAAAGTGAATCAATTACAGATAACACAAACAGAAGGAGAAATGACAGTGACATGTCGGTGTCCAGTGATAACAGCACTAAGAAGAAAGAAAAGACTGATATTGTCAAATCTAGACCAGATAGGATAGAGAAAAAAGATTCTAGACGTTCTAGGTCCAAAGAGAGATACGACGCCAAACATAGACGGAGATCGAGGTCTAGGAGCAGGAGAAGGAGGCACAGATCTATAAGCAAGAGCAGATCTCGTTCAAGAGGGAGATACAAGCGCTTCAGACGTTCGGACTCACCTTATACTGCCAAAGGCAGATCAAGCTCCCGTAGACGGAGGTCACCATCAGCTAAAAAAGAAAAACAATTAAAATCGGTATCCAGACCGAGAAGTAGGTCGTTGACGCCAATTAAAAGGCCAAAATCGAGTCCTCAGATTAATAACAATGTTAATGAGAAAAAACTTAACTCGGCCACACCTCCACTTAGGAAATCTACTGTGTCCGAAAGCTCTGATTCTTCATCTAGGTGAGTTAAATAGGGTTTATGTGGTATGAATGAGGGCATTCAAGCAGTAATTTATTCGATACCAAGGTTACTGGATTTGGTCGGCGGCATCTACAGGCATTTGTTGGTACCGTGGTGTAGACAATACTGTAATAATTATAAACAAAATCGTGGTCGAGGGAGAGTCAGTCTGGTTATGGCTCGTAGATGAGATAGTACTGACTATTCAATGATTTATATTTTATTTCAAAAGTATAATATGTTCTAGCTGTTTAAGAATATTTCATTATATTCTTCCAATAATGTAACATATAAGTCTTATACTAAGCTCTATGGAAATATATTGAAACCTTGTCGTGTCGTCTTTTCGCATTAAAAGTGTACAATTTCCAAAAATATTCGAAATTGAGTTAATATGCGGAATCATTTGGTATCACCAAACCCATCATTTTTCTCATAAATACTGTCAAAAGAGCGTACTTTAGTTTTCTTTTTGTTTTTTGTTTACCTATGTTTTGACTACTATTAACACATAATACATAATTTTATTTTACTTTAATAGACAGATAATGTAATTGGTAAAAAATAAAAAATTAATGTTGCAAGATGATTAAAATTAATAATATCAAAATTCGACGCTTGAAAGGCAAACGTGACTAAGCGCCAATGCGTGAACTTTACAGTAAACTAATTTAAAGTTGAAATACCTGAAAAAAAATCTATTTTAACGAATCTAGCTGTAGGATTGAAATTATTTTAATAGACCTAGAAATATATTTTTTTTGCACGTCACATATGGTTATAGCCTATCATTTATGTATAAAACAGTTATTGTTGCTTAGTCACGTTTGCCTTTCAAGCGTCCACATGTTAAACCTTTAAAACACTCTCCTGTAAAATTAGTAAGTTTTGAGATTATACAGCTTTAATGGGAGAACACGATATGGCTCCTCTGCTGGTTTAATAATAAGTTTTATTTTATTTTTAATTAACGTTTTCTGTTTTTTGTGATTCCAGTTCATCATCATCGTCTTCCAGCAGTTCGTCGAGTAGCTCTCGCAAGTCTGCAAACTCACCGCGCTCGTCCAGCACTTACAAACCAGACGAGAACTACACGAAGAAAGCTTACAGAAGCTACAGCTCTGAGGATAGGTATGCATCTAATGTATATTTCTTTTTATTGCTTAGATGGGTGGATGAGCTCACAGCCCACCTGATCTTAAGTGGTTACTGGAGCCCATAGACATCTACAACGTAAATGCGCCACCCACCTTGAGATATAAGTTCTAAGGTCTCAAGTATAGTTACAACGGCTGCCCCACCCTTCAAACCGAAATGCATTACTGCTTCACGGCAGAAAAAGGCGGGGTGGTGGTACCTACCCGCGCGGACTCACAAGAGGTCCTACCACCAGTAAAAATCTTTTATTTTTCATAGATATGATTAAAAGACTTTTTTTTGCTTTGTCTCTTCTGTGTCAACAATAACTGTAACTGTGGAGTATTAAAAAATTGTTTCCTTTTTTTATAATATAAATAAATCATATTAATATAATATAAATACAATACATAAAAAAGAAATCAAAGACATTGGTGGAATATGACATAATTACCTGCTTTTGAAGAGTAAGCAATGTAATGTGATTTAACAACTCGACTTGCAAGATCAAAGCCCTTTTGGGCCTCGGGGAGTAGCCATAGCTACCTTATTATTATGACTATTCCCGATGGTAGATGACCATAATAATGTTTAGCCGGTGTTAAGTGGTAACTGTCAAGAATTTCATGAATGGCCTCGCAAAGTCGGGGCCCATTACCGAGGCCCTTAAACCTAGTTACCTTGTAATTGAGAAATTCACGGTAATCCTACTAATATTGGAAATGTAAAAATTTGTAAGAACGTACATATGTTTGTTACTCGTTCACTCAAAAATTGCTGAATGGATTCTGATGAAACTTCACAATAATATAGCCTAACAGAATAACAGATAGGCTATAATTTATAAATATGTATATGGTGTGAATTACCCAAAATATAACGATACGTGTCAAGAAAAACATCTGCCATCTCAAGATTCAATAAGATCAGCAATAAATTAGTTACCGAAGCGAAGCGGATCGCTAGTTTAAAATAATTAAATATTTTGACACAAATGTCTTGTTTGTTAAACAGAGACAGCAATACGCCCGTCGAAGAGAGACGGATAGTGTTCGTCGGTAGGTTAGAGAAGGACATAACGAAGTCTACCCTGCGGAGTCAGTTCGTTAAATACGGACCGGTCATTGAAGTCAGGCTTCACAGCAAAGAGGATGGGTATGTAATATTTATGTATTTCATAAAACTAGTGGTCCCCGCAGTAGTCGAAATTCGCCTATAATTAATTGAAATTATAATTTTGAACATTCTTATTGGTTCAACATTATTTATTATATTTCTATAATCACAGATTTCGCCAAGACTGCACTATAGATTATTTTTTTTTGGTACAATTTTTCCTTGTTAGGAAAGGCAAGGGGATCTAAGCCCATACAGCCTTGCACCATAGATTATACACTTAATATTTGAGAGACTGCACTATAGACAAATAATATTAAAGACAAACAATACTAATCTATTCTCAATTTGACCACAGATTTAAAAGAATAACAAAAGTTAACACAATTGACAATTTACAAAGAGTATATTTATACGTATGTGTTGTCATATACACGGTAGAGTGTGTAATGTTTTATTTATTGATTTAATGTATTTTTAATGCATAATTTAAAAAAAATATTAGCATTCTGCACTCCTTCTCTATAAGTGTGGGAAATTTCATATTCCTCCGTTCGGCCAATTTTCGTAAAAAGGATTACAAAGTTTTTGCTTTACGTATTAATATATAGATGAGTGCAAGTAACATTTAAACTATGTCCATAATTTTTTATTTATTGCATAGATGGGTGGACAAGCACACGGCTCAGTTGGTGTTAAGTGGTTACTGAAGCCCATAGACATCTACCACGTAAATGCCGCCACTCACCTCGAGACATGAGTTCTAAAGTCACAGTACAGCAACGACTGCCCCGCCCTTCAAACCGAAACGCATTACTGCTTCACGGCAGAAATAGGGCGGTGGTAACTACCCGCGCGGACTCAAGTCGTCCTACCACCAGTAAAAAGCCTTGGTTGCTTTTGATTGTCTTGTTGTAAATACTAAAAGGCTTGTTATTTCCGGACGTTCACAGGTCTCGTTACGGGTTCGTGACGTACCAGAGGGCGAGGGACGCGTGGAGCGCGGTGGAGGCGGCCGCCGCCTTCCCTCAGTACGACGTGGGCTTCGGCGGCAGGAGGGCCTTCTGCAGACAGAGCTACGCCGACCTGGGTGAGCACTGGAGCCAAACCTATATAGCACCGCTGTGATTTGAAACTCAATGAAACGAGAAACCGACTCTAGAAAGAGATAGACGTATATGCGTGAGACTGCGAGTGAAAGAGACCCATATCTGGGCGACGGTGCAAAGCAAAGTCGCCGTCGTCAAATACATGTCTTGTTGGATCTCCCGGATCCACTCTTGGTACTTTTTAGGCCTCTCAAGCGCCGGTCACCGCCTCAGTCGAACTAGGCGACTATGACGAAGTAGGTAAAGAAAACAATAGAGACTGAATACATCTGAAGGTTCCATAATATATATGTGAACCGCACACATTTTCGACTTTGGTCACTAATATCCGTAGTTTAAGATTCATTTTACGTAGCTGTTGTTTTGTTAATGATATTTTGAAAGAACACAAAAAAAAGAACTTTTTAACCGATTTTAAAAGAAAAGGAGTTTCTCTATTCGACTTTTTTTTTAAATATAAATACTAGCGACCCCCCCTCGCTTCGCTTCGGAAACTGTAATTTATTATTGACTTCTCCACTATTTAATAGATGTTATTATACATATTATTATAAACCTTCCTCTTCAATCACTCTATCTATTAACAAAAACCGCATCAAAATCCGTTGCGTAGTTTTAAAAATTTAAGCATACATAGGGACAAATATAGGGACAGAGAAAGCGACTTTGTTTTATACTATGTAGTGATTATGTTATTATTCGACAGACGGACTCGAAGCTAAGTACACGGAGAGCGCGTTCCACGGTCAGGCCGCGATCCCGGCGCGGCGCACCGACGACATGTCCTTCGAGCAGATGCTCCTCGAGATGAAGAAGAAGCTGAGCCAGCGGAAGAGTGACAAGAAGCGCGGCGACGCCACCAAGCCTTGACGGTCGCCGCGGTCCACACTCCCCCGGACGAGTGCTCTGTGTGGCTCTGAGCCCTTTTCTTTTTTCCTACCTAAGCTGAGAGCCTTGAGAGGCTATATCAGCGTAACCTTAACTAGTAGGTGACCTCACGGGGCTCAAACCTGATGACGTTGCTAACACTAACCCAAGCGTTAGCCGTGCTTCGCAGAATCTACCACCGGATCGGAAACGCGACCCACTGAGAAGATCCGGCGAGAAACTCAGTGGGCTGTGTCTGTGGGTTAATTTACTCGTCGAGCCCTTCGTCGCGAGCGACGGATTCGACGAGAACGATGACCGGTCTGAGCTCGGGACCGGAGCTAGCATTTAGCCAGCGATAACCGGGACGAGGCTGTGACGAAAGCGTTGTGACGTCACGGATTCTGCCGCGGAACACGGTCGCCCCGGCTGCGACGCGTCAGTGTTGCCACACCACAGACTGATTCGAAATAATCGATTCTATTTTAGTTGCGTTACGAATGTGAAGTGAATGTTATAAGTGTTTGTTTTCGAAGCTCTATAGACATTGTTATTTTTTTTTTAAATCGATAAATCTGTTGAAAAATTGCGTTTGTAAATGATCGTTTGAATGTAATAGGAAAACGTACCTGTAAAAATAAAATTATAATTTAAGATCGAAAATGTAAAAAAAATCATATCATAAGTGAAGCAAAATATACGTTAATTAATATCGATTAACGATTTAAATCATAATATTATTATGTTTTGTCCGTTAAAATCGTTCTTAGATTCATTTGTTGGGAAAATCAAAATACTAATCGCGTAGTATAGAAGTAAAGTGACGTAACTGACAGGTGTCAGATTTGACATCTGTCAAGGTAAATGGCGAATCGAAAAAAAGACGTGTTTCTTTAGTGAATTTTGCTCATCTCTTTAGTTAGTCCTTGTATAGTCTTAATTGTTTTTCCGCATTACACACACTTGTAAATATTAAAAATAAAAAAAATAAAAATAAAAAAAATAAAAATAAAAAACAAGAAGTAAAAATGACGGCCTACCTCGTATTTCTGCAGTAGCTTTTTTTTGTTGTTTTTATTCTTAAAATTTAAGTTTTTAATGTAAATATTCGTTTGTAATCGACAGCTAACCGTTACCATTGCTAACCAAGCTTTACTTTTATGTTTTTTTTTTTTAAATAAAACAAAATAAAGAACAATACAAGTCTCGTAAAGTAAGAATAGTAGATTTTCAAGGTTTTTTTTTAATAAAAAATTAAGAAATCGAGAATCACAATCATATATATCAAGTTAAATAGTCGCCAGCTGCTTTGTCCGTCGGTTCGTTATTTCGCAATTCACTCACGTTTTCCAATTTCCTTTTTCTATATCGACTAAGCAACCGGTGCAAGGATAGCAAACGAAAATAATCATCCCATAACTATCTATTAAAATCGTGACGATTCATATTTTAAATAACTGAACAAAACCTAATTGTTCTAGAACTTTTTGGAAATCGGCTTTTCGAATCTGCCTTTTCGAGAAAGCCCCAAAAAAAAAGCTAGAAGACACCACAGTAAGCGCACATTTTTAGTATTCAAATGTATGTACATATATAAATCATCAAAACTTTGTATTAGAATTGAAAGTTATCAAACAAAAAACCCATATATAGACAAACAATTAAAAAAAAACCAGTTAGTGAATTACGCTTGACATTATTGCCTTACTAAAAAAAAAATAGTGATGTACCTACCATAATCGATATATTTAACGTTAACAATGAAATCGATAAAAATATTACTTACTGTAATTTTATTCTAAAATGTTGCATAGAACGAAATAGTCTTAAGTATCTGATATTGATTAACAGTTTTATTTCCTTGTTGTTTTTTTAATGAATAAAATAACTTTGGATACTTCTATCCCGGTATCGATTTATTGGATTTTACAATAACGTTATAGCCGTGATTGGGGAATATGACTTAAAAAGTAAATTAGCTATTTTTTCATCTTCAAAAATGTAATCCAAAACTTCCACGAAATTCATAAGTGCCAAATGATTGGATTGTATTGTTCCTATTTTGCAGAAGAGGTAATATAGTACGGTACATTTGAAAACATCAATTGTTTACGCATTTCCTTGGTATCGATAATTTTGGTAAACTTATATTTTTGTCTATCTATATAAAATAGTTGATCAAATAAAAATGCAGCTTAACGCGTAATACCAGTTAATTAGTAATATTTCAAAGAGCATTTCCGGAAACGGATCCTCTGTCTCTTTCATAGATAGGACGAGTGACAAAGGAGGATGCCTAAACTCGCATTATCAATGTCGAAACTTGTTACCGTCGCTAATTTTATTGAAAAAAAAAAAAAACAAAAAAATTATATCGGTAGCGTGCGGTTTTTGGCGTATCCTAAATCTAGACTAAAGAAATATCGATTATTCGATTGTCGTGATCGGCGACGCCCTATCGACTCATCGAATCGATTCGATACAATGAAAGCCTAGTCAAAATAATGATGTTCGTTTTATCTTATGTGATTGTAACTTATTAAACTTTGTATACTTTTATTTTTAAGTTAGCTTAAAACGATTTAAGTTTTTGAATTTTAATGCTTAGGCTTAGGTCTTGTTTCGATGCGAATCCACTATGAATGATTAATATGGAAGTGATTAAACAAATGTGTAGGGCGATTAAATTTTATTGATCATATAAAAATGCATTGTGGCATTCGCTAAGAAAATTTCAGCGGATTCATTTGCCAAACGGTTTGACAGCTGTCATTTATGACGTACGTCAGCAGCCGAGGTTTCGTTTTCGGATTACGAATGTTGTCTGCGAATGAATCCGTATTGTGTTGTAAATTTTGTTAATAAACTATTAAAGAAAGGAACGTGTTGTAGAAAATACTCGAAAGATCAACGATTGTAATAATTAAGGCCTCGTTTTGTTTTAAGTGTTTAGTTTTTTTTTTTATTTGAAATAATTCAATCACCCGTATATGTATTTTTTTTTCACGTTCATTATTCGAAAATTGGCAAAGGCATCCGCAAAATCATATTTCACGTTTGCAAAAGTTTGCAATTTATTGAGTAACGAATTTACTAGGTAATGTTTGGGTGCGCTTCGCTTCAATGGAATTGGAACAGTGTGTCTTTGCGATAAAGTCTATATTCGTGTACCGTGTATAAAATATTTCAAGTCCAATGTTACATAAAAGAAACGATTAGAGTACATTGTGAGAATGATTTTTTTACGTAAAAATGTTGAGAAATAAAGTATTTTTAAATACATTTATTGATTTTTATTTAATCGCAAACTAAATGATTAGTACAAGTGAATGTGGATTTCCGTAAACATCTTACTAGTGGTAGGACCTCTTGTGTGTCCGCACGGGTAGGTACCACCACTTAGCCTATTTCTGCCGCGAAGTAGTAGCTTGTTTGAAAAGTGTGACAGGCGTTGTACTATGCAATTGAGATTTGGTTCAAGTTTGAAGGTGAACACCAGGTGGGCGATGAGTTGGACGTTTAAGCAACAAAAAAACATTTAAATTAAGAGAAAAACAGAAACATAATATGTTTAAGCTTGCATGAATCGTGTCTTTTTTATTTCCCTACCTATGCTGATAGCCTTGAGAGGCTATTTCAGCTTCTTGACATGTAGATGAGCTCACGGGGCTCAAACCGGAGTGTTGCTAACACTGGCCCTAGCTAGAGCAGTGCTTCGCAGAATCTACTACCTACCGGATCGGAAACGCGACCCACTGAGAAGATCCGGCGAGAAAGTCAGTGGGCTGTATCTGTGGGCTAATTTACTCGTCGAGCCCCTCGTCGTAACGGGTTCGACGAGCACGATGACCGGATGAGTTTACGCAGTACGCAATGAAATACAAATACGTTAGATTAAGTTACATTAGTGTCGGTTAGATGGCGTTAGATGTTTATCTTTTGAACTAGGCATTTGAATCTTTTGAAATGGCATTTTATTGCGTACAAAGTCGCTTGTGGATCCAGTTTTGTTTTCTATAACAATATAATATATTGACATTTACACACAACGAACTAACAGTATCTTGAGTTCTGACTGTTTATTTGCAGCAATCGCCAAACTCACGACACAAACTAGAAACGCGCTCTCAATCAGAGCTTAACACGTCATTAAGTATCTTCCCGATCCATTAACGGTACTTTTAGGTACCACAAGCACCGGTCACCGTCCTCGCCGAACCCGTCGCTTGCGACGAAGGGCTCGACGAGTGAATTAACCCACAGACTCATCCCACTGAGTTTCTCGCCGGATCTTCTCAGCGGGTCGCGCTTCCAATCCGGTGGTAGATTCCGCGAAGCACTGCTCTTGCTAGGGTCAGTGTTAGTAGCACTCCGGTTTGAGCTCCGTGAGCTCACTTACACGTCAAGGAGAAGCTGAACTAGCCTCTCAAGGCTATCAGCATAGGTAAAAAAAGAATATATTTAATGAACTAAATCTAAAGAAATGCATTATATAAATAATTTTAATACCCAAATGCCTTTACACGTAACAGGTGTCTTATGTAAATAACGAAGCTATAAAAAATATACCTACTTTTGAGTTAATTATCGTTTATTTTTACAAAATAAGAAATGTTACAACTGTTACTATTTTAATATCCTAAGATTTATCGTTTTCAGTGTGCTTAGTTCGAGATTTTTAACGTTCTCGATAGCGTAAAAGTTAACGCAAATTTATATGGAGTTGAAACGTTTGCATTGTTTGCCGCTAGGGGCGCTGTTCCAACTCCATACAAAGGGGAATGCCCATTTCAGGCCCAAAGCGGACAATAGATTAGAGAAAAAATACTTAGTGCATTAATTTTGTCATAAATAAATATGCATTTACTTTCTTCCAAATAAGCGCCACTACAGTTTACAATAAGTAGTTTAAAAAAAATAACTCTATTGAAAAAAACAATTTTTGCGGGAAAAATATTGCCAGCATCAAAACCTTTTACGTATTAAGTAAACGTTTTAAGTATATAAAAAAACATATAAATAAATCATTTTAAGTATTATCATTAATCAATCGATTTTAATCGATTATAAGCACATAAAATAACATCAAAGACATAACCATTGGACTTTAACTTGTTACTATACTTGAGACCTTAGAACTTATATCTCAA